GGGCAGAACAGGGCAGGGCAGAATATCCCAGCTGAGGTAGTAAATCCTACTCCGTACTCTAGAGTCGTAAATGTTTCCCAAAGTCGACTAGCCATAGACCTAAAACGACCATAATGCCTACTCTGTAGATAGATACGGAATACGGATAGACGGGCGTCGGAAACACGGACTCGAACGGAGTAAGTGACAGGCAGACGATCAGACGAGCCGTGAAAATTCTTCCTGGCTAGCCTACAGTAGTCCATCCAGAATAGTCCCGACATTTGGCGATATCCGAGAGCGAGTGACAGAGAATGATTGCTGCGTCCATCATGCATCCCAACAGAGATTTCCAGACGCACAGACAGCCCTTTCCTAAACGGGCTAGTGCAGAGAAAAAGCGACCCAAAATTAGAAGGCTTCTAGAAAGACTAGAAAAACTCTACGCGCGGAACCGCCGATGCCAAGGCGTTGGACCGGGTACATGGGAAGAAAAGCGATTTCACCCTGCAGGATGTGATTCGACGCAGGTTTTCTTTTTTAAACATTTACCCTGCACCTAAAATTGTTGTACTGCATATACATCTGTACGGTGTATGATTTCCGTATTGTATGTAATTACATCGAGATTCAATTCCTGCATCCCTGCCGTAACCAGTCCTCAAACTGTCTATCATCTCCCAATTCTCTAACCCCGACCTTACTCCGTACTCAAATCGGCCGCATTAGAAAAATTTAAAAAAAGAAAACATGTTATTTTTGAACCTCGGAATTACCAACCCAGGCCAGCCAAAAATACACCCACCCACACACAGTTTACCCTTGCTTGAAGATCCACATGCATTTTACTTTTTCTGCTGTTTCCCTCCTTCATGAACTGCAGTCCTGCTACCTACACAAGGTGTGGCTGTGTGCCCCACCTCACCAATCAAACACCTCCACGCCCCTCGCCCTACCAGTCTTGCATGAAGCCATGAAGACGCTAGAAGAAATTTTCACCCTTCCATGCATACGCCCATGTTTTTTTTTTTTTTTCGGTCGCTGGACATGTGGCAGGGCGGGTGGGATTTTGCCGCGTTGGGTCCCCGTGCGACTGCAACGCCGTTTAAGGTGCTTATCCATTCGGTTGGGGGGTTTTTTTCGATGATCCCTGCTAGTGGGCTATACAGTAGGTACGGTAGGATTTGATGTTGTATAGCAAATGGACATTGGATTTTGTTTTTGTAATTGAATGCTACGTGGACTTCGGTTGGAATTAATAAAATGATAATAACAATAATAGGAAAAATAGGAAAAACCAACAGCAAAAAATAAAATACCCTTTTCTTTTCATCCGCAGTAGAAATCTCATACGTACCATACTACAAAGTAAAATTATTCAGATCTGAATTCTCGTCCTCATTTTCAGCCTTGTTTTACCTTTTTTTTTTTTTTTTTTTTTACCCCAAGTCTCAATTCAAGGTAAATCTCGGTAGCAGAACACCGAGGGGACGGAACTCCAGCATGGATCGAACCTTGAACCTTAAAAAGTCATGATGTAGTTTAATCTACTGCCTACGGATCCGACAACGAAACAGACAAGAGAAAGTATATCGCATCCGACTCAACCCAATCTTGAACCTAATGGCGAACAAAGCATGGTACCTACTTTCAGTGTCCACCACCAACAGATGGAAACTAAGTGTAACTGTATCGGTTCCAACTATTCCATGTGAATAGACTACATGTGGCTTTCAAAACTTGGAAGGATTTCCGAAGATCTGGTACTGTTCCAGTTTCCACTTTCCTTTTGGAATTGGATTTCCACTCAGCTCTAGTCTAGTAATCTAGTTAGCACATTGTCAGCCCCGCACGTGCACAACAAGTCAAAACCAAGTCAATGACATTGACCATCTGGACACCACAAGATCGATCAAACCTTCCTGGTGTGTCGGGATGAAGGAAAACAAGGCTAGTTTAGGGTAGTGGCTTTTAGAGCCAACTCCAATCACCCAATCTCATCCATTCCCTGGTCTTGCGATGGAATGGAATCCTGTCCTTCCGTCCTCCCCGATCAAATAGTCTCATAGATCCCGGAGTGGTTACGCGCACGACTGCGCAACATGGGGGCCACAAAGCATGACAATCCTGCGAGCTTATTGAACCAAGCCAAAAGGGAAACATGGCAAAGTAAAGACGAAAGGCCATGCATTAGCATCGGTTGAATGGAACGAATCATCATCTCTATCTCGATTTCCTCGTTTGACAGAAATTGAAGTCCGGGGCAAAATGGTCAGAAGCAAAAAAAGTCGCCACTCGGTTCAGCTGTCGTCGCTTTTGGGATGATGCGCTGTGGGCCCGGGCTGAGACATTGACGGGACAGATTAGAAAGAATCCGGGATTGCGGATTGGCTGTACGTTGCTTTGACTTGCTCAGACACGGACTGGGGGTTGAGGCTGTAAGTGGGGATTCTGCTTTGGTCCTGGTTCTTGTTCGTGATTCACTCCGTACATTTGTAGGTATACTGTAGTATAACGAATCATCAGCTGTCATTGAGTTGACTGCCTGTCTACCTCTCGTCTTGCATTACTCCATCTGTCGCGCTATTGTCACCCCAGGACCAGGCAGTGGCCATTTGGAAGATGTTCCGGGTAGAGAGGATGGGGAGGATACGTTGACTCGGTGAGAACTAAATGGACTACTGTTTTTTCTATCCTGTCCGAACCAGTGTACTGGGTCTGATTGACTGACTCATTTGCATGTGAAACTACCAGGTAGGCAGACAAAAGACGTATGTAGTTAGTCGAGAGTGATACTAGTCTTGTACAGAATCACAGTCATATCATGTCCCACCAGATCAGAGGCAAATCAAACAGGCAAGAACCCCGACGCTCAGCCTGCGCGAGGCGATTCGCCATCAAGGCAGAATAGATAAAAAAGCAAAGCTGGACACCCCTCCCCTCTCTAGTCAAGTCGAGTCAAGGAAAAGTTGTTCTTCCCATCGTCATCCGCGCATACCCTGTCCGGTCGTCCAATCTATGACTCAAGGCCAAGGGCACGGCCAGTCAGATGCTCTCGTGACTGAAATGAGTTGATAGCGTGCATTAGGGGGAGGGAGTTGGTTCACGCAATCCCATCCCCCAAGGGTAGGAGGTACGGGGTCAGGCCACGGACATGGCCAGAGACGGCTATCAGCTGACCTTACCCCCTTTTCTTGCCTTTCCAAGGAACTGCAAGCTACCTAGCGTTGAATTGAAAATTCAGACGCGATCAACTCAACGAGGAGTCACCGGACATACAGACAGGCAGAGGCATTGCCGGCCGAGAAGGTCGAGAGCTCAACAAACCAGGTATACCTCTACTACGGCCGTTCGGCACCGTCGTGCCGCCAAAGCAGACTAGTCGGGCTAGACTAGCCGGAATCCAGACTTGGCGCCGAATCGGCCAGGACAAGAAGATAATCTCTTAACGACGAGCCGGAGAGCGACACGGCCGAAAGGTTGGAAATACGAATGCACTGGTGGAATGCGATCGGACATGCCAGAATTGTCGACGTATGCTCTAACATGATGAAATCGACCGGCCATCTCCGTTGACTTGCACTCCGTAGTTAGTTAACTATGAATCATAGCTGACAAATGGGTGGATTAGTTATGCAGCGCGCAGTGCCTAACACTAACACTAACGAGCCACAGCGGTGGCGCAGCTAGCGGCAGTGGCTGATGGGGAACCTAACGAATGATCTACCGGACAATGTACATCTATGGAGTGGCCGAATACGCAGAAGACTCTGTCGAGTTCTGCAACTGCTGATCGCGTAAAATCACCCCAACCATTCGGACCTGTCACCTGTAAGGGTCCCTGCCTGCGGGTGGTGCGATCAAAGAAACACGAGATCGATCTCTCATGGCGCCGGTGGCTTAGCCTGAGACTGTAGGGTGTGATTGGCTGCCCTAGCACCCTTTCCCCCCCGGAGGAAACAAAGAAAATTTATTGGTTTCGGTGGTTCCTCGGCGCCCATTTCTTTATGATTCATCTTTCTGGTTTATTGATTTCCGTACAACGTATAATTATCGGCATTCTGTGTCAGAGGTGAATCAGAGTTAGTCACTCCAAGGACCTCTAGGTATTTCGGACCGTCCGGTAGGGGCGAGTATTGTGGCTCAAGCAGAATAATGGAGAAGCCACAGGAATCGTCGGAGATGCAAGGAGATAATGGAGGACCGAGACCAGACTTGGCCCCACCGCGTAGACCCCAGACTGCAGTAGTACCAAGTAGTTGACACTAGTAATCGTACTGCAGATCCGTTCGTAATGACAATACGACTTGAGTCAGCGCCGCGTTATTTCCATTTCTCATCCGTCGGCGTTTACCGTACTGCTACCTCTGCAGTAGCAAGCAGTACGGCCGGCGCCCAGACGTCATTCCCCAATCCATAAAAAGCCCTTCCCCCGAGCAGAGCTGCCCACTTCTCTCTCTCAGACATCATTCCATCAAACCTTTTATTATTTATTCTTCTCCCAAGATCTCGTCCCCATCTGACTCCAATTTCCTTTTTCACTGGAACCAGATCTCAATACTTTGATTATCAATCCATCCTTCTTCCCTCTCCTTCACACTAACTCCCTACTCTATCCGTCCTTATACTATACAACTCCTAGTAAGTACTTCTGCCTTCTACTACTCTCTCTCTCTCTCCTCTCTCTCGCATAACCACCCTTCCATTCCTTGGATGACTATATCCTGTTCCATGAACCAGTATTCTGGTTTCAGCTTTCGTCATTGAGTCACCTGCTAACCTGCCGCCCGATTAAGTTTAGAGTCGACGACTCTTCCCAAGGTTGCCTCGGACCTTTCCAGACTCTTCGATCCCCCCCCAGCCCTTGATTTACAATTTGTCTTTTGACGCCGAGTCAAACCCTTCCGGTCGCAGTCATTTGCCCAGCGGCCGTCGGGCCAAACTACTATTTCAACTCGCCCTCCCCCAAGTGGCGAACTCTCTTGACCCACTGAAACGTCCAATCGTGACAGAGCTACATTATGTACATGCAGCCCTCTGTACGTAAAGGTCTCATCACCGAACCAACGTCGGCTCCTTTCGTCAACTACCAAGATTCCGTTTGCATACAAGACGGCCTGCCTTTCCCCGATCTCTCCCTGGACGCGTCGTCGCTGCAGTACCTCGACCACCAGCACCAGCAGCAGACTCGTCTGCAGTCTCCCTTCCAGTACCACCACCAGAACCTCCAGTTCGTCTCTCCGCCGTCTTCCGCTCCCTCCTCGCCTTCCTCCTCTCCCGCCTCCTCCATCTCCCACTACCCGGCCTCCTCGGCAGTCCCCGCGGACTACACTCTCGAGGCTCCTTCGATGACACCTGCATCCTCCTACAACCCTACATATCACTTCCAAGGATCGGCCTCACCACAGTCCGTTCAACCTTACCTCCACCAATATCCCCAGCAGTTTCTTTTTGACAACTCCTCAATGTTGGCCCAACAACCCGTCACCAGTGTCCACGGTTGGGAGGGAAACCCGCAGCTCTTGAGCCCCGCTCGCATTCAGAAGAACTCGCAGCACAAGACGTCACCCAGCTCCTCCTCCTCGAGTAGGTCCGCTCCGGCGAGCAACTCCTACCAGAGGAACTCGAACGGGTCCGCTGCCGCCAAGCCTCTGCCTACTCCCGTTCAGACGCCCGTCCAGAACAACTTCCTGGCGACTCCCTATCAGAACTTTGACCCCTCGTCGCACGATGGTAGCCAAGTTGAAGTGGAGCTTGCTATGAGACGGGCTGTGATGGAACAGCGTCAGAAGCAGCAGCAGCAGCAGCAGCAGCAGCAGCAACAACAACAACAACAACAACAATCCAGTGAATACTCTTTGGCGCCTTCGGTGTCCAGTGTGAGCCATAACTCGCCTGTCACGCCTCAGACGAGCTTCGAGGATCCCGACGACGCATCGAAGGCCATGGTCAATGGTGAGAAATTTCCTGATATCGATCGGTGGATGGATGATTACTTACACGCCGATGCGTTCGCAGATTACGGCGTTCACAACGGAAACAACATGTCGATTGGCATCCCCAAGCTCAATCGCACCATCTCCGATATCTATCAGGACGAACTCTACAACCCCGCTCTCATGCCGACTCCCCAGGTTCCCAAGCCATCGGCCAACAACAACAACCAGCAGGCTCTCCTGACTCCCTACCGCAATGTCTTTGCCGACCGACTGCAGGCCGCCAACCAGGGCCATATTTCGGCTCGCTCTCAATCGCCCACGTCGGGCATCAAGCGGGAACGGTCTCCCTTCCGACAGAACTCCCCCTTGGCCGCTGAATTCAACAACCCCGGTCTTCAGCAGCCCCAGATGGCCACCAGTATGCCCATGAGTCAACCCATGGTCAACTCGCAGCAGCAGCAGCAACAGGGCCAAGGCGAACCGAATACGATGTCCCCCAAGGATGCGCTGCTGGACTTCCACGAAGGCGAGGACGGCGGTCTGCCGCTGTTCCCGTCCAACCAGCCCGACTTCAACCTGGGTGACACCCTGGGACTGCGCCGGGAAAGCAGCTCCTCGTTCCCTCAGTCGCAGAACTTCAACTCGATGGAATCGTTCCCCAGTCAATACGCTACGAACTTGGGAGTCGACCAGCAATTCCCCTTTGGTCAGCGGCAGCAATCGTCGCAGCAAGACGGCAGCAACAACCTCTTGCAGCAGACGCCGAACTTCCCCCCGTCTCTGCCCACCTTCGAGTCGACGGGTAGCGACGTGGCGCTCCCCACCACCGAGATGACCTCCCCTCAGGCAGCTCAGCCGAAATTGGCGGCTCACCCCGTCAACGAGGAAATTACGCGGCCGGAAAACACTTCCGCGGACAGCGGCACCTACACCTGCACCTATCACGGCTGCACTTTACGATTTGAGACCCCCGCCAGGCTCCAGAAGCACAAACGCGAGGCCCACCGTCAGACGACCCCTGGAGGCCACCTTGTCGGCCGGGACACAACGTCGCGTAGCTCTCAGGCCGGCCCCCACCGGTGTGAGCGGATCAATCCTTCTACGGGCAAGCCCTGCAATTCGATCTTCTCGCGCCCCTACGATCTGACTCGACATGAGGATACGATCCACAACGCTCGCAAGCAGAAGGTCCGGTGTCATCTGTGCACGGAGGAGAAGACCTTCTCACGCAATGATGCGCTCACCAGGCACATGCGAGTGGTCCATCCCGAAGTTGATTGGCCAGGCAAGCAGCGACGGAAGGGCAGGGAGTAAATGTGAGAACCAAGGGGTGTGTGACACCTCCTTCTCTTCCATTCTTCCTACCTTTCCTGAAGAAGCCACGAAATGGGACCGTAATTTCGAATACGGCCTTATTCCCTTGGGGTCCCACCGGCGATGCTGTTGACCCTTTCGGCCTGAGTCAGGATGACGAGAGAAAGCCGCCGACGTCATAGGCCTTTCCCAAAGGGGAAAGGACTCGCTAACCCTTCCGGATCGCCGGTCGGTCTTGCCGTTTCGGGCGACTCGTCTGAATGGCCTTGCAGCCTGAAGCAGCAATGATGACATCACTGCAGCTCTGTCGGGACAATGACGTATTCCCGACGAGAAGGTTTCTGCTTCCCTCCATCTTCTTCGTTCTTTGCATCACCGTCCGATGTACTTATGACGCATACGCTGTTATTTGTGTTTGCTTTTCTTCTTGGCAACGGGTGTTTATGAATTCAGAAAGCAGGCTCTTTTTTCATGGATTTAATTGGTTGGTTTGTTTTTTTTTCTTCGTGGCATTTCTCGAGTGGGTCATAGATTTCGTCTGTTTTTTGGGTGGGTTATTTTCGCTTTTACACTGGTTGCATCAAAAGAAGCAAATTTTGTTTATGTTTGATTTGTTTTCGAGCCGAGATGACGATTGACTGATCTGTTGATTATTACGTGGAGGGGAGAATCCTTCCGTTACGATGTACTATACTTACTACTTCTGTATGATTACTTGTCTATGATGTTGAGCATATTTTGGTTTGCTGTTCTCGGTGATTTGCATTGGTTTGGCATGGTTTGGGGTGGGGTGGTGTACAAATTGTGGGCTCGGTACAAATTGTACAGTATCTGTCATTATTAGGATTGTACATTACAATATATCCTAATCACATAAAACTACTTCATACAGTATGTAGCAGCTCATAGTGTAGATTCTAACTGAGAAAAATAAGCCTTACTGTCTGACAGACTGACACCTGCACCAACACCGCTAACTCCGTCTACCTTACTTTACACCGTACTTTAGGAAATATAGTCACCAATCGCAAGCCCCCCTCAATCTCAAGGACCGTTGTGCGTGTGAAAATTAATTAATTAAGAAGGTACTGAGCACGGAGGAATAAATTAAAAGAAAGCAAACAAAAAGAAAAATCAAAAAGGACGATCTCTCTCCTCGCGCGCACACCCCGATCCCAACGGTGTTTATTCGCCAATTGGTTGATCGAGATGCACGATGGTTTTTGGAGTAGTTCTGGATATTTTAGTTTGGGACTTGGAACTTGGAGGGTGGGGACTTTTTTGTGCTTATGATTTGAGTAAGGTTTACGGGTACTTTTGTTCATGCTCGTGAGTTTGGGATTTAAGAGGTTATGGGGTTGTGGTTTGGGCAAAAGTACTGGATTTACTTTAGGATTTTCAACTCATTACTGCCGAAGTACATTGTACATGAACAGAGAGTATGTATCCCTGTGAATGTCTATGGTGTAAGAAGTGGAATACCAAGAAGTACACCGGAGTAGACAAGGCGATGAGCTTTCCCTGACGGAAGATTGAGATCATTAGATCTGGTCAGAAGATGAGGGATTCCTAGTCAATACTATGTATAGATGATGTTATACTTCCGTCTTCAATGCCATGGCTGATGTGGACAATGGACATCCTTCCGCGTACAAAGACAGAGGACGGAATACGAGATGGACTCAAAGCTACCGGCTCATCGACGATATCTGCAGATTTGCAGAACGGCGGGACCCTTTCCCCCTCTTTGCGTCTCCATTGTTTTCCCGGGCTGGACCACACGGAGAAAACAGCCTACTAATTAGAATGGCCCTGTCAGACGAGGTTCTCCTCTACTGGTGTTGGACCCACCGGGGGACTGAGGTGGAGGTCCACTCAATAATCAGTTAACACTAACAGTCTATCCTTAAGGAATGGAGCTAGTGGTTGATGGTTGCTGGTATCAGTTCTACCGAGGGTGTATCTGTCCCTAGTAAGAATGGTAAGGCAGAAATTACATGATGGATGTGGCTTGAGAAAGTGGATGCGTTCTCCGACAGTGCCTACCTTAGGTAGATGTACCAATTCAGATTAGATGAGTCTGCCCAATGATGTACATTCATAATCTTGTAAAACAAAAGAAAGATGAAATTAACTGTATCTCCCGAGTACACTGTAGAATGCAATTTCAGACATGAAATGAACAAATTGTTCTCCCCCCTGTCTGTCACACCCACTTGTCGATCATGACACCATCGCGCATACCACCTCCTCCACTGAGCATGAGGAATTGACTGAGCTCTTCCCAGCGTCCTGCGTCTCAGATTTCTGTTCCCATGGGCTCGTTACACTTCCATATCCACTCCACATACCCCTGCCCCTGAGTATGTATGATGAATGATGATACTATATGTGCGTATGTATGACTTATCCCTCCTCTTCCGGGTTGGTTAGTTGTATGTACCAAGGATAGAACTGAACTACCATGCAATGGCCTAACAATGACATTGCAATTACGGGGTATGTTCAGGTCTATCTACGGAGTAATTTCCCTGGAATTGCATTTTCTATCGGGTTGGTTCCATCTTTTCAAACTGATCTGTTTGTTTCATCCTTCCCGTACACTTACAACACCTAACGGTGTACACTGTATCCACTCGAGGTAAGAGGGGAGAGGGGCATTTTACCCAACCGACCGGATAATGATAGATAATTCAGATCTTCGGGTCCTACTGTTAGACTGTTAGCGGTCCACTTGGATCGGGTGATTCAGTTCTCTATTCTACAGTCAACGGTGTACTTTATCTAACGGTTTGGTCTCTGGTATGGCTGTACCGTGTACACTGTAGATGGTTGTGCTTGTCTTCAGGGGTTTAAATGTTTGATGTGTCTTTCTTTGTTGTCTTACTGTCTCCCTATCTTACAGGAACTATGCATCTAGTAGACAGATGAATAGTGTAGTTTGTATGGAGAACTGGTCTTACTGAGTACGAGTAGGAACTCGCAATTGAGGGGCTTCCCTCAAGCCTCATATTCATACTCATAGGCTACGAGTTCACATCCAAATTTAACATCCGGCCGAACAGTGTAGGATGATCCCGTGGGCTGATGGGGCTGCTACTGCGTATAGCTGTGGATAATAGAATGGAGGTGGAGATGAGAGGACAGTACGGAGTAGATGGATACGTATTAGTCCCTGGATACTGGATAGGGAGATTGTGGAGTCTATGCCTTCCTACAGAGTACATCTGGTCACTTACTCAGACTTACTGTGTACTCAATCTTCTCCAATTGATGGTGCTATCTCCCTCCTCTCTGGTTGCTTTCTTTGAAAGCATTGACGATCTAGTCAGATGATCCACTGCCCTACTTCGCTACCACCTATGGCATGATCTTTCCTTCGTATACAGACTTATTTCCACGGATACGGGTCGTACGGACCTCCTTCGGGAGATTTGGGCTTAGGGCCCCCTTGGAGAGGAAGCGTTTGGGGTGGGTTTCATCGTGTAACGAACAACGGCAACGGTTACCTAGGGTGGGTGGCTGAATGGCTGGTCGATGATTGACTGCCTCATTCTCTGGGTACAGTGCACACATTTTCAAGGGTTTCCGTGTCTCATCCTTGAGTTTCGTATGTAAAAATTTAATACTGAATACTAAATACTAAATAAACAGTCAAACTATCTTACTAGGTACTAACTAGCTAGGAGTTTGCTGGAAGTAAGCAGATCCTGTTACACATTATCCAACTACTACTCCATACATACATTCACATCTACCTACTTGCGCCGGTGTTGTTCGCCGGCAATTCCCGCACTCCCGGCTCATGCAACGCCCCGTCATCCTGCAGCTGCAGCGAGCGGGTGGCATGCTCTCTGTCCGGCATTTTCGCCCTATCATCGTATCGATGCGCCAGATGGTTTCCGGCAATACGCTGCGTTGTTTGGGTGCTAGTCCTTGATCCCTGATCCTTGATATGCTGCTCGCCCTGTCCATGCTGTGCTATTGTCGAGTTGGAGAACAGGAAGCAAGGCTGGGCGAGAACGAGGCGGGACTGCGGGACTTGTGATGGAGTCGGCTGCTGTGCTTGCGATGGTGCCTTGGGGGGGCTGGGGTTGGAGTGGAAGTGGTGTGGATGTGACATTGAGGCTGTTCGTGAGTCGAGAGGATATAGCCATCTCAGTGGTGTCAGAACCGTTCTGAGGACGTTCATGTTAGCAGTTCCATACGCGCTGGTCACTCGTTAGCTTCAGTCATTTCTGGGAGACTTATGACCAGTGCTGGGTAAAGAAGGACTTTGGATCGCTCGCCGCATATCACGGTGTATGCTTTGTTAGTAATGTGATGCGCTGACGCGTAGGCATTATACACTCCGTCCAGTTCGGTGACTATGATCATAACATGAAGGTCGTGACTCCGTCTTGTCCCGTTCTCAGGCCGAGGCAAGAAAACCAATGTTGCTAGGTCTCCGACAGCGAGCAGGTGTCGGTGAGTAACTGGGTGATAGAAATGGCTTGACCAAGACGAGTCGCCCCTTGGGCTTTCGTCCAGGTGAACGAGGTATAGAGAAACGTAGATTGCCTCGTAGCCTCGTCGGCATCTCTGCCTCCGTACATATAGGTATTTTGGCCGGAATCATCCGTCGACGCTGCTACGGGGCAGAAACATGTTCGTCCACTAGGGATATCTCAGAGATGGAGGCTCTGAGTGCAATTGAGGCCATGAACGAATCATGATCAGAACTAGGGGTGGGTGGTTCCAGTGAAGGCGTATGGCTACGCCGACCAGTTCTTCGAGGCCAGTCAGAAGGAAGCGTTAGGATAGAATCGGAGATTGGAGTCTTGGTATGTTCCGTCCGATAACATTCTGCGAGCAAAGCTGAAGACGCTGGGAAGAAGACAAATGCAATCTCTAGGCAGTAATTTCTGGCGGAGATTTCACACCGTCGCCCCCTTCGCTAACATCTGGTGTCGGCTTCTGATCTCTGATAGACCGTTGAAGCTTGCAATCATGCTTGGTTCCCCCACTTGCGCGACACTGTGGACATTTACGACCATGCGTAATTAGTAGCAAGTGGAGGGCATACTTGTGCTCATCGGGTATCTTATATTCAAGATGGGCGCGAGCTTGTTCTGCCGTCGCCTCCTTCGGCCGCCATCCCAAGAAACCAGTAATGCGATGAATGTGCGTGTCGACAACAAACCTGCTGTGGTGAAGTGTCAGTGCTAAGACACAGCTAGCGGTCTTGGGTCCGACCCCGTTATATGATAAAAGCTCTTCGTGGCATCGTCGTCCTCTGCATGGAGCAGGTGGTTGAGACTGTAAGTGCCATGGGCGGCCTTGACTTGGTATAAGATTTTCATGACCGTTTGGGACTTTCGAACATGCAAGCCACCGCATTGCAGTGCTTGCTGAAGTGCAGGATCCCCATTCCGAGCAATAGCTTCATAGTTGGTCCAGTCCCCGTACGCGTGCTTCATGCTGTTCACTTGTCGGATGGCGTTGTTTTCATTCGTCGCCTGGCATAGAACACCATACAGTAGTCCAACTAGAACATCAAGGAAGACGCTGGGCCATTCCGTTCCGTCCGCGGTCATTGCATTGCCGGCGAGTGGTCCGCGAGCTACGTGCGGGTCGGCGAGGATGAGGTGAGCCAGCCGACACTCCGCAGGTAGTGGACGTGGAAAATGAGGGAATGGAGACTGGCCACCAAGACGACGGTATGCATCCCATTTCTTGGTAGACCAAGGGCTCTTGGCCTGGCTAATACCTCTGGCGCTGGCGCGGATTTCACTGGGGGAAGCAGGTTTGCTGGTACCTTGTTTTAACCGACTGGAGACGCGAGCCATGATGAACTACCCGGTGCGAGAAATAAGCCAGTGCGGAGAGAACATGAAGGCAGGGGGTTGAATAAAACTCGTCGCGGATAGTAAACATTAAATACCTTCCTTCGAGTTCATGGCATCACCCCTGGAAACCCCCGATCGATCTATTTCAGCAGTCCACGGTTCTGGCTGTGCCGATCCACAAAATTGTCGGCTCGTCAAATGTAGAGGAGCCAGCCTTGTATGATTGATATTTCAGCTCAAGATGCAAAGGCCAGTGGCACTACCATGACAAATTCCCTGATAATAATGAGTAGCGGAAAGAGTAATTTGATGCATCTGCCTGGTTATGGCTGGTGAGTGGCCTAGGTCCACATTTCAGTAGAAGGATAGACCTGCATACTGATTGACTGCCCATCATCAAACGCTTGATGGATCTCATGCCTTCAACCACGAACTCTTGGCTGTATGCAGAGAAGTTCACTTCGATTTCTGCATCCTCGCAGGTGTCCGAACAATTCACTTGAGGACTCATGTTCAGGCATGTCTCCATCACTGACCTAATTAGAAATGCCAAGGTAGTCCATCCTGAGGTCCGATGGGGAAAGAGCCGGTCTAGGTAGAATTTTCCCATCAATCAATCACTTGGAGTCCACTTCTGACGGATGCAGCCGACCTCGAAGAGTCAGCGGAAGGGTGCGGTGCCGACAAAAGCGCCTCGACAAGCGTTAGTTAGGGGGTGGATCTCGGAATATTCAGATATATGACACGACGAGCGTCTTCAGCTCGTCTTCAACTGGCTGCCTCGAGATTAATCCATGCGGGCTTCATCTCCAGAGGCGTCACCAAGCAAGACAAAGAACCGGCCAGATCCGCAGAGCACCGGATATAACAGAGTGTGTAGCGACTAAGCCGACCGATCAATCTCTTTCTCTTAGTTACGGACTCTGTCCGGCAGAGATAGTGAGACACATATTTTGGATGAAGGCGTAGGGCATCGTGTGGTCATTGGACAAGCAGCAGTGGAGAGAGATGAAGGGAGGAGAACGTCGAGCTGGAGTAAGGCTTGGCGGTGATCATTGCCGCTCTCTACACCGCGGTTTGTCTTGTTTGCTTCGCATCCCAGGCTTGGCCTCATGTATAGAGGTAGTTTGCTCGGTGTACACCGTATGTGCATAATTCTGGACCTCTGGGCATCGTGGACGCAGTGTGCTATAAAATCATGGTTCCCCTGGCTGATTGATTGAATCATTCTTCAGTTCTCTCACTGCGGTCAATTTGGGTAGGTACCGCATTTCCCGGCGCCCCAGCAGCTGACTGTATACTGCCAGTAGGTAGTACTCCCAAGCTCAACGAATCATCATGAGCAACACGCTCTTTGTCCCTCCCTCTCCTCGGGTTGCCTTTGTCACTGGTGCCAATGGAATCACTGGCCATGCGATCATTGAGCATTTGATTCGTACACCCCAACATGAATGGTATGTCTAGGCGCAAGAACCTGCCTTCCGATGAGATAATCGCTTGCTCAAGATGTCCATCTAGGTCTCAGATCATTATCACGTCGCGCAGGCCTCCTTCTACCTACTGGGTTGATCCTCGTGTCAAGTTCATTGCACTTGACTTTCTTGAGCCCACGGAAGCAATCGTGAGCAACATCCAGGACGCCTGCAAGGATGTTACTCATGCATTCTTCACCTCCTATGTCCATGACAGTGAACTCAGCAAGCTGCCGGAGAAGAACTGTCCGCTGTTCCGCAACTTCCTGGAGGCCATTGATTCGGCTTGTCCGAATCTGCAACGCGTGGTACTGCAGACCGGCGGCAAGGTATGAGTCCTATCGCTACGCTCTTGCCAAGAATGAGATTCAAGGCAGGAACAAAATGGGCGCCTGACTAACACAGAACAGCATTATGGCATACAATTCCAGGGCTTGAGCACTCCCTGTTATGAAAGCCTTCCGCGGTATGATGGCCCGGGTAAAGAGACCCTGTTCTATTATGAGCAAGAGGATAGTCTGTTTGCTATCCAGAAGCGGCGTAAGACCTGGCACTATAATATCATTCGTCCCTTTGGCATTTTTGGGTTCACTCCTCAATGTATGTCCTTCTTTACTCCTTCCGTTGCATGGTAGATGATAGTTGACCTTCTTCGCAGTCCTGGGTATGAACGAAGCACTGCCTATCGCGCAGTACTTTCTGATCTGTCGCGAACTGGGCCAGAGCCCCAAATGGCCTGGGAGCTTCAATGGCTATCACCAGGTTGAGGGCCAGTGCTACGCCCCCAGCATTGCGGACATGCATGTCTGGGCTGCAACGCGTGACAATTGCAGAGACCAGGCATTCAACCACGGAAACGGCGATGCTGTGGTTTGGAGGTTTCTCTGGTCACTGTTTGGCGACTACTTTGGCAATCCTATGGACCCATCAGAAGCCCCGACCGAGAATGGGCCTCGCCAGCTGAGTCTGGCTGAGTGGGCTCAAGACAAACGGCCCGTGTGGAGGACTATCGTGGCACGATGTGGTGGTAACGTTGACTCGTTCCAGGAACACGGATTCGCCATGCTGGACTGGCTCTTCTCCCCTAGTACCCCTGGGGCGGCATTTATGACCAGTGTGCAGAAAGCGCGAAAATTCGGCTGGACTCGTATCGACGATTCATACGAAGCCTGGATCAGCACTTTCCGCTCTTATGAGAACGCCGACATTCTTCCTTCTCGAGACAGGTTATAGAAAGATCATCCGGGGTAACTCTGTGATATGGTCTGGATGCGATGGGTCGCCAGTGGCCAATGTGCTAACGTTGGGTGGTGAAGAGCACACGCGACGGGGGATCGAATAGGAAGCGCATCTGGTAGCATATATGAGCTTAATGTTCGGGCTATTCCCTTCTTTGACCAGGCAGCGTTAGAATAGACATATTTTATCGGGTCCATGGATTGCTTACTATCTAGCAGACCAGGCTGTGCTGAATAAACACATACCGTGAGGCCCCAACATGGTTTCGAGTAGGCGTATTGAATGCAGGGAAGGCTATCCGCGACAATCAAAATGAGTAGATTCGATCAATCGAGATAATTAAAGGAAAATTGTTGAGGAAGAGGTCTCCCTGGATACTAGCAAACGAGAAATACTTGGCAGGTTGCACCTCAGGCATCCAGTGCTCAGCAAGATCATTAGGAGGCTCAGTATGTGGAGAAGAGGATGCAACGTCGGTCATGCTGGAGCCCATCGTTCCACGCGTCTGTTCCATTGCAGAAAGATGATGGTTAGTCCAAGACGCAAGACGGCCTTCGCGACCGGAGAACCATGTGACGCGCTGCAGTCCTCAGGCTACGAAATGGCCCGTGCCCATTAGGTAGCCACTAATCCCGATCTGGAGGGGTTGAACCCCTGGCGCCGATAAGGTTGAACCCCCCAAAGGAGTAATGGGGTTCAACTGCCATTTGGTTGTAGGGACGAATATTCTTCTGGTTTTGGGACTTCGGTGCGGTATATATGAGGGTCCTACGATCGCAATCTGTTTCTTGAGAACCTGTACTACGCTTACGCAGCTTATTGGTGTTTGATGTCAGAATGTGTGCTACAACTCCACTGCTTCCCTGTAGGTTGCCGCGTATACGGGAACCGCGATGGGATATGTGACAGCGATGAGAGCTTGTATTTCTCGCGTTTTTACTGTGTCTGTGTGCTTATACTGGTTCTACTCTCTCTGTAGTGATTTACGATGGCTTGGGATGTTCTCATCTCCTGCGTGGTAATTACCTACGGTGACTTAGATGGGGTTGGTGGGATCTGGGTCGGTGTGGCAGTATATATATACAGTAGTCTCTCCCCTATAGCAACCATACCACCAACCCAACACGTTTCTACTGACAGCTGTAAGAAGAGAAGAAAGAATAGAGATAAGGGCCATCATTATGAAGTCCAATGAAAAATAAACGCATTCCCATATCCTAGCCAAAACCCACTGCTCAGCTACGCGTCATAGTACCGATGCCATTGGACACACTCCACAAAATCGCCGAGCACATAGACCCCAAGACGACATCGTAGAACGGGCCAGAAAGGCCCCAAGTGAATTAGAGAGCTATAGAATACGCCTGATGGACGAGCCGGCGTGAGCTCAATCCACGAAACCAGAACTACAATAAGTCATACAGTAGTACATGCATTTAAGCATTCCTCTAAATACTATTTATCATACACCGGAGAGCATCATAATCCGCAACCGTAGAGAAAGCCTAGCACTATCAGAGAGCTGCTGGATTTGAAGTTGGGTATTGGCCACGCCTGCATGCCGTCACGCGAGCATCGATTCTCGGTGGAGCAGCTCCGACGCGCCTGCTGGATACGCGCCGATAAACAACACGACCACACGAAAGACACTACAAGCACACACTGAAAAATCTAGAGACTAAATCCTTTTAAGCGTTTGTATTCATACCCGATCGCGCGATAGTAGGACGCGATACTTTCTAGGCGTGGCACCAGCCAGAAGCATAAAGGCCGCTTATGATACAGAAAAATCAAGCACGAACACCAGCAGACCAGTAGTGGACGTGGAATAGTAAAGTAAGATGCGTAAGAAAAAAGCAGAAACCCAGAGACCCATGACACTTGTAAGAAAAGATCAAGAACACCCCAACGTCCCAGTCATACCATGAACCAACCCGAAAAAGCAACCCGTCGCGTCACTGCTGCGGAAGGACAAACTGACGCGCCGACCGCGCAGGATGGCTAAAGAGAAAAGAAGCACGAAAGAAGAAAGAGAAAACGTTTAACCACCGAAACCGTACAGGGTACCTAGGAAGGAGGTCAGACACGGATTGACGGTCAGACAGATGGGAATACTCACGGCCCTGGCGCTTCAGAGCGTAGACAACGTCGAGGGAAGTGACGGTCTTTCTCTTGGCGTGCTCAGTGTAGGTGACGGCATCACGGATGACACCCTCGAGGAAGGTCTTGAGGACACCACGGGTCTCCTCGTAGATCATGGCAGAGATACGCTTGACACCACCACGACGCGCGAGACGACGGATAGCGGGCTTGGTGATACCCTGGATGTTGTCACGCAAAATCTTACGGTGACGCTTGGCACCACCCTTGCCGAGACCCTTTCCACCTTTGCCACCTATTGAAGAGACGCGTCAGTTGGGATGTTCATGATCCGATGGAATCCAGATGGATGATCGATGTTGTGGAGAAGAGAAGAGATAAACTTACGTCCAGTCATTGTGAAGGTTAATTAGAAGTTAAGAGGGAAAGAGGATAAAGTTGTGTTTTAGAGATTGTGGAGAGACAGATGGATGACGGATGAGATAGATGGAAAAGGAAAGATGGGAGAAGCGTGCTTGGGACGGGAGATATTTGTATAAGGTGCCTGGCCAAGGGAGGATCGCGGGGGGCGCGTTGGAATCACGCCGGGCACTGCGGATCAGCCAATCAGCGTGCAGGATCCGGCTGGCGGAAGTGATCTGGCGGTCCCGTGACCTGGCGGCGGTGATCCGCCGGTCGCAGGGTGATCTTGCCAGGACGGCACCCAACCACGAGAATCAGGGTGGCGGGAATGATGGGAGCATTCCGGTGAGTACGTCGAATGTGTCTGATCCGGTGAATTGGGCAACATTCTCGCTCTGGGGTTGGGATCAAGATGTGGCAGGGAGGTATTCTAGATGCGTGATCCTGGGCTCTCATTGGCCGAAGCGGACGGTCTCGCTTAGCGCAGCGCAGGGGCCAACGTGACTCCTTCGGGAAGCCCCTTTGATTCTCAGGCCAAAGTGACTGCCGGAAATCAGAGCTTACCATCTGCTGCTTTCCGAGCGTTTTTTTGATCAAACCCAAGCCGCGCTAAGGCCACCCAACTTTGCAGGCAGCCACTCCCAGATCAACCACCCTCCCTTTCGCTTGCTACAAATACCTTCCCCCACCCGCCCCCTCCATCCTTCTTTCATCTCCTCCATCCGTCGACAACCTCATCGCCTCTCCATCGACTTTTTATCATCAACGTCATATTTTCATCTTCAAGTCGACCGTTTCCATCAAACAGTATCCACTACAATGGCTCGCACTAAGCAGACTGCCCGTAAGTCCCAACCTCACTGTCCCTTCTCATGGTGTCGCTGTTTCGCGTCACGGTCGCGTCTCTTGGCCGACCTCCCGTGTCTTATCATCAACCCATACTAACCTATCTTTCCTTCAATAGGTAAGTCCACTGGTGGCAAGGCTCCCCGTAAGCAGCTCGCTTCCAAGGCTGCCCGCAAGGCCGCTCCCTCCACCGGAGGTGTCAAGAAGCCTCACCGCTACAAGCCCGGTAAGTTCCCATCGTCGCCTCTCAAGTGGCAAATCATGGACAACCCTGCTGACTGATCATCAAAGGTACCGTCGCTCTCCGTGAGATCCGTCGCTACCAGAAGTCCACCGAGCTTCTGATCCGCAAGCTGCCCTTCCAGCGTCTGGTCCGTGAAATCGCTCAGGACTTCAAGTCGGACCTCCGCTTCCAGTCCTCCGCCATCGGTGCTCTTCAGGAGTCCGTCGAGGCTTACCTCGTCTCCCTCTTCGAGGACACCAACCTCTGCGCCATCCACGCCAAGCGTGTCACCATCCAGTCCAAGGACATCCAGCTTGCCCGCCGTCTCCGTGGTGAGCGCTCTTAGATTTATGTCTAATGAGTCGATTCTTTCTTCTGGTTGGCTCCTGGGAAGGCGATAATGGGGTTTTGCTTTTTTCTTTCATGACTACTGGCGATACATGACGGGTTTCTTTTTTTCGAATATCAATGGGTTCCGGCTATGGGTTTCAAGTTTTTTATTTCTTGCTGCGCAACAAATAGTAGGCTGCCTAGTCAGCGGCTGGGTGGATTGGGTTTCACGGATGCATCCGAACATGTATATTAATTCTGATTTGACTCAGGGCGTCTCTGATCTTACTTCGAGATAGCCGAACGGATGGCATAGACGCGCAATGCAGTCTCTATGATGAAATACTCAATCCAAGTGTCTTCCCGAAATCCTCTTTGCCTGTAGATGAGCTTTGTAGACTCGGTGGCGATCACACGGTCGCATTGTCAGGGTGGTGACTCCGTGTAAAATTGTCGTAGGAACAGTCAATGATCGCAAAGATTCTAATCGCCACCGAGAATACGATGCGTCGCTACGAAGTACGAACGATGAAGTGCTTCACGAGCCACCCCTTTCTACGAACAGTCGAGTACCCCCATCTCCGACCGCAAATTCTTCAGAAGAAGTCAATGTAACGTTGTCCCATCCTTGCTAGCAAGGTAAGTGGATGACGCACCCCGGGCGATTCCGTCCGACCTGCATTCGGAGATCGGGAAGTTCTCTCTCGCACCAGTTCTTGATTCGTTATCTGCAGTACATGAGTGAGGGGTCGTCTTTATGGTATTTTTTTTATTTGGTTTAAGTGCAGATGCTAGATATTTGGTAAGGGGCATAGATGGATGGATGGATGGATTCTGTTGTCGATGCCGGATGCTGAAGGAAGGAAGGGGTTCCTCGGGCGCTTTCGTGGGACAAGAGGTGTACCTTGGATCTAGTATAGAAAATAGATCATTCGAAATCCCACAGAGAAGAAGGAAAGGCTCAGAGGGATGGGGATATCTGGACATTCGCATTTCGATTGTCCCAGTCTTCGTCCTTTGTGGGGTTGGGTGGCGACTGGGCCTCTGTGTTAAGGCAAGTCTGTGGGATATGGCAAGTACAGGGTAGGATAGGTGAATACCGAGTAAATCTACATCGATATTTGCCTGGGAGAGCGAAGTATATCTCTCGATTTGATTCTCAAATGGTCGTGATATGCCGCTTATCAAGCTCTCATAGATGTTATTATGGGGAAAGTAGTTATCTAAAATGATCTGAACTCTGGTGGAATCTATATATAAGCCGTGCCGATACTCGATACCAAGCGCTAATATTCTCAGACACAAGCTCGCCGGACGAAAGTGCCAAAGCAGCGTCATCGAGTCCAAGCGAGTCCAATCAGAAAGAACCAGAAATGATCCTAGAGACCCAGAACCGATAATTATCTCGGGATTCTGATAGACCGACTTGTTCGCCTCCGATCGGATTGTAGACATGGACCACGGTACCTTCGGAATAAATCCTTCGCTGTCCGTTGACCGTTGACCTGCAGGATTGCGTGAGCTGTGAATATTCGTAGAACTGGAAGAACGGTCATTGTTAGCCACTGAACAAACGAGCTTCGCGATCGAGGAAAGATGGACGAGAAGCACGGTTGAAGGGACGGAAGGCAGTGGTTCCCTTGGCTGCTCGCCTAACTACGGGACTTGGCAGTAGAATAGAGATTGAATGATTCGGTTGCCGAGTGATCCCGGGACAGCGAGCGCTTTTCTCTGAGAAAGAATTTTCAATGTAGAAAATGTTCAATTTGAACGAGAAAAGCATGTTGATAGAGCGACAAGATATGATCGGGCTCGGATCATGGTCCCATCGTACGAATGTGTCCTTGGTGTCTGTTACCCATGGGATCCCGGTAGGACCTGTTCGCATCATGAACTTGAACGGTTGAGTCTGCTTCAGTTATAGCGGCAATATGGTAGTTCTTTGGCTTTTTATTGTATTCAGCGACTGGATTCAGTCTGGAGTTCAAGACCAGCATTGGATGAATGGCCAGTTTCGAGATGGTCTGGCTAGAACGACGGAGAGAATCTTCCACGGGGATTCCATTTCCATCGTGCCAGGCTCCATCGGGCTAAGCTATATTTAGCCGGCAGATCAAAGGCAAAAAATAAAATCAAAATTCAAAAGACACAACCTCCCAATTCGGATTTAATATTAAAGCCACCCAGTTCTCCCAGCTTCCTTCCATGATTATAATAATTCCTTCTCGCTTGACTAACAATCCGCAGGCAACGACAATCCATTAAAATTCTGCCCAACTCGGTAGATCAGTAATCAGGCCAGCATCAACCGAGGTAAAACCCCCCAAAACGATAGCGGATGGATTAATTTAACCAAGCACCCAGGGAACAAGCCCGGTGAGTCCCCTATTCGTCAATCCCAAACAAATGACCAACCCACAGTTCAGAGGATCCTTAATTTAATCTCCCCGATAATGAGCATAAGCAATAAAATTATAAAGCCCACTCCGTCGGCGCTAGGAGTAGGAAGGACGCAGCAGCCCGATCCGGCCCCCGGTGGTCTCGTTATCTGGTCCCGGTCGGCTTCGTTCCTTTTCCGGAGTGGTGCCGACCGAGGTTGATCCTGTAGGAGATATATATCTCTGTATTAAGCTGGCTACTGTGCAGTATACGCGCGTACCCTCAGGTACATGCGAATCGCGAGATAAGGTCGATGCGAGTAGGACGAAGATAGCATTTTTTAATTCCATTAACTCCGCTCAGCCAACACTCGCTCCTGCAAACGTAGATGTACAACTACTAGGACCCTACAATTCGAGTACGTCAACTGATTCAAAGCTTAGACAAGAGTCAGATAGACTGGACGGGCTATATCTAATCGGGACAAAAGGCCAACAGTTAGTGGGTCCAACACGGACACCCCGACAGATCATGGAGGTCAGGTCGGGTCAAGATGACATATCGTATAATCATAAAGTGTTCATTATCCAACTCTAGTATCGAGTATCAATCTAGGATGATGTGACGATGAACAAATGGGTCATTCGGTAGATCGAATGACGATGATGCATGACTGACGAAGGCAGACCGCCAAGTATGCAAGCATCTATCAGATCACTTGGCAGTCGGGTAGAATATACGGTGTACAAAGTAGAACTGAAACGGTCGAAACCGGTAGATTCGAGATTGTAGAAAGTAGATACATCATACAACGTATCTAGATACTCCAGGGTCCGATCTGGAGGGTTCGCGAATCTGCCAGAGCCTCTCCCCCATCTCCATGCCGACCAACACCGCAAGGTGCATAAAGCGAAGTGTGGCTGAACTCTGAACCGGTGGAGATGCCGTTCCAGCCGGAGTCCACTTGCGCTAATCCCCATACGGGAGCTGCTCCTCCCCGTTGACCGCTGAGTAATCAACAATCTCCCGAGATCATTTTGGAGTTGAACATCCATGAATGAACACTTGACCATATACATACATCTCTCCGCTGGGGACAGCATTATCTCAGCATACCATGAATGTCCAACAGATGGACCGACACAGAATCGGATCACCCAGCTTGAAATTCTCTAACTAATCCTTTGAAAATTTGATCCGCGGCAACGCCACGAGGAACGGACAAAAGACCCACATCGGCCGACTCCGACCAGTCTCGACAGCTTCGACCCGCCGTGAATAGTCCTAATGCGCTGCATAAGCCCGGGTTAATGTCTGGTTTTCGGCGGATTGTCCCCTTTTCTTACCCGCTTGGGTAGTTGGTCCTTTCGGGCCCCTCTGTCGTCTGTCCCTGAGCCCGGTTTAGATCCGAGGCTCAGAGCTTGACGGAGTCAGTCCATCACTAGATGGCTTTAATGAAAATTTCTGGCCTGGACTCCGCTGGAGGGTGGCCTGGTATATAAACCGTTCGGCTGCCCCCCTCTTGCATACAGTTTAGCCCTGTTTGATCTTCATCTATAATTCTGATTTCCGTTTATTTCCTACCATTTACATTCTTTTCCTAACCAACTAGCTCTACTACCTAATCTTGACTGGCTCCACTGACTCTATTTACCTCACTACACCGTATCGCCAACGGTTGCTCTATCCGACCTTCAGTACGCTATCTAATATCATCAACTAATTCCCAACTTCAACTACTCTCGTCTCTCTCGCCCACCCTTCTTTATACCCTCTGATCTACCTCGCCATTCGCACCGCTTCGCCATGTCCGAAAAGGAGGACCTTGGCCCCTCCAAGATCGAGGCGCCCGTCAGCCGCCATATCCCATACTGGCGCATCGTTGCCGATCAGGGCGCCGTGACGCAAGATGTTATCGATCACCCATACCCCGGCTCGGGAACGGAGGAGGACCCTTACTCCATCACCTGGATCCCCGACGACCCCCGCAATCCCATGCAATTCAGCCCGGTGAAGAAGTGGTTCATCACGATGATGGTGGCTATCGCAACCCTGGCCGTTGCCTTGGTGTCGTCCGCCTACACGGGCGGTGTTGCGGAAATCGAAAAGGAGTTTGGCATTGGCAGCGAGGTCGCGACCCTCGGTGTCTCTCTCTTCGTCTTGGGTTTCGCTGTTGGTATGTTGGGGATGCTGGCAACATTTAGCGGGGATGATATCACTAACATGGCTCCTAGGTCCCCTGCTTTGGGCTCCCCTCAGTGAAATGTTCGGCCGTCAGGTCGTCTTCTTCGGTACCTACATGGCCTTGACTGCCTTCAACTCTGGCAGCGCCGGTGCCCAGAACATCTGGACTCTGATCATTCTTCGTTTCTTCGCCGGTTCCTTCGGTGCCTCGCCCTTCACTAACGCGGGTGGTGTCATCGCCGATATGTTTTCTGCTAAGGAGCGAGGTGTTGCCATGAGTTTGTTCGCGGCTGCTCCTTTCCTCGGTACGTTCCCCATTATCAGTGATTTAGTGGTTTTCCAAGCTAATTCATATCTTTGCAGGCCCCGTCCTCGGTCCGATTATTGGTGGATTCCTCGGAATGAACGCTGGATGGCGCTGGGTTATGGGTTTCCTGGGTGCCTTTTCCGGCTTCGTCTGGATCCTCGGCTCTCTTCTGGTCCCCGAAACCTACGCCCCGGTGCTTCTGCGTCGTCGCGCCGAAAGACTTTCTCAGCTTACCGGTAAAGTGTACAAGAGCAAGCTCGACATCGACCAGGGCAGAACCACTCTCCAGGCGGCCTTCAAGACCGCCCTGTCGCGTCCCTGGGTTCTGCTGTTCAAGGAGCCCATCGTCCTCCTGCTCAGTCTGTACATGGCCATCGTGTACGGAACGCTTTACATGCTGTTTGCCGCCTACCCCATCGTGTTCCAGGTGTACCGTGGCTGGAACCAGGGCATCGGAAGTCTCCCGTTCTTGGGTATCATGATTGGTATGATGGCTGCGGTGGCCTACAGTATTATGGACAACAAGCGTTACGTCAAGACTGAAGCGAACCATGGCGGATTCGCTCCCCCGGAAGCCCGTTTGCCGCCGTGCATGATCGCGTCCATTGCTATCCCCGTGGGTCTGTTCTGGTTCGCCTGGACCAACTACCCATCCATCCACTGGATGGCCAGCATTGCCGCCGGTGCTCCGTTCGGATTCGGTATGGTGTTGGTGTTTTTGAGTATCATGAGTTATCTGATCGACACCTACACCATCTTCGCCGCCTCGGTTCTGGCCGCCAACTCCGTGCTGCGTTCGGTCTTTGGCGCCGTCTTCCCTCTTTTCACCACCTATATGTACCAGGACCTGGGTATCCACTGGGCCTCGTCCATCCCGGCTTTCCTGGCCCTTGCCTGCGTGCCCTTCCCCTTCCTGTTCTACAAGTACGGCCCGGCCATCCGCACTCGCTGCAAGTACGCCGCCGAGTCGGATGCGTTCATGCGCAAGATGCTCCAGCAGGTCAAGAAGGGGCCCGAGCCGGAGCCCGAGACCGAAGCGCTGAAGGACGAGGAGGCCTACGATCGTCGGGAGGCGCCCGCCCCCGAGGTTTCCGACGACAGCGAATCCGACTCTCACGTTGACGAGCTCCCCAACATTCACCAGACCCGCAGCAGGGCGTCGACCGTCCGCACGGTCGCCTCTCAGACCAACAAGTCGATCTACGACGCGAACCCCTACGACATTGACCGGGTTAACACTCGGGAATCTTTCAAATAGAATTCTCCATTTCAATTTCGCCGATACATATGCGCACCCTTACTCCGCACTACTATCGCGGATAATTTTTAGTATCTATTGACTCTTTCTGCCAACCACTGATGGTTAGACACGCGACGTGTCCACGTGAGATGTGATTGATGGAGAGAAAAAAAAGTTCCTTTTTTGCATTGTTTATATCGTTTATATTTGGCATATTTGGTCAAACCTGCATCTAGCCTTGTTGGCTTCTACACGACTTGTTCCATGTTGATATACCCAGTGTCATTGCGTTGTTTTGATTCTAGCATGATAGACGGAGGAGTTGGACGGAAGCATCCACAGTCATCGTTATAGACGGCACATTTAGTTAGCATTCTCCACAATATCAGATTATTAATGACTGAATTGCCTTTTTCTCGGAGTTAAGATTAAGACCTTTTGAATTCGTGCCGACCGGAAACCGCCGACCTCGGCTTTTGTCTGCCTGAGTCAGTACCGCCGATTGCGACTTTTGGTCTTCTTCTCTCACCTTGTTATTCTCCATTCTTCAATTCTCCTTCTCTGACTCACACCTGATCTGATCACCTGCTGTCTCTCGTTTTGTCCTTCTTGTCTTGTCGTCGCTGGTCTGCAGCGTTTCTGCGTTTGCTTTCTTTTTCATCTTCGACGCATTTTTATATTGATTAAGACGAAGACCCAACTACCACCGGCCAGCGCATGCGAAATGAGGCACACGCTGGTCCAGTTCACGGGACGAACAACCCTCTCTCCACGATCCTCGCTTCCCTCTCGTCTGCGATCGCGTCGATATCAGTCCTCCGGATCGCCGCAAAAACAAGAACCGATTTCCGACAAGAATAACCTCTCCCCTTCGAACGCCCAGAATTCTTCATCTCCCTCCGCCCCCGCCGTTCCGGGCCCGCGATCGTTGCGCCAGATCATCTCCGACGGTCCCTTGGGGAAACTGGGTCGGTCATACTCGCGCGTTCAAGAACGGCGACCGTATGCTACACAACTATGGAGTTCGATTATCGTGTACCTGTGTGGCGACTTGAGCGCGCAGTTTCTCTTCCCGTCGCAGAATACGTCGGTCCAGAACAAAGATAGCCAGGGATCGCAATCAGGGGAGGAGGATGGAGATGCAGCGACTAGTCAGGGTGGCTATGACCCGTGGCGAACCATGCGACACTTGGTTGTCGGCTCGGGATCGAGTATCCCCTCGTATACCTGGTAAGTTCCTCTTGCTCAGAGAAGATTGTGTAAGGTATGCGCCGTGCTGACTGAGTCATTGAAGGTTCATGTTCCTCCACCACAATTTCAACTTCGCGTCCAAATTCCTCTCCATCCTCACCAAGGTCGTCGTGCAGCAGGCCGTCTTCACCCCCGTCTTCAACACCTACTTCTTCAGCGTGCACTCTCTCCTGTCCGGCGCCTCGCTGGAGGAGACGTGGGAACGCCTGAAGAAGGCGCTCCCCGTCAGCATCACGAACAGCGCGAAGCTGTGGCCCGCCGTCACGGCCTTCAGCTTCATGTACGTGCCGCCGCAGTTCCGGAATATTTTCTCCGGCGTGATCGCGGTCGGCTGGCAGACGTATCTCAGTTGGTTGAATCAGAAGGCTGCCCGGGAGGTCGAGGCGGCTGAGTTGGTCGAGGCTGAGATCTCGCGGGTTGGACTTGAGACGTCGGGGGCTACGATGAAGGCATAGCATGCTCCATTTTCTTTCTTTCTTTCCTTTTTTTTTTCGTATGTTTATTTTTCCAGGACCTCAGGCACATAGATGGGGGCTTTTTGTGGATTGGGTTTGGATAGATCATAGATTAGCGTGTCTTTCAGCATACATGCAATACCCTAGATAGAGTTGAATAGACCATGATTATATACATAGAAATATATCAAGCCAAGACATAAAGAGACTTGAGGAGATGAATGGAACTGATCGAATGTAACGTCAGCGAACCGAAGACCCGCCCATCCGACCGCCGATGAAAAGGTGACCACCACAACCTCGTCGTCAACTCTCTTTCCCTCTCTCCTTCTCCCCACATCCCAAGCGCATGAGATGGCATGATCTCCCCCTTCGAGTTGCAGGCATGTCCTGCCCACCACCTTCGCAAACAGTAAACTCCGACGCCGATAGCAGCGACTACGACTCCGACTTCACCCCGGACGAAGAGGCGTTGCTGCACGACCTCCTCGACAAAGTCGCCCCTCCCGCGACTGCGACTTCATCATCCCCTGACGTCGCCACAGCTGCTACTGCTGCCACCACAAGTACTACTACTCCTTCTCTTCCTCTATATCCTCCGCCAATTCCTCCGCGATCGCCCTCGCAGCAGACTTTTACGAGTACCACTGCCGTCGTCGGAGATATCGAGGACTATTATGGGGATCCGGCGTCTGGGCGCGTTCCTCGCGTCTTGGGACGTCAGATGCCCCCGTGGCAGGTTGCGAAGACGAGGAACATCAACAGACCTACAGGTACACCTACAGCTGCTCCTGTCTGGTCCGTGGCAGGGGGTAGGGCGAATCCAAACCCAACTCAGAACCCACGCTACGGCAACGGGAACGCCGCGTTTGGTAATATTCCCTGATCGCTTTTCCCTTTCCCTTTCCAGTTGCTTTGGCCATAATTGGGTCCCTTCCGAGACATGATGGGTTGACATCCACCCACGAAGCGATTAGTTGAGCATCCGGATTCTACGGAAGGGCGGAACCGCGACCGCGAGCGAGAGGCGGCGCGTCACCAAGACCAACAAGCCGGACAAGGACAAGGACAGGGCGAGAATCAATATGTCGATACGTCGGTCGGATCTGGGCCTCAATCCCCGCTGGAACGGTTCCGTCGGCCGCCGAACAAGGCTTTCTCCGTGACGGATCTGATCTCGCCGTCGTGGTGCGAGCTACAGTATTGGTATACGTTGACGAAGTTCGGGCGGAAGCGGCGCACGCCCGCGATGAAGAAGGGGACCACGATCCATAAGACGTTCGAGGATGAGGTCTACACGACTGTCGCGGTGGATATCACGACGAAGGAAGATGCGCTGGCGCTGCGGATCTGGAATGCCATCCAGGGGCTGCGTACGCTGCGGGAGTTTGGGCTCACGCGCGAGCTGGAGGTCTGGGGCGTGGTGGATGGTCAGCTGGTGAATGGCGTGATTGATGAACTCTCGTATGAGTGTCCGGACTCAGAGCTGGAGGACTCCGCGGCGGAACATTATGCGGACGTCGAGGCCTCTAGGGCCGTTTTGCCGGAGTATCAGATGTCGTTGACGGATTATTTGCTGTCGCCGTCGCAGGGGGGTCGGCGGTTGTCGGATATGAACTTGCGAGACGAGGAGGAGCCGGCGCAGGGGTCTGACGACTCGTTCAGTATGGGGAGCCAGTCGACGGCGGAGATGCTGCATCTCCCGCGCATATACATGACCGATATCAAGACGCGCGGGGGCAGTGGCTCGCTGCCCACCGTCAAGAGCACGTCTTTTCGGCCCACGTCGCTGCAGCTGCAGATGTATTATCATATGCTGAATAGGCTGGTCACCAGCGACGACGTCACGATCGAGATGCTGGCGGCGCGCTACGACCTGGATGCGCAGCGCACGTTCACCGATGCTTTCATCACGGAAGTCGGCGGCCTGAACGATCAGTTCTTCGACGCTCCGTCGTCCCCCGAGTACGACCCCGACGTCATCCCCACCCCAGAGGACGCGAGCATGCGGACTTCCCCGTCGCAGGATCTCAGCTTCAGCTCGAGCACCGGCTCCGCTCCCTCCGCCAGCCAGGACTCCACCAGCGTGCTCCTCACCCACAACAACCTCACCAGCCTCTGGAATCTCATGATAGAGCAGTTCCGCCTCACCTTCCTCCCTCCCCCGCACTCGTCGACCGTCTCCGTTGCGCCCTCCATCCCGTCGGAATTCCAACCGTCCCTGCTCGAGCCCTATCCGACCGTACTCTCTCCGCTTCTCACGGCGCGCTACATCTCCTCCACGCCGGCCGAGGACTCGTCCCGGCGCGAGCTCGGCAGCCGCTCATTCCTCTTCGATCCTACCACTCTAACGTCGTATCTGGGCGACCAGATGGAGTGGTGGCGCGGCGAGCGCAACCCGCGCGGCGTCGAGGTCATGGAGGCGTGGAAGTGCCGGATCTGCGAGTTTAATGATGAGTGCTCGTGGCGACAGGAACGGGAGTGGGCATTTGCTCGACGGAAGAGGGGAAGAAGAGGGTCGACGGCTGCTGTTTAGTATACGTATTGGATTGGGGTGATTGGCGTATATCGTCAATGTGTTTACCTATGGTGTATACGATGTACTTGCATGTGAGAGAAGTGATAGATGTATGTAATTGACAGACAATAACGCGAATAAGAATAATAAAATCTACCTAGTATACGACCATGACGACCTCATCAATCAAATAAAACGATACCCATGATCAAAAAGGATATTTCCTCCTCTCCTCCTCCCCTTCCACATCCAACCCATTCCTAACCTGCTCCTCATGCATCCGATCCAAATACTCCAACAACACCTCCCCATACCTCTCCCTCCCCTTATAAACCGCAACATCATCCCCCCAACTCCTCACCGCGCTCGCCAACCTCCCAGGCACATAATCCTCTTTCGCCACGTCCACAATTGGCTCGAAGTACGTGCGGATCGTAAACACCACCCCACCCGACCTCGGCAACCGTCGTAGCGACTGCCTCTCCGACCTGAAATAATGGTTCTCGATCGCCTTGTTCTTCTCCGCTGTATTCCACCCGACGCCGTCGCCGTCTTCGTCGCCGATACTAACTGACCAGGGCAGGTGTTCGTCGACTTGGATGAAGTAATTGTTTCGAATGACGGGGTCTGAAGGTTTCAGGCGGCGGAAGAAATTCAGCATTCCTTTTTCGAGCTTGGTTTTGTAGCCTGGTACGTTGCCGGACGTGTGGATTTCGGAGAGTCGCAGGCCGTATTTGTCTTCGAGGCGCCAGAACCCGGCGAGGAGGATTGCGCCTGCGAGGAGGTAGTAGTCGCCGTCCGGGCGTTCGATCATTATCGCGATGTCGTCTTGGATGAGACGCGCGCAGGTTGTCATGGGGTCTTCGGGGAGGGGGCGCGTTGTGATGTCGAAGGTTTCGTGGGTTATGAGGTTCGTGAGGCCGGTGGGGGTGCGGTGGAAGAGGGTTGGGTAGCGTTCGGGGAGGTAGTTTGTTCTTTTGGTTGATGGGTTAGTTGGAGATGTTGTGGTGACAAGGTATGCTGTGGAGGGATAGATCTAGATCTGATCTAGATGCTGTATGTGATAGATATGAGGGTGGATAAAAGTGAGGAAACGTACAATTCCTCCAACAACTCAATCGCCGCATCCATTGCCTCGGGCGCGGTTCGACAGCATTTCGAGCCCCGGTCTTTAATGCGCTGGGCTTTGTCGCCGTGGTAGCGGAGGTAGTGGTTATCGAGTTCTACATATCCATCCGTTAGATCCGAATTCACATATTTCAAGGGTGTTAAATGCTATACCGATCCACTCATCCCAGTTCATGCTCCGGAGTCCCATGGTGATGAAGTACTTCCTACAGCGATTCGTTAGAACATGATAGAGGAGAATGCAAGTCTGGTTGTAACTCACGGCCCGTATCGAAACGGCCGGTATGGGATGGGCTTGGTGGTGTGCACGTCCCAGTCTGGATACGGCGATGCAGGAGGGCGTTTGAAGTCGGAGGGGATCCATTCTGGATTATATGACAAGGTTAGCTTGATGGTATATCTAGTAGTAGAGGGAGGTAGATAACCTCCTGGTTTCCTCTCGGGCGATTTCTGCTCAAGATCCGGCGTCGATGGTCGAGTAGATGCTTGCGATTTCCTTTGAAGGAAGCGGACGACGAGAGAGGCGCCGAGGGCCGCGAGGAGGAAAATGGCGGTGACGTCTTGGATACGATAAGGACCGATACGGAGGTGGAGGAGGTCAAGTTTGGACATGATTCTTCCGAGGACAGAGTACTTGGAGGGTTCGTAAGGTGTTATACTATGCTAGTCGTGAGATGAAGTCGAGACTGACACTGACTACATGATTCTTTTCTACCAGGACCATTTCATCACCGGCCCTGTTTAAGTGATCGGACCAGATAGGCATGCACATCCGATCTGCAGAGGCGTCGGATGCGAGGATCGACCAGAAGTCATGGGGAAAGGCAGAGCTTATCTCTGGGATTTCTTATCTCGAATAGGAAATCCCCGCATGCCGCCCAGAGCATGACATGCGAGGGCGCATCGGGCCTACAAACAGGGACATTCTGCCCTCATTCTATTCGATGGTTTTATACGAATTGGCTGGTCAGGCGGCGGTATCCTGACTTCTGCGTCGGAGCAGACAGTATTGACCCCAGTGGCGGCGGAATTGATCCGGGATGAGAGGGAAATCCGGGATCCATACCAGTCGCCCCAGCAGTCCGGTCTGTGACGTATCCAGGAAATCCTTGCAGGAAAGTCGCTCCCACCGCGATTCGTCGTGCACGTAGTCAGGCTCGCGCTCCGTGGTTGACTGTCCGGGGAAGGACGAGTCGACAAGGAACGAGCATTGCGAGATGTCCACCTAGCAGCCGATTAGATTGAAAAGAATAGTAGGACGACATTGCAAGGCTTACATATTTGTTAAGATCCTCCTCGTTAAGGTCGTTCATACCCTCGGGAATCCGCGAAGTTCCCTCTAGTAGCGAAGACACACTCGCTGCGTCAGGGAACTCGCCCGGAAGCAACCCGCGGAACTCGCTGCGGATGAATTTGGCGCGCATCCCCTCGGGCAAGAAAAAGGACGATGGGAACCGATACCACTCCTTGCCAAAACACACCGAATCGCCCGCCTGAGCAACGCCGGGCTGCTCCAACGGGGCGAACACCTTCAAAGGCGCGTTGTAGGCGGTGATCATACCAACGGTTCGCAACAGGCCGGCGTTGACAGCGGCCAGAACCACGGCCATGACGGCTGCCAGCTTCAGCTTGGCCGGAATCCGTCCCATGAGCTCTCGAGGATTGCCGGACCCGACGTAGGAGAGAATCATGTGGAAGGAGATGGATGCATTGAGCGCGAGGAAAGGGTACACGGGATACATGAATCGCTCTTCCTTGTGCGGCTGCAGAGTGAAGATCGCAAACCACATGTAGAACGGCGTGATGAGGGTGACAGTGCGCCAGAGAGTCTCCTTGCTGGTCGTCTGCTGTCGGAAGGTGGCCTGGAAAAAGAGAAGAGGCGCCGCAGAAATGGCAAAGACAAACCAGATGTTGAAGTTGAGCAACAAGTTCCGGAAATAGAACGTCCACGGCTCAGTCCCAAAGATTTCTGGGCCCCGACCCTCGCCCCCGAAGACATTGTATGCGACGATGTTCCAGGGCACGATGGCAAACTTTCGGAGGAAAGCGAAGTCGACGCCGATTTCCACAGCCTGGATGGATTAGCATGGATTGTAGGATTCTAGAACGAGCGCATAAGAGCCTACCAAAATTGCCAGACATCTCAAGGCCCCGTTGAGAATATTGGCAAAAACCGTGCGCAAAGACCCAGAAATAAAACCAATGACGACTTCCTCTAGCAGAAGAGGTACGATCAATGCTCCGGCAAACGGCCAACCCACGATCGCCCCCAGTCCAAACCACATGATACCCTGGGCTGTTTTCTGACCGGATCTCCAATCCAAGAACGCCGTCAGACCGAGCATGGACATGTACATGGTAAAGCTGGACGGAAGAAACGAGGCCGATGCGTGGAACATGCCCGGGCTGAATGCGATCACCATGAGAAAGAGTAGGCCGATCCGGGGGCTCAACGTCCGACAAATGGCCGAGTATAACCTCGTCTGACAAGCGGCGCAGAAGAGGGCCAGGAAGACTCGGATGGCGTAGAATTCGGCCCTCTTAGAGCCGACAACGAAAGAGCCGAGCTTGCCGACAAAGGCATGGATGGTGATGTAGAGCCAGCTGCGGATGGAGTAGACAGGCGAGTACTCCCACGTCTGCAACCCGTATCCATGATCGATGTAATGTGTGGGTTCCCAGAAATTGAACACTTCGTCGCAATCCTGAATCGGTGCAAGGAAAGCCGCGATTCCATTCGAGATGAGGCACGCGTAGAGAGTGATGTTTAAGGGAATGTAGAACGGTGATGGAGGGGGACTGCGACAGGCGATTGTTAGCTGGACGGCCAAATCTGAGCTCTCAGAAGTCCCTACCGTTGCTTGGTGCGAGGAGGAGCCCGTCCTGCGGGAACTGGGGGAACCTCGACGTTCCTCCCGGCAGAAGCCATTGTCAAAGGGTATTTAATGGAGTTCTTGTCGAGAGAAGAGGCGAGATGGAAGCTCCGAACACCTCGCGACTTATCGATAAAGCTGCTCCGGTGACCGCAACGGCAACTTTGGCACTTCCGGCAGAAAAAAAAAAAGTTAGCGGTCACTTTCTTCTACATTCATGCAACAATCCACCTCCACTTCTCTTCTTTCTTCCTTTCTTTTTCAAAGCTCTAGAGTCTGGTCGCGCTTTCTCAAAAACTCCAGGAATTCGACAATGAGTGACCAACAACCTCCTGTCCCTCAGGACATCCAGAACGAAGGTCCGCCTGTGAAACGAGCTTGCATGAACGATACGCCGCCGATCGCATTAACGCCGGCGGACGATGGAAGCGATTTCTACAATACTCCTTTGGCGACAGGGACGCCGGTGAACCATAATGAACAACAGACTTCTGCTCCAACTCAACCTAGCGAACCTGTCCCCGCTACTTCTGCGCCGCTTATCCCAGGGTTGAATCTGGTCAACAATAGCCTTAAGGAACTGCAGTCGGTAACGAGCGAGTCGAATACTGCCCGGAGTTCTCCCAACCCCGAAAGTGTTACTACAACACAGGATCAGAATGCCTCCCAATCATCCATGTCGCAGGATCAGCCAGAGACGGCCGCAGAAGTGACCAAGGAGTCTGCCCCCCAAAATCATGATGCGATGGAGGTGGAACAGACCGGGGAACAGCACAACCAGAACGAGACCTCGCATTCTACGGCCGAGGAGACTGTCACCAACGGCGAGAACACCAACGAACCTAGCAATGCCGCCGTCGCAGGCCCTACCGAGCATGCGCAAGCCGAGGGGGAGGAGGGAGAAGAAGAGCACCCTGAATGGGAAATTGATTCCTCCCCCTACGAGTCCTCTTCCGACAGCTCCGATTCGTCCGATGACAGCTCCTCCGAAGACGAAGATTATCCGATTCTTAGTCCCGAAGAACAAGCGCGCATCCTGATGCAAGCCGAACTCGGCTCCGACGACGAAGGAGATGGCAAAGGCAAATCGGGTGGTCACATTCGGACGGCAAACGAGGTTCTGGAGGAGGCTCCCGCCCTCCCCGAAGTTACCATCACCCCGGATATGAAAATCGTGCTCTTGGGTAATGTGCAAACTATCGTCGAGAACACCGTTCTGATCTCGGCGAACACCACCGGAGAATACCAGGTGCTTGAGGGAGGCTCCCTGCTTTGTTTCGAGGATAGGAGCGTTGCTGGCGTGGTTTCCGAGACATTGGGACGAGTTGAGAATCCTTTGTATACGGTGCGATACCCCGACGCCGCTACCATCGAGGCGCGCGGCCTCACCAAGGACAAGCCGATTTACTACGTCGAGAGCCGATCTACATTCGTCTTCACCCAACCCCTCCAGGGAATGAAGGGAAGCGACGCGTCAAACTTCCACGATGAAGAGATTGCTGAGGACGAGGTTGAATTCTCTGACGACGAAGCCGAAGCCGAGTACAAGCGGAAATTGAAGCAGAAGCGCCAGGAGAAGAAGGATGCTAAACATGGCGATGGCTCCAGGGCCAAAAGAGGACCCCCTGGTCCCTCCAAGCTTAACCAGAGTGAGCTCAACTATGATGATAATGCCGGCGAAGATGGCTACACGCCACTGGCGCGCCCTAAGAATCTGCACGAGATGATGGGCCGGCAGGAGGCGCCGGTGGAGAGTGACGACCCTCATTCCAGGGGCGCTGGCTTCTACGGTGGCCGTGGTCGTGGACGAGGCTCTGACCGTGGCCGAGGAGGCCGTGGACGGGGAGGCCCCAGACCTCAGCATAATGACCGCCAACCCTATCACCAGCAGCAGGGCCCCGAGTCGCAGCCCCAGGCTCAGCCCCAGTCTTCTCACTTCAACCCTCAAGCCTACCAACAAAACCAACAGCCTGTCTACAGCATGCCTCAGCAGATGCCGTCTTACCCTGGCTTCCCGCCCCAGATGCAGCAGCAACAGCCGCAGCAACAGCCTTTCCCTCAGGGCATGTTACCTTTCAATTTCCAAATGCCGTTCCAACAGGCCTACCAGCAACCCAACCCGTACCAGCAAATTCCTTCTAACGCCCACATAAACCCTTTATTCTTTGCGGCTCTGCAGCAACATCAACAGCAACAGCAGCAGCAGCAGCAGTATCCGCAACAACAGCAACAACAGCAAGTTCCTGGTCAGCAGCAGATGCAAAACCCTTCGATGAACTTTGACCAGGTCAAAGCGCAATTGGATATTCTGCGACAACTCCAGAACAACCAGAATAACCAAATGCCGCCTCCTTCCTAGTATCGTAGTCACTTGATACGATATGTTCATCTTTCCTCTCTTTTGGTTCTTCATATCTTGGTCTACGGTATGGTTCTGGATCTTAGCCATTATATGGGATGGATTTTGCATTTGTACGGAGCAAGGTATTTCTTTTGGATGGGTTTGATTAGAAAACAAAAGTTTACGTGTTGCGTTTTGGGTCATGAATTTTACATATAGAGTATCAACATGTCATCTTGGAATGCTATGAAAGATTATTGATTATTGTACATGAAGCATTTTGATTTGGAAAGCAGGTTTGATATTGAAAGATTTATCATGATTCGGCTTGCTTTGAGCTCTTCGCCAAAGCCCAGAAATTTTCCATCTTGGCTCGAGCCAGGACGTCCTTGGCTTGAGAGTCGGTCTCGCAGACTCGAGCACCCAGCCACTTGCGGAAGGCTCGGGCCTTGACTTGTCCTTCCCACAGAAGACTGCAGGAGTTCGAACTGAGATCCTTCAGATCACCCGTCTGCTCGTCCTCGGCGGCCAGCCAGGCTACTTGGGCTTCGCGGTTACCCTCACGCACAGCGTTGGGCCCTGCATTCTCCGTCCAGTCAATGCGGTTCATCATGAGTTTTCTGTAGTTGTTGATTGAGTGAGCACCTCCCTCCACAATCACCAGGTTGAATCGGGGATGCATGACGCAGACACCGGTCAAAGCGTTCTGCTCTGCGTTCTTGCTGATCTTGAAGCGGTTGCGACCGTTGGCCAGACTGTCAATCCTATACACCGTCATGTGGATACCCTTGTCGGCATCTTTCTCCTGTTGCCGAGCAAGCTTGTCCCGGCGCTCCTCCTTGGTCAGTTTACGTTCCTCATTGGCAGCCTCGTGGTTAGCACGACGTTCTGCGATTTCGCGCGTCACGCGTGCTTCGACGGCAGTAGGATCCTTAACGGCCTGTTCACCCAGAACCCGCATAAGGTTGGACTTCTTGACTTTTGGCGGGGGTGCTGGCTCCAATCCGAGACGGATTTTCGCCTGTTGTTCTTTGAGATCAGCCATTCGCCGCTGCCGACGAATCTTTGCCTGCTCTTTGGGCGTGAGATACATGGGCTTCTGTTCGGATAGATGCTTGTCCTGAGGTGGATCGAGAAGAACGGGGTGCTGGACGTAGACTGTCACTATAGAGTCGGGAGTGTCAATCTTGAGATTCTTCTCGTCATCAACACCTGAGTAGTCCTCCCCGTTCACCAAACCTTCGTCCCACCATTCAATCGCCGGCGGGGCGGGGACAAGGAACGCTTTTTCAACGTCCAAGTCTTCATCAATACCCGCTTGTCGTGCCCTCTCCGCAATTCGCTTCTTCATGGCCTCCAGCTGCGCCTGCCGACGCAGAGCAGCGGCCTGCTGGATGTATTTGCCCTTTTGGTTGAAAAGCAACTGGCGCGTTTGCCGCGGCCTGGCGATCGTCGCCTTGGGCCCCAGACTCGGATCATAGTACGGGTTGTTCTTAATTTCTTCCAAAGAAGGCCCAGAGAGATCCAGACCCGCGCGATCTGGTCGTCCACCCGTGATAGGAGACTCGGTGCGACGTTTGGATTGTGCCGATTGTCGTCCCTTACCACCTCGAAATTCGACCGTATCCGAAAGAAGTGCCGGATGCAGACCCACATCCAAACCACCTCGAGCTCGTGATGGGCCATCGTCAGGTTCGTCAAAGGGAGGCGGAGGAGGCTGAGGGATCGGTGCCGGAGCTGGGGGCCGTTCCTGGGCTGCGGCGTTGGCTCTTCCCGTGGCTGCTGCAACTCGCGCCTTCATCTGTTCCAGTTTCGACATCACCGGGCTCGCTGCAGCTGGAGGGGTTGGGCTTGCGCTCGCAGGGGAAGGCGTCACGGTCGAAGATCCTCCTCTTGCGGCCTGAAGTCGAGCGCGGACGGCTTCTGCCTTTGCTCTCGCTTCGGCTACCATTTTCTCAATGTCGACCTTGCCCGAAGCAGGCGCTCCTTGGCCCGGTAGTGGCGAGCCATTGTTAGAGCGAGATCTTTTCTGTGCATTATCGGTTTCTTCCTCGGGATGAGGTCGCTTCAGCCCTGACCCGTCCATGGTTTATTTTTCTGAAGAGATGGAAAAAAACACTCCACTCACCCGCTGGGACCAGCAGAGCAGCTCACAGCTGGTGATAGGAAGTAAGTAGGGCTGGACCCAAGGACTGAAGCAAAGGACAAGAGGGGACGGGGTTCAAAGGGCGATCGCAAGAACGGGCACCGAGATGAAGCTGCGGGAGGAATAACTGAATGAGAGTTGCAGCGGGAATCACGGGGCGGCCCAGTGTGGATCGGGCGGGCGGCATCGCACGGCAGAAAAAAAGTTGGGTGAACTTTTTTCGCAGCGTCGAGACCGTCGAATCCCGCCGTTTCTTCTCCAAGGCCAGCAGCCCCAGAAAGGACCACCACAGTTCAAAGCGTCGCTCGTCGTTCGTCGCTCGTCGCTCAAGGAGCTGCAGGAAATTATGGCGACCTTCGCACGTCCTGTGGCCTCCGCCATCTCGGGGGTTGACTTTGGGGTCTACAACGATGCGGACATCAAAGCTATCTCTGTAAAGCGAATCCACAATACGCCGACGTTGGATTCCTTCAACAATCCGGTTCCTGGTGGATTGTACGATCCGGCCATGGGAGCGTGGGGTGATCATGTGTAAGTTATCATAGTCTTTTCTTTTCGGAGAATTCTTGGAGGGGCTTGCTTTTTCTATCAAGCGGGAGGGGAAAAAAAAACTGACTGGATGTAGCTGTACGACTTGTCGCTTGAACTCGTGGTCTTGTACCGGTCACCCTGGACATATTGAGCTTCCGGTCCATGTTTACAATGTTACGCATTTCGACCAATTGTATCGTCTACTTCGAGCGCAATGTGCTTACTGCCATCGCTTCCAAATGCCCCGAACCCAACTTAATGTCTACACCTGCAAATTGCGACTGCTGCAATATGGATTGGTTGACGAAGCAGCTGTTATCGACTCTTTGGGCAAAAAGAAAGACAAGAAGCAGGGAAAGGATGACGACGGTTCCAGCAGCGAGGATGAAGATGAGGATGATCTGATCGCGAAAAGAAACAACTACGTTCAAAAAGCCATTCGGGAGGCCAAGGCCGCGGGTAAACTGGCCAACCTCATGGCGGGCATCAAGAATCCCATTGCTTCGGAAGAGAGACGTACTTTGGTCAAGGAGTTCTTTAGAGATGTTGTCAGCATTAAGAAGTGTGCCACTTGTAAAGGGTATGTATTGCGACAGCCCGAGCACCCCGCATGAATTCTTTCCAGGCTTGTCAGCAGTTATTGACAAACAGTCAAGAGTATCTCCAGGATTCCGAAGAGATCGGTACTCGAAAATCTTCCGAAAACCCTTGCCCGAGAAGATGAGACTTGCTATGGTACAGGGTGGATTCCAGGCGCCAAACTCCCTTGTCCTCGTTCAACAAGCCAAAAAGTCCAATTTGAAAGAGAAGCAGGCTCTTGCGAACGGTACCTCGGATAATGTCAGCGTTACGGAGACTCATGGAGCAGAGGAAGAAGTTGCTCGTGGGAATGCCGTCATCTCCGAGGATGAAAGCAAGAGACAGGCCGGTGATGGTGGGCAATACATGCCCTCCCCGGAGGTCCATGCCGCGATCACCCTGCTCTTCGAGAAAGAGGGGGAAATTCTTAATCTTCTTTATAACTCTCGACCTCTATCGAAGAAAGAATCGCAAGTCAGCGCAGACATGTTCTTCATCAAGAACCTATTGGTGCCGCCAAACAAGTATCGCCCGGCTGCTCCCCAGGGACCCGGCGAGATTATGGAGGCCCAGCAGAACCAACCTTTCGGACAAATTTTGAAGCACTGCGACTTCATCAACCAGATCAGCAAGGAGCGACAGACATCGAGCGCCAACTCTTCATTTCGTGTGCGCGACTACCGTGATCTGCTGGCTGCCATCGTGCAGCTTCAGGATACGGTCAACGGTTTGATTGACCGTGATAGAAGCGGACTTTCGGGAGCGGCAGCCGCCGCGGCTCCGAACGGTATCAAGCAGATACTGGAAAAGAAGGAGGGTTTGTTCCGAAAGAACATGATGGGAAAGCGTGTCAACTTTGCTGCCCGAAGTGTCATCTCTCCTGACCCTAACATCGAAACTAATGAGATCGGTGTGCCGCTGGTCTTCGCGAAGAAGCTGACCTACCCTGAACCGGTGACAAACCACAACTTCTGGGAGATGAAGCAGGCGGTTATCAACGGCCCCGACAAATACCCCGGTGCTATGGCAATCGAGAACGAGGTGGGACAGGTCACGAACCTCAAGTTCAAGAGTTTGGATGAGCGAACCGCGTTGGCCAACCAGCTGTTGGCACCGTCGAACTGGCGCATCAAGGGAAATCGCAACAAGAAGGTCTACCGCCATCTGACCACCGGCGACGTTGTCCTGATGAATCGTCAGCCCACGCTCCATAAGCCTTCTATCATGGGTCACAAGGCGCGTGTGCTCCCCAACGAAAAGGTCATTCGCATGCACTACGCAAACTGTAACACCTACAACGCTGATTTCGATGGTGATGAGATGAACATGCATTTCCCACAGAACGAGCTTGCTCGGTCAGAGGCTATGATGCTTGCGGACGCGGACCACCAATATCTTGTTGCGACGTCTGGAAAACCCCTGCGTGGTTTGATCCAGGATCATATCTCGATGGGAACGTGGTTCACTTGCCGAGATAGTTTCTTTGATGAGGATGATTACCACCAACTACTCTACAATTGCTTGAGACCGGAGAACTCGCATACCATCACGGAGCGCATCCAGTTGGTTGACCCGACCATCATTCGCCCGAAGCCCCTTTGGACAGGAAAGCAGATCATCACAACCATTCTCAAGAACATCATGCCCCCGGGAAGAGCTGGTCTGAACATGACGAGTAAGTCCTCGACGCCCGGCGACCGATGGGGCGAAGGCAACGAAGAGGGAAATGTCATTTTCGATGATGGCGAGTTCCTCTGCGGTATTCTCGACAAGAAACAGCTTGGACCTACCGCTGGTGGTCTCATTGACTCTATTCACGAAATCTACGGTCACACTATCGCAGGAAGACTGATTGGTATTCTTGGACGTCTCCTGACGAGATTCCTGAACATGCGAGCATTCACTTGCGGTATCGACGATCTTCGTCTGACTAAGGAAGGTGATCGCACTCGTAAGGAAGTCCTCAAGAAGGCTGATGCCATTGGTCGCGAAGTTGCGCTGAAGTACGTGACTCTCGACAACGCTAACGTACCCGATGAGGACGCCGAATTGCGACGACGTTTGGAGGAAGTGCTTCGAGACGAAGAGAAACAGGCTGGCTTGGATAGCGTTTCGAACGCTCGCACCGCTACGCTGTCTACCGAGATCACCAAGTCCTGCCTTCCGGGCGGATTAGCGAAGCCTTTCCCGTGGAACCAGATGCAGTCGATGACCATTTCTGGCGCCAAGGGTTCCGGTGTTAACGCGAACCTGATTTCTTGCAACCTGGGTCAACAGGTTTTGGAAGGTCGCCGTGTTCCTGTCATGATCAGTGGTAAGACCCTGCCGTCGTTCAGGGCTTTCGACACGAACCCTATGGCTGGTGGTTATGTCTGCGGTCGTTTCTTGACTGGCATCAAGCCCCAAGAGTACTACTTCCACGCCATGGCCGGTCGTGAGGGTCTTATCGATACCGCCGTCAAGACCTCTAGATCTGGTTACTTGCAGCGTTGCTTGATCAAGGGTATGGAAGGCTTGAGGGCCGAATATGATACCTCCGTCCGAGAAGGATCCGATGGATCCATCGTGCAGTTCCTGTACGGTGAGGACGGTCTGGATATCACGAAGCAGGTTCATCTTAAGAATTTCGATTTCTTGGCATCGAACTACAAGTCCATCATGTCTCAAGTCAACCTGACCAGCGACTTCCAGAACCTAGCGAAGGATGAAGTCACCAATTGGCACAAGGACGCTATGAAGGCTGTGCGCAAACACGGAGTTGATGCCAAGGACCCCGTACTCTCTCTCTATCACCCCGGTGGTAACCTGGGCAGTACGTCAGAATTCTTCTCGCAAGCGCTCAAGAAGGTATGTGAACGAATGAATAACCTCGTCCCAACGCACACGCACACGCGACTAACTAAGGCCTTTACAGTACGAGGATACCAATCCCCGCGATCTCTTGAAGGACAAGAAGAAGACCACCACCACTGGACTCATCGGTAAGAATGGAATCATCAGTAAGAAGTCATTCAATACTTTGATGAACATGAAGTATTTGAAGTCCGTCATCGACCCTGGTGAGGCGGTCGGAATTATGGCTGGTCAATCTATTGGAGAACCTTCGACTCAGATGACTCTGAACACTTTCCATTTGGCTGGTCACTCGGCAAAGAACGTGACGCTGGGTATTCCTCGACTACGCGAAATTGTCATGACTGCTAGCCCCCACATCATGACCCCGACCATGACCCTGGTTATGAACGAGGAAATGTCCAAGGAGCACTCCGAAAGGTTTGCCAAGGCAATCAGCAAGCTCAGTATCGCGGAGGTTGTTGACAAGGTGACCGTATCGGAGAAAATCTCAACCGGCAGCACGAAGGCGAAGGTCTACGACGTCGAAGTCACATTCTTCCCGGCAGAGGAGTACACTGCGGAGTATGCTATCAAGACTAAGGACATCCAGAACACGCTGCAGAACAAGTTCATCCCCAAGCTTGTGCGACTCACCCGAGCTGCCCTCAAGAAGCGGGTTGATGAGAAGACGGTGAAGAACTACTCGACCGCCCAGCCTGAGATTGGTGCCTCCGTCGGCACCGTCCAGGAGGCCTCTGGTGTCGCCGATGCGGAGGTTGACGCAGATGATGACGACGAAGAGGACGGAGACGATGCCAAGCGCTCCAAGGGTTCACAGAACCGCTCGAACCAGATCTCTTATGAGGGCCCCGAGGACGAGGAAGTTGACATGATCCGACGGCTCGACGACCAGGATGATAGCGAGGATGAGGACGAGGGCAGCGATGGGACCAAGACCAAGACGGGTGATGTTGAGATGGCCGATGCCGATGACTCCGACTCCGACTCGGAGGATGAGGAGGCAAAGGACAGCAAACTGCGGGAAGACGATATCCGGGGCCGGTACGCGGAAGTCACCAAGTTCAAGTTCAGTCCCAAGAAGGGCAACTCGTGTACCGTCCAGCTGCAGTACGACATTGCGACTCCCAAGCTTCTTATCCTGCCTCTGGTCGAGGAGGCCGCCCACAGCGCCGTCATCCAGAATATCCCCGGCCTCGCCAACTGCACGTATGTCGATGCCGATCCGATCAAGGGCGAGCCCGCCACCGTCATCACCGACGGTGTCAACCTGCTCGCCATGCGCGATTACCAGGACTACATCAAGCCGCATTCTCTCTACACCAACTCGATCTACCACATGCTGGCCTTGTACGGTGTCGAGGCTGCTCGTGCCACCATCGTCCGCGAGATGTCCGAGGTCTTCGAGGGTCACAGTATCTCCGTTGACAACCGTCACCTGAACCTGATCGGTGATGTGATGACCCAGTCCGGTAGCTTCCGCGGTTTCAACCGTAACGGCCTGGTCAAGGACAGCTCTTCGCCTCTGTCCAAGATGAGTTTCGAAACCACCGTCGGCTACCTCAAGGAAGCCGTCATCGAGAGAGACTTTGATAACCTGAAGAGTCCCAGTAGTCGCATCGTTGCCGGTCGTCCTGGAATCGTGGGAACCGGTGCTTTCGACGTCCTTGCTCCTGTGGCTTAAGCAGCTTAATCCATTAATTGTTTAGATCGGTGTGGATAAGTGCGTTATGTGGGTTGTTGTAGCCTGCCTGTATCATTTTCTATTATCCTTTTCTTTTTGTTGTATATGTTCGTCAGCTTGAGTGAGTGAATGACCGAGTGAGTGAGTGATTGATGTGTATGTGTGTATTTATCTATGCATTTTCTTTTGTGATTTCTTTTCCTTGTGTGATTTTGATGTGTCCAATGACCTCTGGAGTTCAGTCTCAGCGGAATTAAGAAAAAGCCTTGTTTTGTTTTCTTATCTTTAGATAGCATTTTCATACTATACTACAAGCAGAACAAAATTCGTGTATTTCATTTTGGATCCCTCAGGGGTTTTCTTTCAGTAGAGTAGAATCATATTCGAGTGAGAATGTTCTTATATATAAAACACCATATAGAACCACCGTGGTATCATCATGTTGGACGGACTTATTTCCAGTAAGTGAAAAGCAGATACAGAAATCGCAGAAGACAGAAAATATAGCCAAAAAGCAGCAAATCTATTTTAACAAGGGGAAGTATAGTAATATTAAGTTGGTGTGTTTTCACTGCGCATCCAGCATCATGAGGTCTTCGTCAATATTGTCGTCAAATTCATCCGCATCATCAGGCACGCCATTACGATAGACGCCGTTTGCGCCATTACCGTTGGCCAGCTCTTCACGCCGGACTCGGTCTTCTTCCTGCATTTGCTTCTCGCGATGCTTTTCCAGATCAGCGAGGCTCCACGTGGAGATACCCTCCTGGTCCTTAGCCTTGAAGGGCTGGGCCATGGTGCGCAGAAAGTTCTTGGCCGTGGCGACCGCCATGTCGGTGCTGAGATTCGTTTCGCTTTCCAACATGGCTTGACTGATCCACTTGGGGAGTTGGTTGCGCTTTTTCTGAAATCGTCTGTCGGCGAGGACCATGACTCCGTAATCGTCTTTGCCACGGAGGACACGACCCAGGCATTGGGCGGCGTGACGCATGGCGTCGAAGGACAGGAAGTCGTTTTCGCGGATGCGGTAATTCTCGCGGAGGAACTCGAGACGGGCCTTCAGGATGCGGGATTCGGTGTACTGGAAGGGAACGCCGATGCACAGCACGGCGCGCCCGTAGTGGTGGTCGAAATCGATCCCTTCGGATACTTTGCCTCGTGCGACACAGAAAAGGATAGCGCCTCGTCCGTTGCAGCAGGCGGTTCGGTACGTCTCCAGTGCGAGGGAAGATTCCTGCGCATCAGGGGTTTCGACCAGGATTAATTTGTAGTTCCAAATCGAGTCCAGGATACCCATGCCTTGCCACATGCTGATGATGGACTCCATGTACAGATAGGAGGGGAAGAAAACAACGACACCATCGGGGGTGATGCGGGCGAAGTCGAGGACAATATTTCCATAGTTGCGGACGACACCGGGGTCATTTCGAATCTGGAATCCCGAAGAGACCTGCGCTTGATCGGATCCTCGCGTCACAATCATGGGGAGGAAAGACCGACGTGCAAGTGTCATACTGTACGATTCTTGCATGACTGTGGTGAAATCCAGCATCTTTGGATACATCTCCAGGGGCGACAGAGTCCCCGAAGTGATGATAACGGAGCTGAATCTGTCAAAGACGGGTTTGATGGCAATCGCAGCATCAAGGCAGGTGAAGTGTAGGATGGGGTTCGGCACGGTGGCCGCCTCGGACTCGAACGGCTCAAGAATTAGAAGGAATCCTTTGTCGTAAGTTGCGACCAGAGTCGCGAATGTCGCCACCTCTTGAAGGGGCTGGTAGTCTTCTATATTAATAAGTTCTAGCGTTCGCACGAGGGACGTGAGTCGTTCGGCGCAGAAACGAAGGGGTTTTCGTTCGATAAATGTCAAGTCCTTTACGTGGGTCAAGAACGAAGGGGGCGTTTCGGAAATGGTATGGGTGACTTTCATTCGGGTCTTGAGGTATTCGATGAATCGTTTGAGGAAGGTGACAAAATGCTCTGCACGACGGATGTTGCCCGGCACGGCCTCCTTCAGCAGGTCATCCGGAAGGACGGGGTTCGAAATGAACTGCTCCTCTTCTCGCGCCTGTTCTGCCTCCCTTAATCCTTCAACAAGCTTGGAATATTCGTTCTGCAACTTCTCGGCATCCGAACTCTTCATCTCGTGGATTTTCCGTTCCAAGTTATTTGCTCCCCTTGTGGCCTTGCGCAACGAATCTTCCGTGATGTCGATACTGAGGGATTCAATGCATACGTTGTCGATATTGTGTGCTTCGTCAAAGACCACTATACAGTCTTTTGAGAATTCTTTCGATACCCGCTCCGCAATTTTCGGATCCAATAGGTAGTGGTATGAGTAGATTATGACGTTGCAAAATGGCATCTATGTGAAGCAGGTTAGTATGACCGGAGTTTCAAAAACTGTAAGGCTCGAGGGTATTCACCATCCGTCGTGCCGAAAAGTAGGGACATTGCTTGTGCTCCTCGCCGTATTTGAGTAGACCGTCGAGAGTGAAAACGCCGGGAGGGATGAGGTTATGCGGTTCGAGTAGATCCAGGTTCTATTTGACGCATCAGTTTAGGTTCTAAGGAGCGCGACCTCCTTATCCATACCTCATGATACGTGCACAGCTCGACATCCTCACCGCGCTCTTTCTTTTCCTTGACAAATCCCGCCGTTAAGCTCCGACACCTCGCATCGACGACTGTGCCGCTTTTCTCCCTTTTGACGGACGGATGCAGACACAAATTCTTTCGACTGGTCAGACCGAGCGCCCGGAAGTCCTCCGTGTATCCAAGCTGGTCCGTCCGAAACTTCATCAACGCCTTCAGCTCGGCCAACGCCTTTTCGATCTCCGACATTGTACGAGAGCAGTAGATGAGTTTGCGGTGTTCCGGATAATGTAGCTGGTAGGCGATAATTAACGACAGAAGCGATACTGTTTTCCCGGTACCCGAAGGCATCTCGAGGACACAGTTGCCCCCGGCATCGAGGGTCTTTTTGAGGTCGCACATGTAGGCATATTGCTCGGGATATATACGTGGGTACGGGAAGAGGACGGGCAGGTCACTGGCGAGAGAGAGAAGAGAGAAAGGAACGGTCAGAGCTGTGCATGAGCTGCAGGTGAGGGAACTAAGACTTACTCAATGAAGAACTTCATTGTGACGGACGAGCACGATGCTCTGGACAAGGCAGCAGAAGCAGCAGAAGCTCTCACATTCCGGACTTTCCAAAGGTCAAAGAGACCCGCGCCTTTTCCTGTTCGGGCGATCGATGACACCAGCCCACGTGACCGTCCCGATAGAGACGCCGATTGCCCGCCGTCATCCTTCTTCACTGCGACATCTTCTCGTCCCTCGACCGGCATTCTGGGATGAACGACCCTCCCTTTTGTGTCGCTTATCTGCTTGAATTCTGTCCTACGGATCATTGACTTTCGCTTATAGAGGATATCTATGAAATTCGCTCCTCGTTCCTTCGATCTCGATTGCATATATCCATCCCACTTTACCCCACATTATTATGAGCAAAAAGTTCAAGTCCCAAGCGTCGAGTAGCCGGGCCGCGGCCGGAGCCTTTGGTACATTTGGGGGATTTTCAGGAGCCTTTTCGACCCAGGGAAGAGAGCCTTCTTCCCTGACCTACGTGGCCGAGCCTCCGGACTTGTCGCGCATATCGGAGCCACAATTGGCAATCGCGTTCAAGAATTTTCTGAAAAAGGACGAGGTCACGAGGACGCGAGCATTAGACGAGCTGAAGGATTTCGTTTCGGGTGTAGAAAGCAGTGGTGGCACTCTCGATGATGGATTCCTGGAAGCCTGGGTAAGCGACTATGGTGGATTGTATAGGATGGAGTAATGACAAGAACCCAACTTACGGTGTGAACAGGTAAAAATATACCCGCGGGCATCGATCGATCTGTCTCGTAGAGTGAGGCAAACGGCGTATACTATTCAAGGATCGGTTTCATCGCTGGTAGGGAAAAGAATCGCCCGATTTTTACCCAAAGTAGTCGGCGCATGGCTTGCAGGCCTGTATGATAATGACAAGCCCGTCCATCGCTCTGCTCTAGAATCCTTCACGCGAGTTTTTTCCACGGACGAAAAGCGAAAAGGCGTGTGGAAGGTCTATCAGACCTCCATCCTGGATTTTGTAGATGATGTCATTCTTCAACAAACTCCTCAGACTTTGAGCGACGAGCGCACCGTCAAGCCTGACGACGCGGAAGCGAAGTACGCGCGCGTGGTAGGAACTGCAATTCTACTATTTAATCGAATCATAGGTATGTCCACTCATTGTATACCGTCAAGCGTTTTCTCTTCCTTTCTCGTTCTGTTTTATCTCACCATAAACTCAGGCAACTCAACCCACGAAGAACTTGAAAAGGACCTTCCAACTATACAAAACCTCCTTACAAGCAAATCGTTATGGGCTCTATGCTACCATGATGACCCCTTCGTCCGCAGGTCCATTTATACGCTTGTGCGCTCGGCAGTGGCCAAGGAGCCCGAAGAACTCGATTGGAAACTCGTCAGCGCAGCCTTGATTGGCAAATCACTACACGCCTCTCAATTAGGATCGTCCTCAGACCTGTCCGAATCTCTACTTCAGGCCACATCTGCAAGGCCTCAGTTATGGACGGACGATTATTCCGGTAAATCGTCTGCAACGAAGAGGTTGCTTCAATACATGCAAAAGGGTTCCCAGGGCGGCGCAGGCTCCTTCTGGCCAAACCTACACCAGCTACTTCTGATAATTCCGGTGCAGACATTGGCAAACGGTGACTCGCAGATTGGGCTTACAACGGCAATTGCTTTAACCGAAGCATTCCAAGAAGGGCTGACTTCGAGGGACGAGCCTCGACAAAACCACGCCGTTGCCTGGAAGGCTTACGTTGATACCGGGATGTGGCTTGTAGAGCGACTATCTGCTGGTGAGAAAACAAAGTTCCTGCAAGAACGATTGTCCCCTCTATTGGCGCAATACGTCAAGCCTGAACCAGATCGGTCGAAGTGGTCACTCCCAGCTTTGTCCTCTAAGAACATCACCATTGATTATCTCGAAGGACTGCTGGCTCACGGTCATGCAAGTGAAGTGGAAAGGGTATGGACTGAACTATCAGATGGTCTACTTGAGGCCGTCAAACTATCTTCCCCAGAGCAATCGAAGGACTTTAAGTTGTCGCAGGACGAAGTGTGTTCCCAGGCTGAACGCCTTCTAGTTTTAGAGGCGCTGGTGCTTTCGCGGGTCGTCGGAACGGATGGTGAGACTCAAATACTTGGTATATTCGAGAGGACGAATTCGCCGTTACTTGAAAACTGCATCCAGGTCCTTCAGACTCGCAACGGCAAGCCCTACGGAGCGGCCGCGGTGGTTGAAGGAATGGTCAATAACGTTGCACAGATCGCTCAGCGCTCTCAAGCTTTGGTAGAATTCGTCAAGAATGACGCCCCGGAGCTTCTGTCATCGCCATCTGCTGATCGTCTGATTTCCCTGATATTGACTTGTCGGTCTTGGGATGGCTTTGGCGAGAGCTTTGGCAGGATCATTGAGCAAGTGGCAAAGTCAGAACCGGAGTCGTCGAATGCACATGCTGTTCAGAAATTACTTTCCACCCTCAATTTCAAGGAGGTGGACGGGAAAAGTGTGCTTGGTTCATTGATCATGCGAGCCCTAGACCAGGCCTGTAAGGGTAGCAGCCTGCATTGGTCCATTGTTATCGCCGTTCTCCAGAACCAGTCTTCCCATGGAGAGCTTACGGATTCAATGTTTTTATCGCTCATCGATGCTCTTTCCGACGAGAATAAGGCTTTGGATACACTTCACGGTCTCTCCCAAATTGCCAACTCCGTCCCGACTGCCCTTCGGGGCTTCCAGAGTGGTTCGAACGGCTCCAAATTGACCGGAAAACTGCACTTCCTCGCTGAATCACCGTCGGAAGAAGTTGCGGTTGTTTCAGAATCTTTGATCAAGACGTTGAAAAAAACAGTGGTCGGCGAAACAAGCGCTCGGTCAAGCGTTGAGATTCTCCAGCACAACTTTGAACTTGTCAGTGCTGAGTCGCTTTCGTAAGTATTGCCGTGGTAGGTTTAAATGCGATGTTACTGACTGTGAAAAGGATCGAATCTCTCTTGAGCATAGCGGAAGAGCTACTACACAGTACCAAACCCGAGGACATTGGTTCCGTGGCAAAGGATATCCTACCAGGACGCCAGACCTGGGAGAAAGCTCTTGGTCCCTTCCTTGAGCTCCCTCCTCGGCCATCGACTGCTATCACTAGCCCTCTTGGTGGCACGGTGCATCTCGTTAACCGACAACTGGCCGCTGATTTCAAGGAGCGGTATGAAGCTGTCCCGCGCGACTCGAGCCACTGTTCGTCCGCATTCCGACTGGCCTATTTCACCACCAAAGTTCTCTCCTTATTTGCCCTTGCCGGACATCTCGGCACGGATGAGCTTGAAACCCTTTTCCACAATCTCCCTCTTGCAGTACAATTAGTCGATGACGATCTCAGTATTGAAAACTCCAACGGCATAACGGGACTTACGCTTCCCGAGCAGCGAGAGGAGTACATGGAGGTCGTTAATGATGGCCGAAAGGTTATCAGCGGATGGGTCCACTCTAAAGATACTCTTGCCACAACGATCACCTCTTTCTGGGAACGGAAGCTTGAAGGGCTTCAAGGTACTTCGCCATCAGACTACCGGGTCGGAGAATCTTTTGTGAAAATTATGGGTAGTGTGGACTCGTCAAACAAATCCAAGACTCCGGAGGAACTTACAGAACTATGTAAAACTGTTCGGACAGCCAACGCTGTTCGGACTGCATCATGGGTGGCTCTCTTACGTCAATCGATCCTCTCTACGCCGGCCGGGACACGACTCTGCAACGAACTCGTTGCGGACTCTACAGGGTTAAAGCCCGAAGACGAGAAGAAGGACGGTAAGCTTCCCAAGCTCGATTGTGATATAACCGCTAATGGTGCAATGGGCAGGCCTGCGGAAGTTGTCGTTGCTCAACCTTCTTCTGGCAGGTGATGAGAGTGTCGCTGCATCCATTCCGACGCAGAGGTTGATGTTCCTCCTCAAGCATCTCATCCAGTGTCTTCAGTCCGAAAGTGCGCCTCTGAGCGTCAAAGCTGAAATTTTGCAGAGTTTGACATACGTCTTACCCTGCATTCACGAGATGTATGGCTCTCACTGGGAAGAAAGCATGGATGTTCTCAGCACAATCTGGCAAGGCATCAATGGTGGCGATGAAGCATTGCCATTGCTCTTGGCCTCTTTCCGACTTTTCGCTTCTTTGAAGTCAATTGTGGATGACGAAGAGAGTAACGATGACGTTAAGGATGCTTGGGCGGATCGCAAGACAGTGTTATTCAACCGATTGACTTCGACGCTGCACAAATTCGGTAAGCTGCTACGGTACTCCATACACAAGGTATACATCTGACGGACTAGACTCTTCGACCACTTTCTACCAACCTCGCGATGTCGCCGTCGACCGCCTGCGCCGCCTGCTCAATGTCATTCCTACCGACAGTCTTGAGGATGTCAGCAAAGTTTTCCCTCTTTTGACCGCGCATAGTGGCACCGTCCAGCGGGCTGCCTACAACATCCTCCACCGGTATATTCCGAGCGTTCAAGAACAAATTTCCTTTGACGTGGCGTTATCCAAGACGACCGTCAGACTGCCCGACGAACTCATGTCTCTGCTACTCGAAGCTCCCACGATGGCATCTGTCAACCTTGCCTATGACGATGACCGGACATGGGCGGATATACGGTCATATCTTCTGAGCTGGAAGGTGGTGTTTGACCATTTCGTTAATGCAGTATGTTGCCCACAATGAACGAGATAACCATGGTGGAAGCTAACCCCGGGATAGTCTCTTACTGTTCAAGAAAACTACGTGACTAGCATTAAGGAAAACGACACGCTGGCGCCGTTGCTGGAATTCATGTTTGACTTCCTCCAGGGCTCACACGGAAAGATGATAGATGCGTCTAAGTTTGACATTCGGTCATTCGAGCTGGATCAGTCGGAGACCTACGAGAGAGAAACCCAGTGGCTTCTCGTCCATCTGTACTTCTTGTGTCTGAGGCACGTGGCTAATATGACCAAGAATTGGTGGATTGACACGAAGAAGCGCATCAAGGGGCCTGTGGAGGCGTGGACGGAGAAACATGTAAGCCGCATGGTGTTTGCATTGCCTCTAAGATGCAGAAGCTAACTTAGCCCGACAGGTCTCGCCCCTGGTCATTGTAGATGCACTTCAGGGCATCACGGACTGGGTGTCGACGCAGGATCCCAACGAAGAGCGCGCATTGGCGGTTAAAATTTCTCCCAAGACGGCCGAGATCATTGCCAGCATTCCGGTCGACGAAGAGTCGCCTCCTGTCTCCTTGTCTATCTCGCTTCCTCCGGCTTACCCCCTGCAGCCCGCCGTGGTCGTGGGTCGCAGCCGGGTGCTGGTCGACGAGAAGAAGTGGAAGAACTGGCTTCTAACGATCCAGGGAGTGATTATGTTTGCCAACGGCAGCCTGGTGGATGGGCTGTTGGCGTTCCGCAAGAACGTGCAGGGCGCATTGAAGGGACAGAGCGAGTGTGCGATCTGCTACTCGGTGATTTCGACGGACATGCAGACGCCGAACAAGCGATGCGCGACCTGCAAGAACACGTTCCACTCGGTGTGTCTGTTCCGATGGTTCAAGAGCAGCAACCAGAGTACGTGTCCGCTGTGCCGGAACAACTTTGTCTACGTATAGAGCGATATAGAGGGTGGCAATAGATAGATATAGCGCGTGTATAGTATAGCGTGTAGCGTACAACATACAGCATAACGAGGAATGAAACAAAGCATGCAAACTGACGCAATCCATCAAAGCCGACAGGTGGGGTAACGTGACCCCACCCGTCCAGCAATCATCCCGCCGCGTCTCTCTCCATTGCTCGGAGCTTCCTCTCGCAAACATGTCGGCCTCGCAGATCCCCAACCTCAACACTCTCCGGCGAGGCGGCGGACGGGGTCGTTCACGCGGCCGAGGCGGTCTCGCTGGCGGCCCTCCTTCTCGCGGGAGCAAAGATCGAGTGGTCCAGGGCACCGACCATGACGCCAGCGTCTCCCGGCTGAGCGCCGTGGGATTAGGATACCTCGAAGACCCATTTGCCAGGGCATTAACGCCGCCCGATTTAGAGACACGACGACTGCCCATCATCAACAGAGGTGACTCATTCTCCCTTCTCATCCCGTCCCATGCCATTGACTGTTGCGCTCAACTAACGCTACAACCCGACAGGCACCTACGTCCGTACCGCCGCGATCGACCAACTCGTCCACCGATTCCTCACCCAACCCTCTTCCCCTTATCCGAAAAGCAAAAAACAAATCATCTCTCTCGGAGCCGGCTCTGACACGCGCGCCTTTCGGCTCCTACCCTCCCATCCGGACTTGATCTATCACGAGATCGACTTCGCCGTCAACACGGCGGCCAAGATCCGGTTGATTCGCGCGGCGCCGCAGCTTCAGCGCACGTTGGGGATAATCGGGCGGTCGGCGCCGGAAAATGCGAAGGTCGAGATCTCGGAAGGCGGGGATGCGCTGCATACGGAGACGTATCATTTGCATGCGTTGGATTTGCGGTGGCTGAAGCCCCAGACGAAGTCAGAACAAACCACAACCACAACCACAAACCTATCAGGGGAGGAGGACCGCGGGGATAATGGCATCGACGATCCACGGACCTTGCTACGCGACGTTGACCCGACAATTCCCACGCTCCTCATCTCCGAATGCTGCCTCATTTACCTCACACCGCGCGAAGCCGCAGACGTAGTCGACTTCTTCACGCAGACGCTGTTCCCGGCAGCAACAGGTAACCAGGACGGCGCTGCGCCCCTTGGTCTAATCTTGTACGAGCCAATCCGACCGCACGACGCCTTCGGACGCACGATGGTCTCCAACCTGGCGACGCGCGGCATCCAGCTGCAGACGCTGCACCAGTACGCGACGTTAGAATCGCAGCGACAACGGCTGCGCGACCAGGGGTTCGCGCACGGCCAGGCAGCAGCGGACGTGCATTTCATCTGGGAGCGGTGGGTAGACGAGATGGAGAAGGAACGGGTGGCGGGGCTGGAGATGTTGGACGAGATGGAGGAGTGGAATCTGCTAGCGCAGCATTATTGCGTCGCTTGGGGTTGGCGGGAAGGATTGGCCGGAGGGGGAGGGTTTGAGGGGTGGAAGGATTTTGACAGCCAGCAGGAAGGACTTGGCAGGGCAGGCAGTTAGCACCGAGTCTCGTCAGCCGTAAATAGTTATACCCTGTAAGATACTCAACCTTCTTTGTTTTCTGGGTTTGACTTCCAAGTCCCTCAGGTATAAGCCACTGGCAGTCTTTTTATAGTGCATGACTGCATACACCGTGGACATCCATACATTTTCTTGCACAGTATACTAGCAACGAAGTATAGACTGCGACTCAGCCGGTAGGTGGTCTACGACCGACTAAGCCCCAAGCAGTAAACCCGTCTCGGCAGTTCCTCCCCAAGATACCGAGCGCCTTGGGTCTTGTCTAGGCATTAGGCAAACAGAGTTTGGTCGTCTAAGCCCACTTTTGGAGATTTGCCAATTGCCCCTATTCTTTAGTTCTTGTACGACCCGAGCAGCAAACTGCAGTGGATCCTAGGAAATAAAACAGAATAATAGAGAATAATTGACACCTGACAAGGACACTGCCGATCGTGGCTGAATGATGGACATCCCGTGCGGATTATTGAAGCTACTTTGACTCGAGTCTCAGGTTTAAATTTGATAATAAATAAATAGATGCAGGGAGAAGGTTACACTTCCACCCCCAAGAAGGTATAGTACGGTGTAACCACCTGCAGGACGGCAAAAGGAGACGAACCCTGCACTGTCTCTCCACCAATGGCGGAAGCTCGGGTGGGTTCCTCCTCATGAACCCCCGGGGCGTTGGGGGCATTGATTGGCGCGACCCCTGAACAGCACCCCCGGCGAGGTGTCCCAAAGAGGAAAGAATCGGCTCAATAGCCTCGAGATGGTTCGGCCTTGGGAGCAGAAAACTTGGCGGGGAGCTGGCTGGAGTTGGCCTGAGCTGCTGGGACTGTCGTTAGAGTAGAGACTAGGCAGGTGGTATTTCCTGGCCGTCGCGCCGTTTTCCCTTTCTCTTCCTTTCTTCTTCTTCTTCTTCGAGGCCGCCGTGATTCCGTTGCGTGTTTTCTGGGTCGTTGATTCTTGATCCCCCTCCGTTCTTTCGTGCTTCTTGTCGCTCACTTTAGTCTTTCGTTTTGGGGATCGTCTTCTTCTGACCCTAGTCTTTCGTTATCAATAATCCTTCAATTCGCTGCAGTATCACGCCTATCCGAATCATCGTGATTCAGTCATTCGTTTCAACATCAGATCACTATCCCAGTATAACGCTGTATATACTAACCGCATTCATTGTCCGGTTTCATCCATATCTGTATATTCAACAAGAACCTGTATATTTATATCCAATCCACCAGCAAAATGAAGTTCACCACCGCAACCGCCGTGCTCGCCTTCCTCGCGACTGCCCAAGCAGCCCAGCATGGTCACCACCATAACCGCCGCCATCCGCATTCTCCCGCGGAAGTCGAAGTGGAAGTCGAAACCGAAGCGCCATTGAAGAAACGCGGAGGACAGTGCGAGTTCCCCTCCGATGCCGGTCTGGTTTCCGTGACCCCCAAGATGAAGAACGCCGGATGGGCTATGAGCCCTGATCAGCCCTGCAAACCGGGCAATTACTGTCCCTATGCGTGTCCCCCGGGACAGGTGTCTATGCAATGGGACCCTGAGGCGACCTCATACAGCTACCCCATGTCGATGGTGAGTTGGCAATCGCTTTTCCCGTGGTGTATTCATGAGCGGCTGTGTATTGACTAGTATAGAATGGTGGACTGTACTGCGACGAGGACGGTCAGATCCAGAAGCCGTTCCCCAACAAGCCCTACTGCAAGGACGGCACCGGGTCTGTGGGCGTGCGCAACAAATGCAAGGGCGGAGACGTCTCCGTCTGTCAGACCGTTCTGCCCGGTAACGAGGCTATGTTGATCCCGACGCTGGTGCAGGAGCTGGCGACCCTTGCGGTGCCGGACTCTTCCTACTGGTGTGAGACCGCTGCGCAGTATGTCCTGACTCACTTGCTTCACTGATCTTTCCTGTTGTCATGCTGATGATATCAGCTTCTATATCAATCCGCCGGGATTTGGCCCCGAGACCGCCTGTGTCTGGGGTACCTCGTCCAACCCCTACGGAAACTGGTCTCCGTATGTGGCCGGCGCGAACACCGACTCCGATGGCAGCACCTTCCTAAAGATCGGGTGGAACCCGATCTATCTGGAGCCGACGACGCCGTTCCGCAACGAGGTGCCCGAGTTCGGTGTCGAGATCGAGTGCGAAGGAGACGGGTGCAACGGTCTGCCCTGCAAGATCGATCCCGCCGTGAACAGCGTCAACGAGATGATCGGTAGCTCGGAGGACGGTGCTGGAGGCGCCGCATTCTGTGTGGTGACCGTGCCCAAGGGCGAGAAGGCCCATATTGTTGTGTTCGACAAGGGTGGGAGCAGCAGCGGTGGCGACGACGACTCGTCTTCGTCTTCCTCGTCCGTCTCTTCTGCGCCGGCATCCACGAGCACGGTCGAAAGCACTACCAGCATCAGCACCAGCTCCATTGTCAGCACTCCTTCCACCAGCAGCACCAGCACTATCATTAGCACTACTTCCACGACCAGCAGCACTTACATCCCTCCGACCACTACTTCCACTACACCTACCCCGTCGTCGACTTCAACTTCGTCTTCGACCTCGACCTCGACCTCTACCTCGAGTTCCAGCACGCCACCGCCTACCTCGACTTCAACCTTCATTCCTACCTCCACCCCCACGTCAACCTTCACCCCGTCGTCGTCCACCCGCGCCCCCAGCTCCGGCTTCGTGTCAACCCAGACCCCCTCATGGGCAGGCTACACCATCAAGCCGGCCGTATTAGTGGAGACGCAGGCCACCGCCTACGCCGACTCCACGGAGCAGCCCACCACGACGCCCGTGCCCACGAACTCTGAAAGCGGCGCATCCGGCCTGAACCTGGACATGTCGAAGCTGGGGCTGATCGTTGCGGTGGGAGCAGCAATGTGGCTGTAAAGTGTTCCTTCATTGTAATGGACGATCGACTCGATGTTTGGTTGATGTGATGATGTGCGGAACATCATCATTTTTAATATTGACTTTTTACTTTTTTCTCTTCTTGTTTCTTCTTGGTGACTTGGACATTTTGACTCTGATATATCTTTTATTTCTTGTTCGGGATACCATGCTCGATTTTTACTTTTGACGATTGATGGATTATTTTATTATGATTTTTTCTTTTCTTTTGGATGGATACTTGTATGATGATGGTGGATAACTTCTTCTCTATTATATTTTTCTATTTCTTTCTGATATATTCATTATTATTCATCAGTGACTAGTCTAATTTCTTTATTAGTTAATATTGACAGGGATGCATAACTCTTACTTGTTGTACTCGATTTCTATAACGTGTGCTTGAATAGGGGTTCAACTCAAATATCTCAAAGGCTGATGCTCGAACGAATTCTACTTCAAGCTTCATCACATGAGACCGCTCCAGCTCGACCCGTTCATCATGGCCATGCCAATCCCGCCGAGATACCCATGTTGCAGAGTCTCTGGTCTTCCCGCATCAGTGTGCGCATCCAGCCAGACGACACCCAGCTGTTTCTGGTGGTCCTCGTGTGTCGCCTGCAGTCCCGCAGCGACCCCAGCAGACGCCATGCAATTTCCGGCCAGAACGAGTGGTATGGCATCTCGCTCGCGGAGTACAGGATGGCGGCGGCGCGCGCGCTGATGGACGATGACGCCCTCGACTATCTGGACCTGGCGCTGGACGACTACGCCAGACCGGCGGATGAACCGCCATTCGAGGGTCGGACGTTACTGGAGGTGTTCTCGGATCTGCCGCGTTCTTCTTTCCGTCTGGGCGTGTCGGGCAATATCATGAATCCGCAGGATGCGGCCACTGTTCTGGACGCTGGGGTGGACTTTCTGATGGTGGACAGGGCGGCCATTCTGAATCCGGATTTCCCAAGCAATGTTCAGAAAAACTATGACTATAGGCTACCCAGTCTACCGGTTACTGCGAACTACTGGAAAGAGGTTGGTTTGTCTGAGCCGTACCTTAGATATATGAAAACATGGCCGGGATTTGTTACGCGGGAAACAGGAGGGTGTTAATAGGAACACGGCATCTCCGCGAGTGACTTTGTATAGTAGCTTAGGGTAACTCAATCTAGAACGAAACATGGACTTTCCAACCTAGAATAGCCATTGTGCTTCTTTAGCTACTGTCTGAGCGAGAGGTCGGTCCGTCCTCCATGCTTTGACACGGATCCACACTCACATGGGTGGCGGCACCGTTCCATCCGATCGCGCGCAGGATTCCAATGCCTTTTCATTGATGGTTGATCGCGGACGGTTTCGCTGTCATTAGCGGGACCGGCATCACCGAAGTTGTCAGAGCCTTTCTCGCCGGGGAAACTCATCTTCGCTTAAAGAGAGTGTTGGGAATGCCTCATCGATCGACTGGGGTGTTGCCGGGTGGACAAGCGACATCGTTATACCTGTTCCCCCAAAGACACATACCCCTGCTCCTGGTTAGACAGTACCTAGCTTCGGGCCTCCTTTTCGGATCGACTTAGGCTGACAACGTTAATGGTGTGTCTAAGCGCCGCAAGAAATGCAGTAGAAGATGTCCGCTAGAAGCGGTTTATCATGCTTCTCGAGTATTTTGATTCGTTCTAGAAGCGCCAAGATATGTTTGGGTGTTTTCTTTTGATCGACTTCATACCCAGTCTTTCAATATACCCTGCAGGGTAATGATCGAATCTCTTGCAGCGCTCGTTCAGCGCTATTGCTAGGGTTGCCGCTGACTCGTAGTGGTCGTCGAACTCCTCTAGGTGAAGAGAATAGTTGTGTTTGTATCGAGCTGGTCGATCAACATACATGGTGAGGTTCTGCCAGGGGATCTCAACGACCATCGCACTGACAAGCTGGTAATTGCATAAGCTAGGTGGGCTCGGCTGGTTCATGAGTATATTCTTCTCACGCTAGGTTGTGGACAAACGCCTTCTCGCTACTGCTGCAGTGACGTGATACATAGCCTCTCTATAAAGTGCGATCACGTACAAACATTAGCTTAATTGAATATCCCAAGTCTCTGAACTCGAAGATTGGAGCATCTTCGCGTGTGCCCAAGAACAACTCCGTTCGAATGCTCTGAGCACCGATTTGGCTATCGGCGTTCTTGTTGTCAGCTGTAGATCGGCCCAGTCGGAGATTGACAAGCCAAGGGTATGTATGTCTCTGCGAGTATCCCGCCGAGTAGGACATAGAGCATCAGACCACTGGGATGAATAAAGAACACTTGAATTTGACAATCACTGCATGTACCCTTGGCATGCGGTCCCGCACGCTGTCGTGAGAATCTGTCCGACGTTCTGGTTAAACCGTCCTTGCACGCCTATTTCGTTGCCTACAACAACACGTTCACAGCTGATGACTGATTGTTGACCAGCCCTATTGGTGGTTTGGCAGAAGCTTTTCCCGTCCTGCTTAAAGTTCACCTATTGAGAGTCCATCCTATAGCATTTGCGGCGGCCTTCTCCATTCTGTGTCAAATCGTCGTTCCACCACAGATGCTGCTCATTTTGGGTCGTTGAAATCAAAGCAATAATCGCCGCTATCAAGCTGTCTGGTAGCTTCGTTCAACGCAAAGGCAAGTGCTTGATCTCGAGATCGGGCGACCATTCCTGGGGCTGTTTTGGTGGAAGTGGGAATGCGGTTCGGGTCGCATTACAGGAGCCCTCACAGTTCGACAGGAGCTTAGACTAGCTCTCATAGTTAAATAGAGACTCGACCGGTCTTTCTTACCAAGCGCCATCTGAAGTCACGGCTTTGACACCGCCTTTAACAAGCCAGGTTCTCTAGGCGGAACTTGACTTGGTCCCCAAACGCAAGATCAATTGGCCTGAAGGCGAAGTTAGCCGTCATTGCTTGGCCAACATTCTGCTGAAAACGGTCTTTGATTGCTGTCTCATCTCTGCAGATTCCTTGTTCGCGACTCATGGCGTTTTGATAGGGATTCTGCGGCTGGTGGCTTATTATGCCCGTATGGTTGTTCCAGTTATAGACCCCTTTCCGGTCAAGGACGCTCGCGCCACCCACCTTCTGAGCGCATCCCCTTCCAATGATGATGTCTTTTGTGGACATAGCTCGGCATGGTTTGAACCCAGAGCTCTCTCAACACGGAATTGTAGCCAAATCTGTAAAAGTAGTTAGTACAATAGGCCGCTGATTCTAATATTCTTTCTTCCCTACCTTGAGCCGAAATGAACATGTCCTCGAGACGCTATAGGGCCTCTTTAAGGCTATTCCTCGATATGTTGTCTCTGTCTCGCCGGTACAAACGTTGGTCTGCTCGATGAGATGACTATAAATGTCTCCGGTTGATTCGAAAAACCACAGCTTGGAACAATCGTACACGCAGGCGGGAACTCGGCCTTATAAGAAGAAATCGGTAGGGCTTGAGTTCTTGAATGGAGACATGCTAGATGTCACCTGGCCTGGTTCTCGAGAGGAAAAGTAATAGAAGGGAGGAAGGGGAGAGATTCTGTATACTAAGGTAAAGTCGGGAGCACAGTTAATTGGACGTAGTGACTGGAGGCTACTCATATGGTGAATACCGTCTGAATTATTTTATTTCTATTAACTGATTAATTGTAAAATTAATGTAACATTCATTTGTGGTTTTGCCAGGGATGGAACGTGGATGACAGCAAATGCAGCAGCCTACTCGGTGTACTCCGTGTATACCAGCCAAGACCCGCCATGTGATGGTGACATAACCGTAACCATAATTCAACCACTTCCCTCTGCCCTCTTCTCTCTACAACTTCCTCCCCATCCAACTCTCTCGCCATTCCTCTCAATCAACAATCCTAAACGCCAAAATAATCTTCCGATTGAAATGCCCCCCTCACCACAAACTGTACGTCCCCCTTCTCTCTACCTACCCAGCCGTTTTTCTTTCCCCATCACGCCCATTCCTACCCCACCTTCCCCAATTCCCACCTCATCCCAACACTCCTCCCCTCCTTGCAGAACAAACTAACCACCAAATTCCACCAGACAAAACTAACATCCACCCTCCACCTCCTCATCCCGCGTCTCCGCCTCCTCCAAAAGAAATCCACCGCCTCCTCCGTCGTCCAGCGCCGCGAGCTCTCCCACCTCCTCTCCGAAGGCCGCGAAGCGTCCGCGCGCATCCGCGTCGAAAATGTCATCGCGACAGACATCTCCGTCGAGGTGCTCGAGATGGTCGAGTTATACTGCGAGCTGATCCTAGCGCGCGCCAACGTCGTCGACCAGGCCGCGTTCGGCGAGAAGGGGGTTCTGGCGAGGAATCGCGCCAAGGAGGTGTGGGGGAGTTTGAGGCATGCGCAGGGCCAGGGACAACAGCTTGCCAGTGGAGGGAAAGCGGGGCATCAGAAGTCGTCGTCGGGGTTTAGTTTTTGGAATCCGTTTGGGGGGTCGAGTAAGTCGGTTGCGGCTGACGGGGTGGATTCAGCAAAGCTTGAGAACTCGGACGCTGGGCGCGGCGTGGGGGAAGAGGACCTTGAAGGGGAAGGAGATGACGAAGAGGTGCTGGAGAGCAAATATATCGACCCTGCGCTGGACGAGGCCGCCGCGGCTATCTTCTACGCTTATCCCCGCTTCCCGCATGATGTGCGCGAGCTGACGATTCTGCGGACGTTGCTGGCCGATCGCTGGGGGAAGGATTTCATGGCGCTGGCGGCTGATAATAAGTTCCCGCGCGGCGAGGGCGTGAAGGTCCCGGCGCGACTGGTCAAGGGGTTGCGTGCGAAGCCGCCGAGCACGGAGCTGGTGGAGAGCTATCTATTGGAAATTGCGCGCGCGTATGGAGTCAACTGGGGGGCGCACCTGCAGGGTCATACAGAGCAAGAATTAGGGGAGGCACCGGGGGAGTTTGAGGACCAAGACAATGATGCAGCCGAGTCGAAGGATGGAGCCGCGGGTGGAGATGATGCCGGACCTGGCGATCTCCCATCCACGCCGGCCAAACCGCAACGTCGTCAGTCGGACACCGCGGAACTCAACCGCGTGACGCCGCCGCGGGGTCTGCAGGCAGGAAAAAGCCCCGTCAGCGTTGCGCCGCCTGGACCGAGATCGGATAATCCCAATCCGCGCGTCAAGGTGCCGGATAGCAGCTCTGGAAAGGTGACGGACGATGCGCCGGAGACTCAGACGCCGAGTAAGAAGAGCGGAGGCATTCCAGAGCTGGACGAGTTAACGAAACGGTTTGCTGCGCTGCGGCGGTAGCATCCTTTATCACTGCATGTATCTGTAGATGTGACGGTACCCACTATTCTCATGACTTATGACGATTATCTTCCATACTTATCAAGGTTCACGAACTGTTTCATGCATGTATGATATGATATCCTCTACTTGTTCAATCCTAGTAGCTAGATACTCGTATCTTCAGCCCTCTTGCTACTATCCCATAGTTCACACATGACACACATAGTCCAGCTAAGCTAGCCAGAAACACAAAAAAGCAGATACCCGAGAAATAAATGACGACAGGAACGATGACTACCTTGCATAGATACAAAAATGCCCGAAAAGAAAGATATTGAATACCGCGGTAGCTATAGATTCACCCGCTCACCACCCGATTAGACCAACTAGTCCATCCGTGAAGGTAGAAAGCAAGACCTTCACCGATTAAATCAGATACGGGAACTGGCCCATGAAGCTGCAAGCTCAACATATCCACCCCTTTGGCTGGAGATGGGGGACTTAGAATGCTTGAATCTTAGGGGGTTGACTATTTTTAGGGCGCAGTATTCTCAAGAATCCAGAAGTCATGAATTGTCGCGCGCGTCATTGATGCTGGGTTCTTGGGATTCTCGGAATTGAAATTCGTGGCCTGGAGGTATATCTGTAGTAGCAAGCTATTTTGGGCAATGTAATGTAATGAGTAGGTTCGACACATACTATCTGCACCTTGGTGTCTTGTACTTTACTTCTCCTGGTCTCGTTCTTTGTCTTAACCTAATCATTCATGTTATAGAAATTTTATGCAAATACCTCGTTGAATAAATTCCTTTTCGTTACTTCTGAATGGCTTCATGGTTGCCAGCTCGGGATAATGTACGGAAGATCTGCATGCCTGAGGCAAAGACCGATAATACCTCTGCGAGTAATACTTTGTCAATTCAGTATGCGTAGCTAGAAACTTTCCCTCTGGTTAGAGGTTTATAAGTACTATTACTTGGATCGATCATTTGGTTGTCAATCCTCTGGAGAACTAGGTTGGCGGTAGAATGGCGCAGTTGGCATGATTGCTAGTCCCGGTAACAGATTGACATAGATTGGATCGTGAAGAAACTAGCAAATTGTCTTTAGAGTCTAGTGTATATTGAGAATTGAAATTCACCAGAGTGTCAAAGAGAATTAGATCTCTAGTATGATTATATACTAACATATCTAAACATATACCACAAAAAAAGAACAACTAATATATACAACCCAAGTCAAATATCACCCCACACATCAAAATAATAGAAAAGAAAATTCAATCCCGATACTCCTCTTCACCAGGAAGAAGAATCTCATGCCCCGAGCCCTCATAAACAAAAATAGCCGCGACACATCCAAACACCGAAACCAAAGCGATCAACCACCACGCGAAACCCACCATCCCGATATCCAGACCGTAGCCGTACCACGAGCCCGAGAAGATGGGACCCACGGTACGGAACGCCGACGAGACGGATTGGCCGATGCCGTGGATGGTGCCGAGGACGGAGGGGTGCGGGGAGCAGTTGTTTAGCAGGATGATGGACGTGGGCAGGGTGAAGGTCCGCGCGGTGACCTGCAGGAAGAGCACGACGATGATGGAGAACCAGACCCATGAGCCGTTGGCCTGGCCCGGGGGCGGGGTGCTGGAGGGCGCGAGGGCGATATAGGGTGCGAAGGCATAGGCTAGGGGGAAGAGGGTGAGGAAGTATTGGTAACTTTTGGCGGTGCCGAGGCGGTTGTTGATGGCTGGGTAGATGGTGAATTGGAGGAGCATGCCGATGATGCCGAGGATGGCGGTGGCGAAGCCGACGCTTTGAGGGAGCATGCCGAGACCGCCGGTGAAGATGAAGGGGAGCTTCTGCTGGGGGCTGGCGGGGTCGTTGGAGTCGTAGCGGGGAGTAGAGAGGAAGAGCAGCCAGAGGTTGTTGAAGGCGCTGAGATCGTCAGTATTGAGTCTATTGAAGCGACTAGAGAAAAACCTACCCCATCTGGAAATCGAAAAAGGCCTGCGCCAGTAGCGTACACAACACATTCTTAGTCCACAATTGGCGGAAAGGCAAGGTGTGAGCGTGTCGCGCAGGCTTGGCTGCCTTCTCTTCCAGTTCGTAGCCTTCCGTCGGGTCGCGAGACCGATGTAGAAGAGGGCCGTCCTCGTCGTAGTCGGCGAAGGGCAGTCGCTGGTAGATTCCGGAGGACGACGGGACGACGGATTTCACGCCGCGGGAGAAGATCCTCATAGTGAAAACACCCAAACCAGGTTTTCCCTTGCATGCGTCCAGAGTCTGAATCCATTAGCACCATCCAGAGCAGTACTCCAAAGCAATACACCCAGACATACCTCTTCTAAACCCATGGCCACGCAGACCGCAGCGAAAGAAAGAAAGATAGCATTGGCCAACATGGGCAACGCATACGGATACGTGATCAGCCACTGGACACCCGTCTGGCCGCCAAACGAAGAGTCCGGACCAAACAAGCGCGGATAACTCCTGACCGGATCGGCCAGCATACCGCCCATAACTGGAGATCATTAGCCCGCGTCCTTCCAACCCCATACCATAATAATGCAAGGAGACTCACCGGGCCCAAATAACGAGGCAATATTAAACCCAATCGGCAAGATCAAGAACGCGCGCGAATGGTACTTCTTCTCCTTCACATTCTCCGCAATCATGGTCCGAATGATACCCACGGTACCGTTAATTGCACCACCAAACGAACGCCAAAACACGGCCTGCGCGAATGACGTCGAAAAAGCAACCCCGAGACACGAGGCCGCCGTACCCAGTAGCCCGACCAGCAGGACGAACTTGCGACCTCCCCACTCGGCATCGGCCACGCGACCCCAGGGGATGGCGGTTGCGAACTGCGCCGCGGTGAACGCGCCCTGCAGGATACCCGCCTGCGTCGACACGTCGGAGTCGGACAGGTTCTCGTCGAACGACTTGAGTTGGTAGAACATGTAGGCCTGCAGGGAGGCGATCTGCAGGAAATCGAAGACGCGACACAGTCCCAGCAACGCCAATTGTTTCTTCTGCGGCAGGGACATCCATGTCACCGGGCCGGGCCGGGGCGTGGGCGCCGCTCCTGCCGGCGCACCGGCGAGGGGCTCTGATGGTGTTAGGAGGGCGGATTGCGGTTGGCTTTGCGAGCGACTGCGGACGTGACCGGAGTAGTCTAGGGAGGTGTTTCTGAGAGCCATGCCGGCGGTGGCGGGGTCGTGCTCCGAGGAATGGTTGGAGGAGCCCTCGGAGACGTCGTCGAGGGAGACGTTGGACTCGCGACGACGGCGCTGGGTGGAATCGGCGTTCTTGTCGTGACCGGTTGTCCAGGAAGTGGTGCGGGTGTGGCGGGCATTCCGGTTCTTGTGGTTGTTCAGATGGGACGAAGGGTTGGCAGATGGAGGGAAGGCGGGAGATAAAGGCGAGGCGCTTCCCGCGAATGACCGACGACCGGTTCCTTGGGACATTGAGGGCGCAAGAGAAGGTCTAAGAGCAAGCGTGGGAATGGCGCCAAGCTAGTAGGGCGACGTCAGTGGGAGGGACGAATGAGGGTGGAAGTGGAAGTGGTAGTCTAAACGAGGAAACAAGAAAAAAATATCCGAGCGAATCAAAGGAATGACCGAATGAGAAGAAAGACACCGCCAGAAGAACTCAGAAGAAAAGAACGAAAGAAGCAAAGAGAGCGAGGGATGGACGGAGATGTAGTTCGGAAGAATGAAAGATGAAGCGAGAGAGAAGAAGAATGGAGTGGAGTCGGGGACGATAACAATACGCCACGGTACAGGCATGCGGTACGCTGTATTGTACGGACAGTACTGTATTTATTTATATTTTATATTTTATATTTGAATAAATATTTAAGCTTGCGACGCCGTCTCCACTTGTAGGCGTCTTGGCAGCTGCTCTTCCTCCTTGCCGAGTAGTTTTATTTTTCAGTGATTTACTTAATGTGATTACATTTCCCTCATTCGCATGACTCGAGGTTATACTTTATACAACTTATGAAGCCAAAACTGAATACAATAGAAATTAGAATAGAAACAAGCCAAATAAACAACGTCAAACTGCAACCACTCACATGCATACGTAGACCTCGTCAGCCATCAGCATATAAATAGTCCACCATCTACTGCGTAGTCCGTACACACTTAGTGCGTACGTCTCGTCTACGTGGTCATGACTCCCTCCCAGCCACAACCACAAGCCGAGACGGAGCTCCTCCACAAGCACCGACTAAAAGACGGCGCTAAGGCATGCTAAGTTGCTGACCCAAACGAATACGCAACTCCGCGTTTCCACTTGATTATAATATCAAAATGGTTTAAAAAAATAGAAAAGTAAGAACGGCCGGTCTATCCGTGCGTCCACTGTTCTCCGAGGACGCATGAATATGATTTACGCAGTTAGAGTGTTTACTTCGCAGACATTAGACACCAGACACATAGTAAGAAAGAAAAATATGTATACATTTATAACTACAAGTCTACCGCGACGTCTCCGGATCCGGCTCTCTCAGTGGAAAATAATGCGCCGGCTCCTGCCCCCCTATCCACCGTCGCCATTGCCACCACGGCCAGTCTCCGATAGCAATCATGGCCCTACTACGCTGCTGGTCCATCATATCCGAGGACTCTCGCTCCTTGGTAGTATACGACTGGGAGAGCGACCGTCGCCGGCGATATATCCGCAACGTGACAAACACCCCCACCGCGACGATCACAACGCACAAGGCGGGGCCTGCCCATCCCACGCGATCTAGTACGTAGTGCGGTTAGCTTGGGTTACTTCAAGTCTCGAAGTCGAAGCTTTGTCTGAAACACGACTGAAACGGTTTCAACCAAAGGGGGAAAGGGGGACGGTAACTAGACCCAGCCAGGAGGAAAGGTCCAAAAAAGGAAAGGGGAAGACCGAAAAAGTAGGAAAAGAAATGAACTTACGGTAGGTTTGCTTCAGGATCGCCGACGCTCCGTCTGGGGATGTCTCGGATGATATTTTTCCTGATGGTGGTTGCTGATCCCCGTTGTGAGCTTGCGGTTGCTCGGGATCAACCCAAGGGACCGTGTTGATCCCCGCCGGCGGCACGAATGCAACCGCGGCGTCCTCGCCGGGCACGCCGTATGATGCAGCATTGTCGCAGACCTTCTCGCCGCAGTAGTTCTGCAGTTCCGGCGACGGCGTGAAGGTGAAGTGCACTGGCGACCGTCCCAGCACTTGACCCTGTAGGTCCACTGCCTCGGCATAGCTCCATTGGTAGAAGTGTGGTTCGGTGTAGACCGTCTCGAACCCCGTTTTAGAGACCTGTTTCAGCGGCGTGAAGGGCCCCGTGCGGTTCATGGCGCCGTAGAAGCGCCAGGACCGGATCCGTGTGGCGCCGTTCCAGCTGGCGTAGAAGGTCGTCGCCGCGAAGGCGTCCGTCGAGTGCGAGTACGTCCACAGTGCCGGCACGTCGGTGGGCATGCCGTCCCACTGGAACTTCTGCGCGCGGTAGTTCATGATGCGTTTATCAGCGTCCAGGTACCCCCAGAGCAGCAGGTTGCCGGCTTCGCTGTGCTCCGAGATGTAGGCGTTGTTGCCCCAGCCCATGAAGACGTTGCCGTTCGGTAGTGTCTGCATGTTGCCCTGGCTGGAGCTGAGCATGTCTTGACCGGGCGGTGCGTAGTCGCGCAGCTGCTCGGCTGTGTTGTTGACGTGGTTGATCAGGATGGTCATGCCCGACGAGTAGCTGTGAGTTTGGTTGAATCCGTTATAGCCGTTGTTGTAGAGTGACAGCAACGTGTGCGTGCCGTTCTCGCTGAGCCAGCGAGCATCGTGTTGCTGCGAGAATCCGAAGTTGAGGTTCTGGAAAGTTGGGTTCGCCCCGTGCAGCTGCCATATAATGGAGCCGTCCCGACCTGAGATCTTGTAGATGGCACATGTGTGACGCGACGAGATCAGGTAATCGCCGTCCTTGTTCTTGTCGACGGAGTTGATGTGGAAGTAATCCCACGGTGAGCGCGGCTCGAACCCAGTGCCCGAGGTATCCGTGGCGCCGGGGTAGGTGTAGCTGGCGGAGGGGTCGACATGATCGAGGGATTTCCACTCGAACAGCACCTCGTTGGTTTCGACGTCCACCTCTTGGAAGATGCTCTCCATCAACCATCCCATGCCCGTCTTGACGTTCCACAGGCTCATGTCAAACTGCCGCTGCTGATAAACTGTCATCAGGGCGGATTTGCCGTCGTTGATAGGCTTGAACTCGTGCATGTCGCTGGACGCGATCCCGCCGCCGGGAGTCACCGTCTTCACGATGCGATACTGGTTATCCATGATAACGCCATGGCCTCGACAGTAGCCGTTTTGCTGGATGCCTTGGAAGAAGCAGAGGTGGTCCTTTCCCTTATATTGACAAACGTGCATGCCGTGGGCATTGCCGGGGCCGGAATTCCCCCAACCGCTCCATACTAGATTCTAAATCCCAAGTGATCAGCACAAGTGCAGACGTAGAGAGGCTCAAGATGGACACATACTCCCTCGTTATCGTAGATATAAGGTCCCGAGTTGTCCGCTTCATAGGGACCGAGAAAGATGTAGCCGGGGCTGAGTCTATGAGAGACGTGATGCTCCAGAGTCAAGACCGGAGAATAGAGATCAGGTCTCTGCAGTTGAGTTCAACGATTAGCTTGCCGTCGGGATCAGACGAAGCGTGGTTGATTGGACGCCCTCGCAGCACGCAATCAAGGGATGAAGTAACATACAGATCTGAAGACGGCGTCCACCTCCGCGACGGCCCGCGGCAGGACGCATAGGAACAACAGCAACGGCACGATGATCGTGCGCCAAGGGATTGAGGATGGAGTAGCTCCTCCCGACGCGAAATGCATTGAGGAGGACATGGACTCTTCACATTACTCACGCAGTCTCTTTCTTTTCTTCTGCCAGAGAAGAAGCCAGACACTGAAGGAGAAACGGAGCAAAACAATCGCAGCAAGAGCAGTACACTGGTAAGTAAACGTGCTTGAAGCAAGGGGGTAGAATGTTCAGGAGCAAGAATGTAGGAAAAGATCAGCAGCGAGCTATGACGGCAGATGGAACGCAAATCTGCGAAGCTTCAGACCATGGAGACATGAAACCCACTTGGCCATGCTAAATCGACTCCGACCAGAGTCTAGCTGCGTGAGAATCTGGTCGATACATGATATCCACAACAATGATTGGTGCATGAAACGACGACGAGAGCGGGGCTCTCGATGGATGATTGCTTGGTAATAGTGATCATAATAAGAAGACGACGTTTTGATGGTGGCTTTGATTGTAGATCCGATTCTACATAGTAGAGTTAACTATAGCGTAGATCGAGCTTTCTGCACCCGTCAATCCGAAGTCAATGCCGAGCTGGTCCAGTCTGACCATCAGCAACTTTTCCACGAAGAAGCCACCGAAGAGAGCGTGTGTTTGTGTGTGGGCGCATGTTTGTCATGACTGACGCAGCTTTTTTCATGGTATCTGCCATGATGCCTCCGGTGGTTCGACACGGTCTTAGCGCCTCCACAGGTCATCCATTCTTAGTGCATCGGGGCCATGATTCTTTGCGATAACAGCAGTTCAAATGTAGCTGCCTAGCCAGTCCACCGGATCGAACCACCATCATGGCGAGAAAAGCGAGAGCACCATGCTCATGCATGGAAAGCGTACGTAGCGGACTACGTAGGCGGTGCCGATGGTGCGTATACGGACATGAAATTAGCCGGGGCAGTTCCCCAACGCTGTCGGCGCCGTGACATCGACGGGGCTGAGGGGTATCCTGATTGAGATTCAATGCTCAGAGGTGCACAAGGAGACCGACATTCGCGACTCAGCTCCAGATTGTCAAGGTATGGGAGGATGGAAAAGCCGTCAGTCAGTTGCATAAACAACTACCGACCACAAAGAGAACGTGATCCGCGTATATTGCTCGGCTCGGTATTGAGCATACCAAAAGGACAATACGGTAACGCCGAGGGCCCACCTTAAGACCGAGGCCGCTAGAGCCGATCGGGTTAGAGTCCAGGGGGGAGCCACGTCATGGAATGGATTATGTCATCGGCATAGAAGACTCCGCTGATTCTGATTGAACCGCGAAGACTGGAAATCATAGAGCGAGCATTATGGAGTCGGGAATATGGAGAACTAAAGTAACTAATGTACGCTTCCCCACTCGCTTGCAGAATTCCCCCCATTGGATCAGTGGCATTCTTCGCAGGATCCTCCCCCTGGTTCCAATATGCACTTCCAGAATCATCATGGCTGTGCACAACGGTCGCATCTGAAGATCCTTATTACTCTCCCCGCGGAGAATACATGCGCTGTTGCTACAGATCAAATGGACATTGGGTTGTTAATTTATACTATGTATGCAATATAAGGGGTAATAAAGCCATATATCTCAAGTTCTCAACATCGTCCTACATACCATTCATTCCACCTGCTCTCCTTGAAGTATGCGCAGATCCATCTGTACCGTACTTGTAGACAGGGATGAAACTCCAGTTAGATAACGCAGCGATATCTCCGACACGCACGAGACAGTTATGAGCAACGGCAACAGCTGCATCCAGATATGACATGGAACTTGGATACATATTATATCATATCGACCAGCTGTTCCTTGCCCACGCGTATCTCCCTGTCAGCCACATGCATATAGCATACGGTGTAAACCTACATCGAACTCCCAATTCCCACTGGAAAACCTGATTCGCTCACCCCCCTCCAAGACGCTATGTTCTTCCCAAGAACGGGCCAAGACAATAGACTTGTGCCCCCCACCCCTGCTCCAGTAACCCTCCAAGCCACTCAAAGCCAGATACTCTAGCCCGCAACCCAACAAACCGGCGGCTAACCAGGCAAGGGGATACGTATGTACGACTGCGTACTCCGAGCTAGCATCCATGCATGATTGCGCACGCCTACCGTGTTACTACTCCGTACGCGCTAGACACTAGACAGACTAGCTTGGGCGTTATGATTGATGGTTGATGACAGGGCTGGGCGGGTGGAACGGTGATAGGGAAGGAAACGCCAGGCAGCAGCGATTGGGACGATCTAGTACTCTGTAGTGGATGTAGTAGGGTGATGTTGAAATGGGCGGAGGTATGGGTTTGGCGTTGCTCTGGCGATTCATGGATAGGATGGGGAGGTTGGACAAGACGCGAGTTGAATTGCCAAGGGCCAAGGGGCTTGTCCGTATGTCGGGTACGGACAGTGGAGGTGTAAACTTAAGTTTGTATTGTCTAACTGCGTTCTGTCTGTCTGTCTAGGAATACGAAGAGTAATTTGATCCAGATGCTTCAATATTGTGTATTGATTGTGGGATATTATCTATTTCGTCCCTTGACAATAATCGGATAAAAGGGATGAGACGCTATTTAAATACTGTTGTAGGATATGATAGGTAGCAAACCTTGCTTTGAAACATGACCAAAAATATAATGAAAACAATGAGAAAAACCATGAATGGCGCCCAGCGCACGATATACTCCGTAAACTCGAAAACCCAACCAAGACCCCAAGAAATCAAGACCAACCCCCTTTTTATTACATGACATTCCCCGCTTCACCGAGCAAATCGCTTAAACGCCATGGTCGCAGCCAAGCCAGTGGCCAAGATAGCACTGCCCATGGTGACGGCCTGCAGGGCAGCGTTGAGCATCTGGTGCCTGTTGCGGGTACGGCAGCGCTTGAAGAAGTCGGCCATATCGTTGCCACGGGGGAAGGGGGTATCGGGAACTTCTTCGCCCAGGAACTCGCACAGCGGGCCCCAGCCGTCGCCGATCTGGTATTCCAGCAGACGCTCGGGGGGCACCAGGCTGCGGATCTCGGCAACGTGGTCCTCGTACACCTGCTTGCCCTTGTTGGGGAAGTCGCCGCGGAAGAAGGTCTGGAAGAACTTGTTCAACATGGGGTAGTACATGCCGGCGGCCCAGCTGAAGTTGGAAACGAAGCTGTGCTCCGGGTCGGACACGCGCCACCAGACGGTTTTCATGACGGAACTGGAAGGGCGGAATGTTAAATTGATGGACGGAAGGGGTGTGTAGAAGAGAGGACTTACGCATGCCACGAGTTCACCTCGCGAGTGGTCAGAATGACCTTCGCATTGGGGTAGGCTTCGATGAGCTCTTTGGCGAAGGCGCAGGCAGGCCAGTCACAGACAGCCTGGAGATAGATAATTAGTTTTCTGTCTATTGTTTGAATGCACCGTTCAGATTGTCGGGTGATTTACCTGACACTCTCCCAGCAGCTGGTCCCATTCCTTTCTTCCGAACTCACCCACGCCGTCGTATTTGGCAGCCAGAGCGTCGTGCCACATCAAGCAGTCCGGCGGGTTCTCAACGCTGGCGGACATCATGTGGTAACACTTCAAGTATCCCAGACGCTCCAAGGCGATCCGGAGAGCTATTTCCTCATTGTCAGTTCGGTTGCCGGAGGGGAATCTTCAACATCGGGCTCACGTACAGGCAGTTCCCGTTCTTCCCACACCCAGAGCCAGCACCTTCATGGGTACCGTGCGGTGACATTGTCGGCGGTCGATGCAGGTGTCGCTGGTAAAGATATCGGTCATGGGCTGGGGAGCCAGGTTATCGGAGTGGATCAACGACATGTTGAGGTATTAAGATAGGAGGGTATCGAATAGAAGTAATATAATTCAAGTTCCAGTCTATTATAAGGTAGAAAAGTAATAGGATAAGAAAGTCCGCGTTCAATAACCGAGGACCGATCAAGGGAACGACCAAGGGATAAAATCAAGTAGATAAGGACGAGGACGAGAAAGAGAGAAACGCGAAAGCGAGTGAAGAATGAAAGACGAGGCGAAGAATCCACAGCAATCAAGATTGAAGGGCGACTGGGAGAGCAATCATTTAAAGACAGAGTCCCGAGGACGTATTCTAATGGGATAGTCCGAGCCAGACCCAAAGTGGCAACTCAGATGGACGGAGTGGAATCGTCGACTCGATTGGTAAAATGTCAATTGTTTAATTGTTTAGTTGTTAGAAAATAGAAACAAAAAAAAAAGTGTCAAGAATAGCAGCAGCCACATTGACACGAAACCACAGTAATACCCAACCTGTTTTTTTTTTTTATTTTATTAGTTAGATTTTTTTTCTTTTTTTTTTTTCTCTCTCAACTTCTTTTTCTTGTGCTTGAGAAATTCATTAAATCAGTTAATCACACCCCCTTGGCGGGTCTTCCGCCCACGTTGGGGAGTCTGGACGGTTGACAAGGACCAGCGCAAGCTCGGACGACGTCACTGGCTGACGCTCGCTGCGATAGTCAGGGGGCGGGTAGATGGGTAGATTCTCCAATTTCTCCACGGGAGGGCGTTTGCCATGCCAATCTCAGGACTGGTCGGTTAACTTGCACTTAGCACATCGCACTTAGCCCTTAGCATACTCCGTACACCGTAGACACCGGGACCAGCAGCCATGACGACGCTCAATGAGCCGTGACTAACGAGAAACGAGACTGGGCGGCGGGGCGAAGAATGAATGAATAGGATATCTCCTCGTAGTATGAGCGAGACGTGCCAAGACGTTGGATCGCCTGAGGCTTCCAGACCGGCCGGACGAACCGTGCCTGGCGGGGCGCTGATTGGCGGCAGTCCGGACGACGCGTACCTTTCTCCGTTTCGGCTTTTCCATTGAAACGAAGGGATCCACCGCCCTCAAGCTTGGGTCTGCCAACTTGCGAATCTCCTGGCCTTTTTTTCGACGTCCATTTGTTAGTCAGTGCTTGGTAGTTGGTACAACTTCTCCGACCTCCTCGAAATTGTGGTGGAAAATCTTGTATCAGATTGATCACTGCCATGCTTGGGTTTCATCAGAAACCGGTTGACAAGGACCGTCGCTCATTTGTTTCGACTTGCAGATATCGACCGTCGGTGTGCGCTCCGTAGTTCGTACGGCATGATGAACTGTCTGTCCGCCGTCGACTGTTGACTCTCGACACGCGCTTCTGGCATACCTCTGGTCACACCTCCATCTGGATACCTCCCGAGGGTTAGCCACATTTGCTTTAGCATACCAGTAGTCAATAGTTTAACACGAGTCCAGTGGACAAGTGGACTGGACTCTAGTCTCTGCGACTGTCGTACTCATGTCGCGCTTCGTTCAGAAATCAGAATGGCCCCCGCAAGAAATCACACCTGGGACTCTGGGAGTCGAATCCAACTGAACGGGCCAATTGTGCCGTCCATTCCACGGATCGACGGACGGCGAACGTATCCCAATTCCCAAACGACTGTCCACATTTCCCACTCCATCAGCTCAGTATCTTCGCATTCCTCCCAGTCTGGTCCGGAACAGAGTTTGATACTCGTCTCGGGACGGTCGACCCGGAGCCACTGGGATTGCGGGTGAACATTCCCGCCAGCCCTGAACTCTGAAAGCTATCAATCAATCCCTTCCATCCACGGAAAGCCCAAGATCAACAAAGGCTGGTGGCGAATGGTGGAATCTCGCTGTTGCGTCTCCGCTTTCGTGCATGTCCCGTCCAGCCTCTCTTAGCCTCGTAAGGGGGATTGATAGACAGGGCACCGGGAGGCCAAAAATGTCGCCCCGTTCAGCAGGACAGAGATGGACAATCAATTCCCAACACTCCAAGGGCCGCCCGTCGGGGATCGACTCGTCGCCCGGAGGACTCGATGCCGCTGACAAGTACACACAAGTCACCAAGTCCCGTCCTCTTTGCCAAGACGGCCAGACGGCGACGGCCCATGACGGACGTGGACCGTCAATAAGAGGTCCCCGTCCGATGCGGTAATAATTCTCAGACGGTGATAACGATCTTCCTTGCGCTTCCGCTTTTCGCTACGGAGCACGAGTGCCCTCCATCGTCTGATTCTCAGAGCGAAGCTGGCGGCCGGAAGGAGTGATTGTCCCGGTGGATGGGGCTGGCATGGATACGTCGAGGTATTCGTATGTATCTGTCAGAATGAACGTGTATTGGGATTGAAAGAGACAGTCTGTCCTTCTGTCCTTGTCCTTTGTCCTAAGACCGAGGTTAAGGCTTGGTTAGTGCTCAGTGAGGGTTGGTCAGATCAGGTGAGGCCGACATGGGTGGCAGTCCCGTGACGAGGGCATCCCCGATCAGTAAGGCACCTAGTAGAACATGAAAAGTAGTAGGGAAAAAAGACAAACAAAATATAGAAACACCTGGCAGCCTCCAAGTCAAAAATCAAGAAAGACCAGCTCGCGCGACCAGCGGCATCGTCCCCTTTTAAACCCATCTGCCGCCAAGATATGTTGTCAGAATCATAATATAACTCGCAATCGGTGCCTGCGATCACATCACCCAGCCAGCTCGAAATGCGGGTAAACCCTCCACCACGTCCGTCCGCGGCCCCCGTCTGAGCCCTATAGGGTAAGACAAGGGCGCCGATGAACGTTGGCATGACCATCTGAGCTCTACATCTTCCCCAAAAGAGCAATGCCAAGGGCCATGAGTGGTCCTCTGGTTATGGTTTCAGTCGGCATGCTCCGCTAGGGTCTTGTCGAAGCTGCCGGCAGTGTAGGTCGGTTGTTGCAAGGCTCTAGGCATCCCTATTCTCTCGCCATGTCTGGTCAGATAATATGACTCTTGACCGAGATAGTGGATGGTGGGACTACTTGGGTTGGCCGATCCTTATACAATTTGCCAACTGGGATTATGCCATGAGTTTCAGGTACAAGATAATTCCTGTTTCCTACGTTCCTATTCCTTGACGCGAGTTTATTAACATGTTGGGGATAATATAAAACTATAATGGAAAGGCCCTCGAATCAATATCCTAAGCCAAGCTCAGATCGCAAGCATGGTTATCCAAATATACAGTAACAGCCATTGAAACCTTAACTCCGTGCGAGGACCATGTCCCGTGGTCGCTCAATGCAATGAATGATATCAGCCCGTCTCCTGGTCTCCTGGTCTCCTCCGTAGTCGGGTATACTCCGTTCCCGACCTCGACATCTCACTCCAGTTTGTCCAAGTGCTCCAACCTCGTGAGCACCACTTGTTTGCTCGTTTCTTCGATCTCGCCGGCAAGGAACACCTCGTCTAGAATGGCATAGACCTGCGATAACTCGTCAGCCATTTCCCCGAAACAATCGCATCGTTGACATTTCGATTCCGTCCCCCTTTCTCCAACGATATATCACCCCTTGTCTCAACTCGACAAACCACCAGAAAACACAAAGAGCAACAAACCTTGTAAAAGTTAAACACTAGATCCAGCTCACACACATTCCCAAAGAACTGATCCAGCACTTCCACGAAGAAATGCACCGCCTCGAGATACGCCAGCTCGTTATCGGTGGCATCAACACACACGCAGAAGAACAGCCCCGCGTATCGCCGATATACGATCTTCGTACTGCGCTTGAACTCGACGAAATTCGACTGATATTTCTGGTCTCTCGGGGCGACCAGGCGATGGACCTAGACGAGCAAAAAGAACCGGGTCAATTCACCATCCGTCTTCATTTTGATTGTAAAGGGGCGAAGGGAGGGAATCGGGGAATCGATTATCGCCGACGGAAAGGACTCGCATGACGCACCTCGCCTTTGAGCTTCACTTTCTCCTCATCCTGTAGATTTCCCGTGTCAGTCTATCGTAATCGTATCGCCGCGGAGGGAAACTGAGGGGATGACTTACGCTGTAAGGCGCATACCATTTCGCAAGGCGCGTCTTACCCCTTGAATTCGTGGATTAGCGATCCGACCACCGTAGGTGTAACCGGGACAAAATGCCACTCACTGGCGATTCTGAACCAGAATAAAAGAAAGAACCATCCCGTCTCAAGTGCACCCGCGACCAACGCAGATCAGACTTCGACTCCGGATTGTCGACGTCGAAACCATCCGGGGTTCTCCGCCTCGTTGGTCTTCGAGACCGATTCTGCCGGTGGACACCGCCCGGAGATGGCGCAAGAGATGGAGACAACTGACAGTACTGTAGTTAAAGGAGGGGGTATAGAATAAATGTACTATAATTAGAATGAAATGTGATGTGGAATATTCTATTCTGAGCTTGTGTCACTGTCCAGACAAGTGACGGGGAGGTTGCACTGAGATTCGCGCCGAGATTCTTTTTTCTCTTGCTCGTAACCAAACATTATGCGCCTAGCAATCACGCCGCATAGCATCCACCTCTATTAATATGACACCTTGACTTGCGCCATCCATCCTCACGCCTCTCGCCTGGTACTGAATGCGTCTCTGCTCACAGCAGCTACTCCTCGATAGAACGGTCCCTATATTCTTTCGAACCGATCCTCCCTCCCGCAATGCCCGTCTACCTCCTCTACGGCTTCCGATGGCCGCGCGCCGGCTTCACAGGAATCCGAGTCTACATCGTCCTACATAACCTGGAAGACGCGACAGCCGAATACCTCCAACAACCACTCACGACACAGCTGCTGCTCGACTCATTCAAGAAGACCGAACCGGGGATCGTCTCGCGGCTACCGGACATGCGGTTCATTGAGCAATACGACCCCGAAGATACCAGCGAGGAGGCGGTCAGCAAGACGCACGCATACGTCGCGGGGAAAGTGATTACGATGCCGGAGGTCGGGAGCCCCGGGGCGTGTCTGAGCTTCGATGCGGAGGAGCTGGTTAAGAGTTCGGGGCTGGAGCAGGATGCGATGGACGCGTTGACTGAGATGCGGGATAAGTATGCCGCTGGGGAGAAGATCGGGTGGTATATTGTTTACAACGGGGATCCGGATCGGTATTTCCCGCCGGATGAGGAGGATGAGGAGGATTATAGTTTCGATGAGGAGGACGAGGATGACCAGGATGATGGCCAGATGAATGGGGTTGAGAATGGGAATGGAACGGCGTCGCGACCGCCGTCGACTCCGACGGTAAGTTTTGCTCGAGCATGCTGGTATGGTTGGAGTGCTTGGAAAGGAAGCTAATGGTCTGTGTGTATCGTCTAGTCGCTCCTGACTCGATTCTTCACCAAAAAAGCCGCTTGAGATGGCTACAAGATTTACGGAGACACAATGGGATGGGTCAAAACACTACATGGGGATATGGTTTCTCGGTGCTTGCGGGAGTATTAATCTTATGCATTAGCAATATACGGCGTCTTGGTTTAAACATGTCATTCGTCTATTTTTTGTGAAGGCGGAGGCTCTATACATCAGTGGCTGGCTCCGTATCCTCCCTTCTGCCAGTTCGCATCGAACGTGGCCGCATCCACTGCGAACTGTCGGATGTAATCCTTCTCCAGATCGTGTGCTCTCCTGCCCAGCAGCACAAGACTGTGGAGAGGCTGTCCCATCTCGACTTCGCTCAATTCCTTCAGGGTACCCGCGACCAACTTCTGGTCGGGCGCACCCACGCGTGCAGCTCCGACAGCTAGGCTATCGGGCCCGAACGCACCCTCCTGACGCTCCTCCTCGGTCTCCAGCATCTGGCTAGCACACTGCGCAACAGTCATGTAGCGCGGAGGCTCATAGATCATGCGTCCGCGGGCCATGTTCTCGTACGACGGCTCCTTCACCTTGATATCCAGCAGCACTAGCGTGTGCAGACCTATTTGAACGTTCTCCTTGACGCGGTCGTAGTAGGACGAGGGTTTCCAGTTCTCGGTGAAGAAGACCATGCTAACGGTCTGGCCGAAGTTGTACAGCTGCAGACCCGTGCAGCCGATGCCCGACATGATCGATGCGTTGGGAATAACCTTAGATTCGATGCCCATCTCCCGGGCGCGCAGGACAATATCGGAATGCGTCGTGGCGCTGCGTCTTATAAGCTTCCTTCACAATACGCAGAAACGATCGAGTCGTATCTTGCAAGGCACCTACCCAAACGGATCTCCCACCACTAGGAAGGCAACATCGCCCTTGTCGGCTCCGGCGAGGATGTCATCGCTACCGGTCTCGACGAGTTCGCGGTCGGCCTCGATAACAGGACGTCCATAGAAAGCTTCCTACTGAACCAATTGATCCATAGTTAAAAAACCAGTTCAATGTCATATAAGACCAATGCGATCGCCAAAGACACTCACTAGCTTCTCTTTATCCACGAGCAGAATACTCGTATAGGCCTCCAGGTAGACGCGCTCGGCCTTCTTGACCACCTCCAGACCCCGGACAGTGATGTCCTTCTCATCAGCGAGACCCAGTCCCACAAGGTAAAACATGACGGCGTGTGAAGGTAGATCAGCAAGTCAATGGGGGCGTAGAGTCGATGATGGCAACCAAAAAGTTTCCGTTATCACCCCACCAAATGCGGGCGGGCGTCGGGATGCCGGAGAAACTGTCGATCCGTGCAGTTATCGCGGCCCCGATCACGGGATGTCCCTTCCATTAACCTCACGCCGTGTCTTTGTTCCATCATTCCTAGCGCAACTTCCCTTCACCAGGCACCATTGGGTGTATATACGCGACATAGTTTGAGCTCTGTGGGAGCTATCTTTGGTGGAATGTGAGAGGTTATTGACATACAGCGTGCCAACATGTCGAGTGATCGTACCCCTAAATATCGGCAGGAAATCCAGCAGGTAAGCAATATGATATTGTTGATAGAGTAGCTCTGTCTGTGTCTTTCTTTCTCCGCGATTTCACATTGTGGCTTCTTCTCTCAAATTGGTTGCTTTGGAGGGATGTGCCATCTTTCATTCCATGCCCATGGTTGTATGGCAGTATGGCAGTATGGCACTGAGCAGGGAAGGGTCCTGGACTGGACTGATGATGTCGTCGTTTTTTTGGGAACACGTCTTTTACGTGTCTACCAAATTTACGTGTCTTGACGTGCGGGCGGTTCTTTCACCTCCCAACGGTGTCTCACTTGATGATTCATCTTCCCTCTTCTTTCCTCCCCCAGGTGATCCCAGTCACCGGACGTGCCTGTCATTGTCTCGTGAGAGAAAGCGAAGCCATGTCTTCCGATATCAGTGAGGACTCAGAGTCATTCTGCTTTGATTTCTCAGACCGTGAGACTGTCTATTCACAGTCAGAGGTGGAATCCGTCAGTGATGACGGTGATGCTACCCTGACTGACTGCAGTTGCTGCAATGAAGAAGACATGGAGGTAGACTGGGATTCACTGTATCAGGACGGCTTCATCAGCGTCGCAAAATACATGGAGGGCATTCAACAGGCGGCTGGAATCGAAGTGACCAGGGACATGGCAGAAGACAGCGATGGAATTTTGGAGACTGAAGCGGGGTTCAAGGACAATCTTGCTAATCGATTGGGCCAGATGATGTTCGTCTCTGGAGAGACTGCCGAACCGTCTGTGGAAACAACTACTTTGATTGAGGAGATCGTGCGTCAGCAGGTCGTCGAAATTGTATGCTCCTCCATTCCCGCCAGCTACGTCGCAGTCCGCTAACTACATTGTCGCAGCTCGTTCGCAGCACTGCGTTGGCTACCCGCCGAGGAGTCCGCTCTATCTCGACTGATGATCTGATCTTTCTGATCCGTCATGACAAAGCCAAGGTGTCTCGCCTGAAGACTTTCCTTTCCTGGAAAGATGTCCGCAAGAACGTCAAGGATTCCGACGACAAAGGTGGCGGTGCTGATGCTGCGGATTTTGCCGGTGCTGACGACCCCATCGCCGGCGGCGTCGTGGCTGGTCCGCAAGATGTCGCCTCCAAACCCAAGAACAAGAGGGCTCGAGTCGGTCTGGCTTGGGATGTGAACAGCTTCTACTCCGTGCAGGTTCCCGAGAGAGATGATGAGGAAGACGAAGAGGAAGAGGAACAGAACTATGCAACTTTGCAGCGTCTGGCCGCCGCCGACGAGCGCACCAAGCACATGACCAAGGAAGAATACGTGTTTTGGTCCGAATGTCGTCAGGCATCGTTCACCTACCGCAAAAGCAAGCGTTTCAGGGAGTGGGCCGGCTTTGGCATCGTGACCGAGTCGAAACCCAACGACGATATTGTTGATATCCTTGGTTTCCTCACCTTCGAGATCGTGCAGACCTTGACCGAAGAAGCTCTCAAGGTTAAAGAGCGCGAGGAGCGTGAAAAGAATCGCCGCGGAGGAGCCGAGAACGGAACTGGCGAGAGCACTAAGAAGCGCAAGCGCGAGACCGGCCTCTTCGATCCTCCCGAGGAAGGTCGCACCCCCGTGGAACCCAAACATATTCGCGAGGCCTACCGCAAGCTCCAAGCGACTCCCAACAAGAACATCGCGATGCTTTTGCATAATGGCAGGATCCCGGCGCGTATGCCTTTGAGGCTGGTAAGTTGTCCGACCCATAAATGTTCGAAGAACGTATTCTAATGTCTACAGATCTAATGGACTGTCACCATCCACATGTACAACACAATTGGGTTTATTTCCTACGAGACCACGCATTACGATTTGTACGATACTAGTTTGTTTTTGCAGGAACACCTTTTCCGGCCATTTCAGCGCTCTTGGCGTTCTGGATTCATATGTGGATTGTTCAATAACACAGAGCATAATACCAGGTTTAATTGAGAAGACATTAGCTGGATAAAGAATTATCCCAGAGTTCCGTGACCTCATGATCATTGCGTAAAAAAGACCTTCATCTAGGCCTTGTGTGTCCGACGCCCTACCCAAAACCAGATCAGCATCCACCAACACGGAGATGAGAAAGATAGGGGGAAAGAAAAACTTACACTCCTCCAACTCCTCCTTCGTAAACTCCCTCAGACTATTGATCGCCGGCACATCGCCCTGCGCGGCGCCCTTGATCGTCGTGATCGTGCGCCCCAACAATCCCTTCCGCGCCGCCATATGCGTCACCGTTTTCGCCTCCAGCCGGATAACCCCGATGCGCGGATCATTCGGACCGCCATCATGCACGCCGTCGCCCAGGTCGCCGAACCAGGCGGGCAGGGTCGGCGAGTAGTATTTCTTGACGACGGCGGGGTCGGCGACGATAGACGCGGTGCCGGAAATGGAGGCCCAGGAGCCGCTGACGGGATCGAGGAAGGACATGTTGGTTTCTTGGGGGTGGATGCTTAGGTCGAGCGTCTTGCCCGAGAAGAGGTTCGTGTGGAAGATTAGGTCGATGCCGCCGTGTTCCTGCGTTGGCAGTTGTTAGTATCTGCCTGAGTGTGGAGATTGCGGGTGTTTGGAGGAGGGGGGTGTACTTTTCCAGCTAGGGCCATGCATCGCGATGTCAGGAGATCCGAATCCGAAGCCTTGGTCGTGAGCATGCCGAACTTCGTCTCGGAGATGAAGTCGACTAGATCCTCGATCTTCTGGGCGAGAGGGGGGTCTTCAAGACTCTTCTCCTTGTAGGGGTCTGCGGACTGGATGTTGGAGGAAGCCATTGTGGAGGGAGATAGATTGAAGTCTAGTACAAACAGATTAGATAGATGGAATATGTTTAGAAACAGCAATTGAGAGATTAAACAATTGTTGATGGAGGAGCTCAGAGCTTCGAGCGGAGACATTATATACTTGTCGCACTCTGCCAAGGCTGGCGTAGCGGTGACGTCAGGAGCGAACATCACTTCCACTGGGATTTCCGGTTCAATGGGTGATATCATCTGCTTGCTTGGGAAAATGATCGATCGATCGGTCGATGGGCCATTTGGTCTGGATCGGATTCTTGTTCCTGAGACAAGGCTTGGACTGAAGCTATTGGTGGATATATATATGAATGGGGCCTCAGGCACCGTGATGGCTTTTTGCTTTGGTATATGCTCACGCCGTTTGAGAGTATTCTCAGATCGTCTTTTCTGGTGGATTGGAAGATCAGCTTGATCTTTTCATGGAATGTACAGTTTGGGTATTTGATAAAAGATTATCATGATCCTCTTCTTGATTTACCCTCCATGTCTTAGCTACAAGATCACGAGATCATTGTTTGAGATACTACAACATGAACTGATCTAAATGACAAAGAAACGAACTGGTTAAAATCTCTAGATATTTTCCTGTTCCACCATCCAGCCAGTCCAACCCACACAGCAGAGTGCAGCAGTGATTTCTTCCTATGCCGTGCTTAGTCCACCAAAGGAAACGTCCTTTATCTAGTTACACTGCCCCTAAGTCAGAAGGTTGATTCACACCCAAGCATGCATAAATGGCACAACACGCTAAGAGCAACAATCTGTTTGCAAGACACCACCGCCTGGACCAGAGTCTTTGTGGAGTATCCCGCCAGTCGGGCTGCTAACTTCGCTAGTTAGACATCCTTATAATATTAGTGCATCGGTGGGCCATCATGGCCAGGTTTTCCAAACACTACATGAGCTCCTTCATATCATCCATCCAAGTCATCATTTATCGATATCGAAACAGAGCAATCCTTGGACATTTACTAAGCATCCTTTGACCTCACCACATCTGTAAAAAGGCAGAATGTGCAACTTCTACGAGAACATTTATCACTATGCCAACTGCAAAGATCCAAATGAACACTACACCCATATCTCCTTCCAAGGAGACCCTGCAGAGAGATGCAAAGCGGGCCCGCATGAGCAATATGTTCCTATATCTGCGCAGTGTCATCATTGCTATCCTGTAAATGCTGTATGTATTTCCAGACCGCAATGAAATTTTCTAGCTAATGACGATGGTGATCAAGAAGCATAACGACGCGCCCGAGCGACGGTCATCAGACGCGAGCGAGTCAGAACCGGACAACCCAGAGCCTGACGAAAATGACGACTCAGATGGCAAGAAGGTTCCTGAATTCAGCGTGACATGGAAGCTACCGGTCGCTATCGCCGATGTGCAAGACATGGAAACCTTCATGTTGGAAGCACTTACCTTGACCAGGACCGGATCTAGCGTCAAAGCTATGTCGTGTCAAAACTACATTCGAGAGGAGTATGGGGCGCTGGGGCTGGTGCTTCTGGAAAACATTTTCAGCGCGCTAAACAGCGCAGACAACGGTTATGGTAAGCTTAATATTGCCTTTGCTGTGGAGACTGTTCTAACGGCATCATAGAGGACAGCACGATGGAAATTTACGCCGGCAACAACTTGTTTTCAGTTTCGCTTTCCGAGAAACTATCCTATCTCAAGGACATGCTCCTCTGGCTTTGCCTCTCTTTCGTGAAACCGAAAGACGGATCGGTGTGCATCTCAACAGCGGCAATGACCAAGAACTCGATCATCCTGATGCCTCTGCAGCCAATCCAGTCGACCGATCAGCTGATCAACGAAGAATACTGGCACGAGATGTTCGAAGCGGCCGTCATAGTCCAAGATCCTCGCCTCGAACCACAGTCATGTATGTCGCTAGAGATGGATTTCAAGATGATGGTGCGGCTGTCGGGAGTGAGCTGGAAAGTTTTGCACGACGACGGCTTCCTCCTGAGAGGGCCGTTCACGGCACTGACACCGATCCGGGAGCTGGGGAATGAACATATCATGTGGCATTTTGAGATATTGAGACCAGGTAAACCATTCGAACCGCCGAGGAAGTGGATGCGAACTCTTTTGATGCATCAGTTGCGGTCGAAGAAAGCGTTGGTGAGCTGGTTTCCCCCAGGACCGGTGAATCAAAATATGGCGCTTCGTGGAATATACATAGTGGACGACATGCGGGACATAGGTCTGACAAGGAAATCGCTTGACATGCTGGAGTGGTTGCGGGAAAGGCGAGTTGAGCGATACCACGGTGTTGTCAACTCTGGAGCTTCAAGTTCCTTCTGGTTTGTGAAGGAGTGGTTAAGACGGATCGAGTGCTGAAGAGGTCAGGCGAAGGGGAAGGATAGCGGAAGAAAAAGACGGAAAACAACGTAAAAGGAAGAATTAGGGACTGAGCTTTTATGAGACCTATGATGATCTTGGGCTATATTGGATACCTGGAACATAGGACTATCTTAGAGAGCAAGAGAAACAGATATAGAAAGCTTATGGGAGGGACTGAGTGCTTCCATGAATGAAAAAATTCGTAGACATGTGTGTAAAATCTGGACAGGTCAACCGATATCACCTAGATAATTCTATCCATATCGACCTGAATGCCCAAAGCCTGAATGTAGTTCAAGTACGTCAAGTGGGCTTTACATTGATGCAATATCGCTTCGGGGAAGAACGGCCACGGGTGAAGGTTGTTTAAACAAGATTTTATCATGGCGAGTTCGGTAGGAAGAGCATGAAGTTATAGAAATAGCATCAAAAATTCTCGAAGATCATATACAAGTTCCTGTTTGTAGCGCTTGCCCTATCAAACTGACAAAAGAATCGTAATGTATGATTCCGTCAAGCACCGGACCCTTAAAGACATAATAAATGCAATTGACCAATGGATCCATAGCCACATCAATAACCACCTTGACCTTCCTCTCTCCATCGCGAGACCCTAGCCTGGAGATACTTTGACACAGCAGCCGCCACGATAAAGCCATTAATCAGGATCCCGACTACCGCTCGAAGGACACCCTCATAATATCGACACGATTTGACCTCGAATAAACACCGACAACCTACTACGAACCCGAGTAGGTGTACTATGAGGTAAATGACAATGATCCTGGCATTTCAAATAAGTTTGTGTCGGGCAATGAAGACAACAGAATGTACGTACTTGATATAATGCTTATCGGTAAATCGAAGGATTGGTCGCATAAATGGCAAATGGCCGGCCAGATTGACATTGGCGAGGCGAGAACGAGGCATGGTTTCTTATGAGAGTCTATGGAAGTTATAAAAATTGAATGAAAGAAGTTCGTTGTTGAGAGAAAGATCTTGGGGGCCAGAATTGGACCGGTGCTAATTTTGGTCGGGCCGAACTAGCCCCAGGATTTGTAACACCTTAATCGTTCGGAAGATATCATCTTGCTGTACGGAGTACCTTTTAATGTTGAGATCAACGAATGCATATAGTGCTGAACTTCTGACGTTAAACTAGGACTCAAAGTATATTCATGGTCTAAAAAGCAAGATGAAATGTTAGCTGCTATCGCCTGATAAAACATAGAGGGTAGATCCATACTTGTTTATACAAAGGTTTAATGATGGACCAGACTGTAAGTCCATAATATAGGGATATAGAGAGTGCTTTGATCTACAGGAAGTCGCAGCTACCGCCTATCGTCATATGAACCGACCCGATAATACTTTTGGTCATCTATCATCAGTTACTCGAACTACACTCGGGCTACCAGCAAGCAACCTAAAAGATGCGACATGACTGAAGTACAAATAGCAGTTTCTGGGAGAACTAGAATAACACCTTCTTCATACGGAGATAGGGCTAGTCACTAAACTAAGGAGACCATTTGGTCGGTAATTGACCGGTTGAAATTCCACATAACAGCGGTTGGCTCCTGTGCGGAGCCCGGGTATACCCCCCGTTCGAATCTGAACCCTATACTAGTTCAGAATCCGGAATTTCTGACCCAAATAAGGCGATATATGACTTACTTGGCGATACGATGACCCCTGAACAGACCCACCCCTAAAATGCATGCCTGACCCTGGCCATGTAGCATGCGAGAAGCGCAGTCTACTTGAGTTTTATCCGTAGGACTTTCAATACAGAGTTGAAAGTGATCCTAGAAGAGTGATTCGTTACTTGAAGAGTTACTCGTTCGAAAGTTCTTTGAGTTCCTTGCCTTGCGTGATGAATTTCGAACGGTGCTTCCAGTTCCCGGGACACATGCTCGAATGCTTCAATCGATAAATTTTTGTATTCAATTGTTGTTGTCTCAGTCATAGTTCGTACTTGGCGTTCTATATGGTCACAAAGGGCGATTATAGAGCTGAAGGTTCGTACGTCGTAAGATAGACGTATTACCGTCGGCAAATCCTGAGCTTCGGCCATGCTGAGCGATTGCTAGTGCTGAGTTGGTTGTGATGAAGATAGGATGCAAGGGGTGCGTAAGGCGAAAGCGAGTGAGTCCCATTCTATGGTTAACTACATCATAGTGACCATCAGACCGGATGTCGCGAAACCGGCGCCAAGAACGTATTCCATCACTTAGAAAGCAATGGACTCTCATAAACTCTACTAATGTATGAGATTTAGAAGATATACAAGAGGTCATCGATGGCCACTACTACAAGTCCCCAAAAAGCACTATATAGCTCGGGCATCATTCTTCGATCCCACTGCCAATCCTTCCTTCGGTGCAAAACGCCGGAATTACAAATCTCACGGCGGAATTGAAGTCCGGAGACCTGATGGCGCCCAGACTCCCTACAGTTGAGGGTGTAGGGCTAATGCACGTCGGAGAATGTGTGGAGACTTACCAGCACTGCTGTGGTCTCTCTCCCTTGAGATTGATTAGAGAGCCATTTACGAAACTTACTGCCTGTTCGTTACAGAATCGAATAATTCCATCATGCTGCTTCGTTTATCGAGAGGCATATGTTACTTGATTTACTTAGTAGGACGGGAGCTATACAAATCAGCCTACAGACCGGCCATATTGATTGCTCGTAATGTAAAGACTCGCGAGGCTCCGAGATCCCTCCTCGCTCCTTCCTAATGACAGGGACCGAATTATCAGCGGCCACGAGTGCTTTCTTCGGTATCAAGTGAATGTAGAGATGGGTGATGGGGAACTCTTCCCCGTGGGTGGTGACTAATACTCGCTACCATAGTTAATAAAGGCAGGTTAGTGACTACCAGAGTGAAGCCTGGGGAAGAATACATTGTAGTGATGATCTATACAGTGAATTGATGGCAAGTCTCTTCAACATAAAAGGGGCCTCTCCCCCCGCTCCTCCATCAAATCCATTCTCTGAGCGAATAGTCACCTCATCATAACCGTATTTCGTGTAGGAAACTCTTTTGTGACTCAGAGCCTTCATATACAACAATTGAAGCTCCGGAGGCTTTGAAAGTATGCCTGCACGGAGAGAAACGCAACGAAAAGACCATCCAAAAATGAAGAATCAGCTTATGCCATGTAATGTACAACTCCAACCACACTTGATTCAGATCATCCATATATCAGCTCATAAAGATGACATCTCCGATCCATGTCTTTAGAACTGACTGTCCTCAAAGCCTTCTTTCCCTCTTCATTCATGCCTACTTTCACGCCATCCCCAAATAATCCAACCATAGGAACCCCCATCCATCCTGGCCCTTCAAATGGGTCTTTGGCAAAGTCTGCCCATGCTTTCTGCATAGCCTGACTGACTTTAGCTTGCAATTCGGTGGCCTCATTCTTCTCATAAGTGCCAAAAGCCAGAGGTATTTCCGCCATGTGATATGCCCCGCTACTAGGGAACAGTTCGTTGTTGGGAAAGCTAGCATTGAAAAAATACCTCCAAGCTGGGATGTCTACTTTCAGGTTGTCATTGGCGTAGAATTTCATTGGGCAGTGCACGCCAAGGTCGTTGGCGATGAGATTAAGCCGGTCATTCTCAGTGTGCGTGCCGGGTTGCCCGAGAGGATACGCTTCGATAAGCGTGTCCGCGAACTTGCCCAGACCGAGCCCTTCGAGGGCTTTGCGTGTGTCGTTAGCCCCAACGAGATAGGGCCTTGCCTCATCCGCGTTGTTGCCGAACAAAACTGGGACTCGCGCTATGGTCGAGTTACCCTCGCTGGAACGAAGCCGGTCCTGTCGCGGGGTGTTCGACATCGTGACGCCACCGTCAGGAAGAGGACCAAAGGGCAGATCGGCGGTTTCAAGAATCCTCTTGATTTTCTGGGCGGGAAGTTTGCGAAGGCATTCGATAGCGCCGTCCGCTGGACAGTGGGTCAGGTTGAGCAATTTTTGCCACGAATGGCGGTATGATCCTGCCTTGTCGTCCAGAGGAGCTACAATGGACCCCTGATTTGATTGCATGATTCCTGCACGGAAAGGAAGCGGTTCGGGTGGTGATGTGATGAGTGTATCGACGGTGCCTCCGCCAGCGCTCTCGCCGAAGATAGTCACTTGGGATGGGTTGCCTCCGAGGCCAGCGATGTTGCGTTGCACCCAGTCTAGGGCAAGACGTTGGTCTAGGAAACTAAATCAAAAGTCAATATTAGGCTGGTGCAAGTCATCGGGGATATCCCCTCACCCCAAATTCTTTTCTTCCTCGGGAACACCACCCCCAGGGAATCCAAACACATTCGTTCGGTAGTTAAATGTCACCACTACGACGTCCTGGTTGGCAACAAAGCTCGTAGCATCATAGATCGACAGAGCGGAACCCCCGTTTATAAAGCTGCCGCCATATATCCAAACCAGCACAGGCTTAGACCCGGCCGACGCGTCCGCCGGAGTAAACACGTTGAGGTTCAAACAGTCCTCGCTCTCCCCCCCTAAAGCGTCCCCGATGCCCACCAAGTCGTAATAGTCTTTCGATGCTTGGTTCATCATTTGAATGCAGACTGGTCCCCACGTGGTCGCATTGCGCATTCCGGACCATGGAGCCACAGGCTTGGGGGGACTAAACCGGACCGGCGGCGCAGCGAACGGGATGCCCAGGTACTGTCTCACAACGACAGTGGACGAGGGCAGAGATGTTGCTGTTCCAACGATGGCACCTGAATCGATGATAGCGGTAGGCATAGAATCGGCGGACGGTGTGGCCAAGCCTGCAGCGAGGCTGGCGAGGCTGAAGAATAGCAGCGAGCGCATTTCGAGGTTAAGCGAGCTTGGGGGCTTCGATTAGAATACAGTGGACTCAGTATCACATATGAGATGCGACAATTGATATTTATATACCCCTGCAATTCTTCAGGTCCAATTGTTCCTTCGTAATCCTACCATCAGCCTTGGATTACTTCTAGGAAGTAAGGCAGCTGCATATCTGGACATCTGCCTCTTGAGAAGCCCACATATGCGTGGCTCAGCCTTACAGCCCCTCCGCCAAGATATTAGAATCTTGGGAGAATTTCTGGCAATTGGGAGCGAACGATGCATCTTGCTGAGAAAAAGGATGAAAAGGATCAACGTGAACGGGCGCTGTATCTCTCCATTTCGGGTATTGTTGCAGCCTGATCGACCGGGTATCGGGGCTAGCCGCCTTGGGAAAGACGCTTGGCCAAGAAGGGGATCAGGCATCCAACGCCCCCGGGATTTCTGCCTTATCAAGATCAGTATGTAACTACAGCTTCTGGACCACAGAATATGTCTAGATTGACGATACCTAGCTTGGAGTTGCTTGTAAGCAGAAAATGTACACAGGTAGAAATGGTTTTAATGACGCATTGAAGACGCATCTGCGTATTCCGTTGACTCCCGATATCGTTGAAACAAGCAGATGCCCTTCTGGGGTTACTCGACATCAATCGCTCGATTGTGTCTACGTCATGATACTTCTCTGACTGAGTAGAAGAAAAGAACAAGGGAAAAAAGAAGCCAATACACAATGGCTCATAATCAATCAATTAACACATGTTTGGTCGAAGTGAACATGAACACAGTACGAAGTACAGGGAATTTCAGGCACATGTTTCAGTCATCTGCCAATAGGTTGCCATTCATATACTTGAGCCCGGTATCACAAGCGACAGTGACCACCTTCTTCCCCGGCCCTAAACGTTTTGCCAGATCCACTGCGGCGACAACGTTCATGCCGGTGGAAGTACCCACCAGAAGCCCTTCTTCCTTTGCGAGACGACGGCACATAGCGCGCGCATCTGCCTCCGGAACAGAGCGAGCTTCATCGTACAGGGTATCATCGAGATGAGGAGGACGGAATCCAATTCCAATCCCCTCGACGCCATGAGTCCCCGTCCGACCCTCTGTGATGACCGGCGACGAAGCCGGTTCGAGAACAACAATATGAACATGAGGCCATTTTGACTTCAAGACCTTCGACGAACCCATTACCATGCCCGCACCGCCAACGGCACCGCAGAACGCATCAATCCCCGAGGGAATCTGCTCTAATAGCTCTCGGCCTATAGCTTCGTACCCGACAAGGGCATCGCGGTTATCGAACTGCGCTGTAAAATAATAAGAAGGGTCTTTGGCAGTCTCTTTAGCCCGCTCAACCATCGAAGGGATTAGATCGGGCGTGATTTTCCCCGACGGGCTATGTACAAGGTCGAGGGTGGCTCCGAAGGCTTGCATAGTGCGCAGCTTCTCCATAGCAAACGCATTGGACGAGATAACCAGAAATTTGTAGCCCTTCATGGCGCACACGAAAGCGAGGGAGGACCCCGTGCTTCCACCGGTGGCTTCGATGACGGTCATGCCGGGCCTGAGGTCCCCGCGGCGCTCGGCCTCTTCAATCATGGATAAGGCCATACGGTCTTTGTACGATCCGGTGGGGTTGATGGATTCTAGTTTCAAGAAAACATCTGCGCACCCTTCAGGGACGATGTTGCGCAGTTGGATGACCGGCGTGTTGCCGACCAATTGGCGCGCCGAGGTTAGGACTGGTGCAGCCATGGTAAGATTGGACATGTGTCAAGGACCTTGAACGTGACGTATATCGAAGACTGATTGTATTTCCCAGGGTAAATTAAGGGGACAAATAATGTAAAACGAGTCAAGACTGAAGTAAGAAATTTGATATGTCGGCATGGCGGATGACTAAATACGTTAACTCCGGGCGCCAAGACACCGCAAGGGGAGATCTAGACGAGCTTCAACTCGAATAGTGGACCGGACCTTGACTCCATCTCCGAAGGCCGATGTCTTGTTTTGCGTGGGTCTCCTGAGGACATGCAGATTGAATGATTAAGTCTATACTTACAAATCGCCCGCCGGTGCAAATCAGTTCAACCGGTTTTTCGCAGCTAGCGCATCATCCACAATATATCATGCCAAAGCAGCAATGCTAGTATCCTTTCCAGGATGTCCTACACGTCTTTCGATCACCTGGATAGTTAAATTGAGCTTTGTGAATGCGTTCTAGAAAAAAGAGCAGAAAACTTGCTTATCTTTCGTGCGACATATGTCGGCATTGCCTATCATGTCTGAGGGGCTGAATGAAAAGGCCTGAGGGCCATTGTTATTTTTTGTTCCTTAGCTAAAGGATACTTAGGTAGACGCATGGTTTGACGAACAATTTGCAAGGTAGTAATCTTCATGTGCGAACAGTAAAAGCAACTCAACCGACATTCCAGAATGCCACAGACTCCAAGGTGGCATAAGAACATCTTTTGAGAGCTTGTGGCATCTGATTGTTGACCAAAGAAAGTAGTTGGGTGAAATTTGGTTTGTTGCTCGGGTTAAGACTGAAGGCTCTTCAGGCTTTTATTGCTCTTGATCTCTTCGTGCTGACACCATAAGTTGGACAGTTTGCATTTATGGAATTTGACGCACGGGCAAGCTTGGCCAAAGAGATTACCTACGTTGTCCTCGGGTACTTGATGTAAGCCTACATAGATGTACACCTTAAGCCAAAGCCAACAAGCCTGACCGAAGCGATCATCAAGAGGCTAAACCAGAATGATTTGACCCGCAATTGTCTCCACTCCACCTTGAGAGCTCCCCAATCTACTAAAAGAGACGATCGTGTGTGCGTACTGCGTAACCACTAAAAGCTGATGGAACAAAGAAGAACACCACTGATAGCAAGACTTGAAATCTTAGATCTGACTTCGGATGTACAGGTTCAATGCTTGCGCCGCAAATCGAGTGATTTATAGGGGTTTTCAAAACGAGTTAGCACATTTTCCAATTTACTCTCTTCGTCCATGGATTTGATCGGTTTGAAAATCACTCTCCAGGGGGCAGTTGTCGAGCCAGCAAGATATTAGGAAGAGGTCTTGGTGTTACCTTGATAAATAAAATTATATGGATTTATCTATGCTGTTTGTGACAAACTGAATGTTGATAATTGAGCGAGGTTGTTAAGGACAAATGCACGGGATTCTTGTTGCCCTAATTGATTTTGGTGCGGCACATACAATGGCGGACTATGCACCGCGGTGGCTGAAGCTGAAGCGGTAACCACACCGGGAGCAGTAGATGCCATGGTAGAAAGGTATATAGTCTTTTATACAAGCTAGGTCTAGCGAGATCCGCGGCTCTCTTTTGTTTGTCAACTCCCTACTTTTCTTTTTCTACGGGGTGCTTCGTTGAGATCTTACACTGCACTGAAAATGGTCAATTATCCTAAAACTATTCTTGTTGGTACGGTGAATTGCTTCTAGCCACATAAACATCTCACCGATCTCACTTCAGCCGAAGATGGAATCGTTCCATCGGGCAATAAATATCGACGCGATCGGCCAGGCCGAGGAAGTTCAGACCCCACCGACCAACAATGCGAAATACGAACAGCATTCCAGGCCGTGGTTGCATAAGGCAGCCTTGACAGAGTTGTGATCAGGAGCGATGGAAGACGAGTGGACCTGCTTGTCATTATGATCGGAGTTAAGGATCGGATATCAAAGGGATTAAGGCTTCATTTGTAATACTCTCATTTGTAAGCACTGTTAGTTTTCCTGTGTCTTCTGTTGGGCTGTATATCCTTGTTCTGTCAAGACGATTGTTATATATATAGGCTATTAATTTATAGCAGAGTATTCAATAAGTTTGTATCTTCTCCAAAAATTCCACCTCTGAGCCTCTGTCTCATTACCGCGTGCCTGCCTTCGCGAAAGCAAGAAACAGTTCGTATCAACCGTCATCATGGTCATTTTCGACGCAACCGCAAGCAGCGAAGATGTCACCAGCGCCTTTTCCCAGGAGATCAAGGGTCGTACATTTCTGATCACCGGAGCCGGCCAGCCCAGCATTGGCAGCAAGATGGCCACTTCGCTAGCCAAGTTTGCCCCAGCACACATCATAATCGCCTCGCGAACAGCCAAGAAAGTGGAACCAGTGCTGGAGGAAATCAAATCTATCGACTCGTCCGTTAAAACCACCTTCGTGCAGGTTGATCTGTCTGACCATGACTCCGTACGACAAGCCGCCAGAGAGATCCTAGCCACGGCACCCAAAATCAACGTCCTCATCAACAGTGCGGGAAACATGGCACTAAAGGAATTTACTGTCGATAAGCAAGGCATTGAAATGCAGTTTTCTGGAAACCACGTCGGTCATTTTTTGCTTACGAATCTGCTCGTTCCTGCTCTGCTCGCAGGAGCGGCTGAGACTGGTAATGCTCGCGTCGTAAACCTAACGAGTTCAGGATATCTAATCAGTCCGGTGCGCTTCGAGGACTGGAACTACTCTGGCGGGAAGAAGTATGATCCTTGGGCCGGATATGGGCAGGCGAAATCCGCGAATATCCTGTTTGCGTATGGCCTGACCAAGAAGCTGAAGGCCCGCGGCATCACGGCAACAGCGGCGCATCCAGGCTATAACGGTGACACGCAGCTGGGTGCCCACCTGACATGGGATGACTATGCCGGAATCTTTCCGGCGACCAAAAAGAACACTGGTCGAGACTTCGAGTTTGAGGAGCCTCGATTCAAGAGTTACACGCAGATCGCTGCTACCCCCCTGATCGCTGCACTCGATCCCGAGCTGCCTACCAAGTCTCCTGCTTTCTTGCAGAACAGCCAAGTCACAGAGCCTGGGGCAGACTACATCCGAGATGACGAGAGCATTGAAAAGCTCTGGAAGCTGAGCGAAAAACTTGTTGGGGAGAAATTTGAGTACTGAGCACCTGAAATTACTACAAAGTGTACCAATAATTCAATTCATTATCATGATGAATGAACACAGACGATCAAAATATGCCCCCGGGACTAAGGGTGGATCAGCTAAAGAGCAGACACAGATAAAGGCGTGGGAAATTAGTTATCATCCTAGTTATCTCTCGTGAATAATCGCATCAGCATCTAAATGCCCACCTATATCTTCAGCGGATCTTGCCCAAGTGCAGGAGTCGCCTTTCCAGCCTATAATATTAATAAAGAGGCAAATGGGCGATAATATTCCCATGCGCCTTTATCAGAGCATAGGACCATTCTTAATGGCCGCGTAATATCTAATTACCACCATCTAAGCAAGTGTATCTCGGGAGCTTGGCGTCGAAGTGAAATCCTGGAGGACCATCATACATGCCTAAATAGGTGATACTGTTCGACAGGTGATTGGGAAAGCATACTTTGAGAATATCCAACCGATAGTAGAGGAAGACTCATCCGGCAAAAGTACCTTTGAAATAACGACGTCGAACATGCCAGAGGTATTATAGATTCCCAGGGATGCGGTCAACCCACATCACGCACCTAATACATCCAACCAGGCATCGCGTCCACCTTCAGGATAAGTAATATCGACGTCGATAACCAGTTCGTCGCCCCGTACGCTAGGATATTCTCTTGTCGTACCATGGAGTAGGGGACTGTTTGTCGCTAGTATATGTCGCTCTTGTGTAATTTGAAACGGGAGGGTCATCCATTTGAGAGATATAATTTTCGCAGATTGCCGTTGTCTATTTTTAACTTAGCCCCAAAGCCTTGAAAATCACTGTAAGGGGGAATGTGAGAATAAGATTGAACAGTGTAGTAAAGTTTTCGAGTCTGCTGTGTAGTCTTCTCAAGAAAGACTCGAGGTCAGCTTATATAGAAGTACATTGGAGTATTTTCCTATGTAGCGCGTGTAGCATGTCTATGCAGCCAGCCAATCACTGACATCAATGACAGCCTTTGAACCCGAATTGATAAATCAGGACCAGTTAATGCCGATGTATTAGAAGTAGCCAATCATCTATGATACCCCAGCTGTCTATTCCCACAGTCCCAAGCCATATTAGGCTGTCTATTCTGTCTAGGGAACAAATAGGAAATTATACGGGGTACACCGGCAATGATTCAATGAAAGGAGGAATAACACGCATTAGCGTAGATATATACGGTATAAATTCGCTCTAGTAGAAATATACAATGCTTGGGGATTATATGATAAGAGTGTTTGATCGTTTGTACTGTATCCAAGAGTAATTGACCTGAAATGAAAGTTCAATATAACCAGAACCGATAACTGCTTTGTAGAGGGTTACAGCGGATCACCGCTACAACAGATGTCAGTATCAAGGAACATGAGATCCACGAATTTCGAATCAATCACTGTAATTCAGTCCGCCTCCTTCTATCACTGCCTCAAGTGGAAGCCAAGAGCTCGATTTTCAGCGTGATCAAGCGGGCGATGCAAAAAGATGTAATGTAATGTCCAGTTATGCATCCTCGGAACCCTGCGCACATTCCAACCGCGTATTGTTTAGACCGAGGAGCAGTGGAAGGATCCACAGAACCGTGTCCTCCTGTTCCAGTAGTGGGCCCTATTTTACTGCACAAGAGATAGTTGTGCTGCCACAATTGCAGGCATCCGTTCTCGCAGGAATGAGAGAAAGAGCGGAGGCATGCAGCTAACAAAGAATGTGCCTTCATCACAATGAATAGGGAAAAGGGTAGATAGAGTGGACCCCAAAACCAATTGCAGAGCGGGGAATCTTGGGCCAATCATGGCAAATATGAAGCACGTATCTCAGGTAACTAGTTAAAGGAGAATTAATGTTCCGACGGTCTCGGTTCAAGGATCCACAAATTGCCTCTGCCAACAACCAGTGCCTGTGCCAATTGAATCATACACATTGTGCATACCCAGTACATCTTGATAAATCTTGAGCTGCAGTTAAAGGGTGATCATTACAAGTCTACCACGGTTCTTTGATTATAGTTCATCTTTCTATTTTCTATAATATTCTCTTATCGTGCACCTTGCTACACATGGACACAGCTATCCGAAATGGCACAAAAGCAGCTTTCATACCTTCCACCGGACATGCTAGAGTCACAGATATCTATGATCGACCTGTTGACCGCCATGTTCCCTTCGCCGGGAGAAGTTGAGATCCCTGAATCAACATCCCAATGTGTGGAGAAACTTCGGCAATGGTGTGAAGATCCCACGTTACCAATGCCCGCGGGAATCCCTGCCAGCATATACCTTACAGTCTGTTTACCAGTTGCAGACGGAGGAAAGTCCGTCCAAGTCAATCTCTCTATCCCTCTTCAAGCCGAAGATACGGAAACTATGGACCAGCCACCACCCGCAAGTTACACATTGCGTCAGCCGGATTGGATGTCCAAGGCCGAGCTAGCGCAACTGACGGCCAAAATGCCGCAAGACGATGCCCTTGAAACGTTCGAGTACGTGCAAGAGGAGCTTAACCGTTTCTTAGAAAAGCAAAAACAACAAGAAGCGCAGGCCGCGGAAGAAAGCAATGCGGGTTCCGGCCGGGGAGGGCCGATAGTACGAGTCTGGTTCTATTTCCCGTCTCTATCGACGAGGAAGAAGAGAGATGACATGGTCAATAATGCGCCGGCATATTCTCTCACTGGCTTTGTACTCGCTGGGAAACCTGGTGTGCTGTGCCTAGAGGGAGCATCAGCCGATATCGATTCTTATATGAGTTTCATCAAGACGCATTCGTGGGGCGATATACCCAGCCACCAGAAGAAAGTCAGCGAGAGATTCCGCGAGAAAGATGGCGTGGAGAGAGTGTTTGATAATATGGAGGAGATTACAGACTCGCTGGGTGAGCGCGGCGGCCAGAGGGCTAACCGCGGGGATATGCAAGCTTTAGAGGCGTGGTTGGGCGCCAGAGGGTTACAGGAGGCATTTGAGAAAGTTATATTTTGAATTTTTGTTGGGACTTTGAAACAACATCAAAGATGAGGCCCGGTGGCTTCTATGAGGGCATTGGCTAATCATGAATTTGGCCGAACTACACAAATGTACAGCAATCAGACCAACTAGCATGGCATAGATAAATGAAACATTCCAGGTGCGGATAGAAATAAAGCAAGAAGCTCGAACAATCCCATCTGCTGTGACAACGGACTGTTTACATATCAAGTTCTGTAAATCGCAGCTGTAAACTCGATGGTGGCCGGGTAGCAAAAAGCCCACAGGGACGAGGATCCGAATTCTCCGTTCGCTCAATAAGGAAGCGCTCCACAAGCACAGCAATCTGTCGTTTCATCTGTGCCAGCGCCAAGGCTCGCCCTACGCAACTCTTCGTCCCATGAAAAAACGAGAGCATACATACTGAAGCTGGAGCTCCCCCTAACGCATTGATCCTATGGTTCTGGGCATCTGAGCGGTCGATCCACCTTTCTGGATTGAATTTCTCTGCATCGGGGCCCCAAAGATGATGAGCACAATTGATTGCCCGAGTACACATTCCGACGTACGTGCCTTTGGGAACTAGTTGACCGTTGATGGTCGTATCGCGGATGGATTTGCGAAGGAGGAGTGGAAATGCAAGATATAGTCTGGTGGCCTCCATGACTATGGCGTTTAGCATAGACAGCCGATCGTATTCTTCTTCCTCTAAAGATTCTCTCCCGGCTTTCGCGTGGGCCAACTCTTCCCGTAACATCTTTTGGACGTCGGGGTAATTGGCGAGACAGTACAGCGCCCAGGAAAGTGTGCCCCCAGTGCTTTCGAACCTGCAAATGTTAGAAAAGATGATCCGGATAGTCTTAGGGGAAAAAAGGGAAGGCTCACCCAGCACCTAGGATAACAACAATTTGTGCGATCGCTTTCTCTTCATCGAAAAGATCTGACTTAACGAGGTTAGTCAAGAAATAGAGATCCTGGTCTTCGCCCTTTTCTAATTGATCCATTCGTTTTCGGATCGTCTGACGACAGACATTTGTCATGATATCGTGCGCTCGATCCATTCTCTTCGCCGTTGAGGAAGGGATAAATTTCAGCAACCACTGCGGAGCAAGATTGAATAGTGCGAAAAGGGCTCTTTTCTCTTTGCTGCTGGCGAAGAGCATCTCATGCGCATGAAAGATCTCATGGTTCTTGCCAAGAATCGTCTCGAAATCAACACCGAGGCCAATTATCCCCGTCGCATCCATAGAAACCATGGCAACCAGATCCGAAATATTCACAACCACCGAACGTGTTTTGCAATTGTTTCGCAGCCCGTTAACAGCACATAAGTCCAAGATATGATCAGCGAACTGCACTGACTTCTTAGTCAAGATTGACCTGATCTTGTTAATGTTGCTTTGGTTGAATACGGGAAGGTATGTCTTTCAATTGACTTTGTGTTCCTCTTGCTCCTGGGGTACTATGCCGTGTCCCCAAAAGCGTTTCGTGAATCGTTTGAATCCACTAGGCTTCTCGTAGTCGTAGTGCCGCTGCGACAGTACTTCAGTGAGACCCTCGGGATTGGTAGGGATAAGGTACTCAGATCCGAAGAGGCCGAAGAAGTGCATTAAGCCCTGTGGATAGGATCTCTCATTTATCCACTCTGCAACCTTGTATGCCATAGGCTCATCAAAGATGTCGAAGGCATGATCGTATAACAAATTTGAGGACTAACGAGTTAGCTGGTTACGTGGCAACAGTCGGGGAAACGCACTTTGGGCCCGGGTAAATGTTTCAGCTTGCTTGAATGACGTCTGACTAGTGTTCGAACAACAATTGATAGGATGTTAATGCCCATCCATATAAGCGTAACCCCAAGAGTCAAGATGAATGGTGGGACAAGTTGGATGCGTAGCTGACGAGTTATAAGCCACACAGCCGTAGCCCAAAACAACAGTTTTGGCAAAGTACTGAATTTGGCAGGTGCCATAGTTTATCGCTAATCATTCGACTCATATTCCAGAGGTATGATAACTCGCCTTTCTAAACCCCTTGACCCAACGCTCAATGCCTGTTCTAAATACCCTAATTACCAGAGGGGAGATATTACAACATGTTAGAAAGTCAATGCGTAGTCACCATGACATCAAGGACTTCATTTCCAACCCGGTTCGGCTTAAAGTTTTCATGATTTTGTTGCCTTAATTTTTACTCTCGCCACCCGACCGGTTAATCTACTGGCAGCCAATGGGAAAAATGAAGTTACCGTATATAAGGCTTATTCTTGAGATAGGCTGGCCCCACATTGCTGAAAACATGCCAAAGCCCGCAGAAAGCTGCTTGGTTAAACCGTGTCATTGTCCAAAATGGAACTTCTGAAATTGCATTTGACGTAGTATTTCCGCTCTTAGTAGCCAGTATACAATTACCGTCCATGGAACATCTGATAAAGAAGCTTTGCCTAAATAATACGATCTTGCTGCTAAATTATGATCATGCAATTCTCGGAAATGTACTGGATTGAGCATATGATGCCGGTGATAGTTCAAGAACGAAGAACGCAAACACAGCCAAGCTCTAAATATCCTCGAATTTGAATATTCTCTCAAGTTCCACACTTGGAAATGAACCTCAAAAGTCTGCATATCAAAAGGAATCACTTATTTCCTAATTTGGGTTAGCGTCAGCTACCACAAAGTCCGAGTATGCTGCCAGTTTTTCTCATCTGACATAGCATGCTATGGAGCATTTCATTAGCCTGAAGTCAATTGGTTAACCTTCCAAACTAATCGAACGAAATTAACTTTCCTTCGTATCATGCGAAGAAACCAGAACCAATGCTACAATTTCTTCCATGCCATGATTATGGGCGGAGGACTTCAGCTGGAACGAATCTGAAGAAGAGATGGTATTATACAACAGTAGAAGAAGATATATAAATTCTCTTAAAAAACAGTTTCACAGATAATGCACGAAATTGCAATCGAACCATTCACCCCCAAGGTATCATGCATCCAAGCAGCGGGCCGCCAAGGTCCTTACGAGCAAGCAGACGATAAGGCGGCACATTCTTGCAGAGTTCTGGCACGACGATATTCCTTGACACTCTTTGAGGGAACATGGAGCCCAAAAACCTTGTGAATTGTCAATCTAGCGAACTTGACTCGGTTTCAGTTTCACGCATCCGGAGAACGTGAGTCTTCAAATCAACCGTCGTCTTGGCACTGCCTGTCTACTGACAATCTAAAAGCGCTGATTTCCGAGTTCTTCCGCTTCTCGTCATATGTTTTGCAACATATCAACTGGAACGGACAAATATTGCAAGTGCGTTGACTGGCGGATTCGCAGATGTGATATCCGTGAACCAGAACACAATAAATCTTGGAAATCAGTTGATGTTTTTGGGAGTGGTTATATTGGAGATTCCTTCGAATCTTATACTTCAGCGAGTTGGTGTGACCGAACATGAATTTAATCTCAAAAACCTGACTCCGAGAGCAGGTCGGGCCAAGGCGATGGATAAGTGTCCAAGTTTTTATCTTCGGGGCCGTGGCTGCATTACAAGTCTTTGTGAAGGATAAGATTGGATTCCTTTTGACAAGAGCGATTCTTGGACTAGCTGAATCTGGATTTATCCCCGGTGCAATGTATACTTTATCCACGTGGTATACGAAAGAGCAGCTAACCAAGCGCATTGCTATCTTCTTCTTCGGGATGTTTGGAGGAAATGCCGTTTCACCTCTCCTAGGAGCAGGGTTGTTAAGGCTTGACGGTCGAAGCAGGCTCGGGGGATGGCAGTGGATATTTTTAGGTATAGCTGGAGGAATCTCGGTACGATAATCCATGCTGACATTGTATAGTGGAAGGGATACTATCGATGGTGGTGGCTATTGCTCTGTTTTTCCTTCTTCCTGAAAAGCCAAGTGCAAAGGCGAAGAAGAAAGAGTTGAACGATGACACCGACGAGGGCGATCGCGCCGATACCGACGAACATAATAAACCTATATCCTGCCAGGATATCTGGAGAACATTGATTAACATTCGAAAATGGCCACACTTCATCGCCACCGCCTGTGTGTTCTCGACTTGGAGCCCACTAACAACATACACACCCAGCATTATCATGTCTTTAGGCTTTTCGCGTATTGAATCGAACGCTATCGCTGCGATTGGAAATTTCGCGACACTGCTTGTCATTCTCTTCTTTGCGTGGCTGAGTGACAAGACCAAAAGACACGGGTTGATCGTCATGGTGGCAATTACCGCATACCTCATAGCGTTGATTCTGCTGAGAACTGTCCAGCCTCATGTTGGACAATGGAGTCGAATTGGCCTCTGGACAGCAGTCAATGGACTGGCAGTGGGTTACCATCCTATTCATAATGCATGGATCCAAATCAATTGCAAGACTGCAGCTGAGAGAAGTATAAGTGTTGCGTATGTTGTTCCTTTCGCCCCCTGTGCACTCTTGAAGCATAAGCTAACCTACTATGATTATTAGGATGTGTAAGATATAGCAGTTGTGAAAGCTAATCCAGAACGTGCTAACTTTCTCGTAGTCGTAATGACTGCCACCAGCGGACTTATGGCAGGCACGCAGATCTTCCGGGACGATGAATCTTCAGCATTGTATGGCTTTCAATAATCTATCATTGCCATGGGAAATTTCTTACTAATCACCTAAGTTCATTGCAGTTATCCAAGAGGAATAGTGATCATGGTTGCTCTTGTCGTATCAGGTCTTGCTTTAACCGGATTACAGCAACTAATATATTTTACGACAGATGGTCACCCTAGGATATGCGTTGAGCCGACCTGAAAGCATGAAGCAGAGGATCGTTTATTACTGTACCATCGAAGGAGAAAATCGGGTGTCAGAATAATTCCCCAGTGACTGGTGTTCTGGTTCATGTCGTCAGGTGTTAGATCTTTACAGTCGCTATATCGACAACAGCAAAAGAAGGTAGAATGTGTTACCTGTCAAGTGCGTTCTACTGGATCAACATAGCAGTCGGCCTTTTTCAATGAACGGGTCCATACTGTATTATTTTTAATCGGGTGCATTCGGGCAGCATGCTGAACGGTTCAGTCAATTGCTGCCCCTTTTGCAGGATAGCTCTGGACCCGGTATTCATATGCTTTCGTAAATACCACTCACTGACCCTTTGACTACGAAAGGAAAAGAGCATTCTGTCATCGATGATAGAGGTTCCGAGGCATAAGTGCGCAGAACACTGCACGTCATTTGGAGTCTTCATAACCATAACCTGACACTGAGCGAGAGACCTCCTTTGTAATCGAGCCAAACGTTGAGGGGGTTGTAAATTTGCTAGAAGTGCCAATTCCGCCATATCTCAATAAGTCGATGACTTCTTCGTGACCGTTTGACGTAGCCAGCGAAAGCGCTGTCTGGCCGTGTCGATCCTTTAATCCTTCTAACCTTTTGAGCAGAGGCAGTGGTAATTCTTGAAGCAAGATCTCGACAACATTTGCCCGCCCAGCACGAGCGGCAAGGTGAAGAGGCGTGGATCCGTTGACGTTCTGTTCAGCCACCTTGGCTCCAGACAGCAGAAGAGTCTGAGCAATGTTCACTAGGCCCAACATCCCGGCAAAGTGAAGGGGCGTGTCTCCTTCATCGTTCGAAATATTAGGATTTGCTCCATTTCTCAACAGCAGCAATACAATGTCGTTCCAGGCATATGTGACTGCAAAGTGTAAAGCGCTCATACCCCTGTCGTCTAAAGCCTGAGTATCAGGCGTTTGGCCACATGATTTCGTTAGCATTAATTGGACCATTCGATATTTCCCAGTAGCGCAAGCCCAATGAAGCGGAGTTCGGCCCACACAATCACGATCATTGAGTGAGCAACCGGCGCTGAGAATTTGATCGAGTAGGTCATCTTCCAAATCAGGCCCACGACCCGAAGCCATTTTGTGCAAAACGTTTCGCCTATTGTGGTCCTTCGCATTCAACTCAGCGCCTTGTGCGATGAGCACCTCAACAGCATAGTGAGACCCTTTCAAAGCAGCGGTCATCAGTAGAGTATTACCATCCGCGTATCTCAGGTTCAGCGAAGCCCCATAGTCCAGCATCATGAGTAGGATGGTATAGTAATGGGTTTCGATAGCCCGGAGAAGTGCTGTATGCACAGCCCTTGGGAAGGACATGCTGAAGTCAAGTAGACACTGTGTTGCACCAATATTTTCTCTTGTCACACTTTCAACCAGGCACACTCGTAAGACAGTTTCTGCAAGATGGCCTGTGGCATGGGCAATGCTCAGGGTACGTCTCAGTGAATGAACATCGTCATCTTTGGTGGCTTGCAGTAGTTCAAGCTCCATGGACCGAAGACTTGATCCGTTTTGTTCTTGTCCTGGAAGTAGGGCCGCTATAGCCTCGTGTCTATTCAATGCAGCCCATGACCGCGGAGTTCGACCAAGGTCATAATCCTGAGATGCCGGGTCTGCCCCATGGCTGCATAGCAACTCTACTGCCTCTGCATTTCCACCTCCTGCGGCCCAAGATAGCGGTGTTCGGCCGCTATCATCGTCTGATGCAACATCCGCTCCCCGGTCAATGAGGAGTTGTACTACAGCTGCTGACCCTTCCTCTGCAGCCCAAGACAAGGGTGTCCGCCCAAACCCATCTCTGGCTTCAAGGTCAGCACCTTGGTCGAGTAATGTCTGAACTACGACCGTGTCGAAAGCGCGAACGGCCCATGATAAAGCCGTGCGACCGGCATGCTCATCTCTTGACTCCGTTTGCGCGCCCTTCTGGAGCAAATGTTTGACGATAGGGTAGTGGCCCTGTATTGCCGCTCGTGATAGTGCTGTATAGCCGTCCATATCTTTGGCCTCTAAAGATGTTACAATTGTGGAAAGCCTTTGCACCACAATTTCGTAGCCTTTATTCGCGGCCCAAATCAGCAGTCCTTCTGCGCCTCCATCGACCGTTGAGGGATTAGCGCCTTCTTCGAGCAAGTCTCTCATTATCATATCGTTTCGATTCTTTGAAGCCCACATTAAAGGGCTAGTTCCAGAACGATCTCTCGTCTCGATTTTGGCGCCTCTTTGAATCAAGATCTTAGCGGTTGAGTAATGGTTGTTCTTCGTAGCTTGCAAGAGTGGCGTGCTATGGCTCTCGACGTCCTTTGCTTCAATGTATTCGTTGTTCTGTAATAGTAGAGGTACAATGTGTTCGTGGCCCTTGCTCGCTGCAAGCCATAGGGGAGTGCATTTCAACTTAAAAGCACGGTAATTGGTCGCCCCTTTGGCAGTGACAAGCAGCTTTGAAGATTCCTCATGCCCCTTGCTTGCTGCATGATGCAATGCCAGGTAGCCATCAACGTCTTGCAAGCTAACGTCGCAGTATTGCAGCAAGGCTTCGACGACGTCGTGATACCCTAGCTTGGCTGCAACGTGGAGCGCAGGGATACGCTCTTCAACAAGGGGCAGGTTACAAATCGCCTCCAAATCATCGTACGCAGAGAGAACAATGGACAGAAGTGGGAGATGCCTTTCCTTCACCGCCCATCCAAATAGGCCGTGGAGATACGCACGTGCAGAACGACCACTGGGGACCCATGGGTGGAAGTTCCAAGTGTCACTGAATCTCAAAGCAAGCTGCTCGAATGCTTCCCATACAGGAGAAGTACGAGTGATCGCCTTTGTTTGCAGGCCCCAGTTCATAACTGCGTAACCGAGAAAGGCATAACGGGAGTGGTCAGGTTGTGCGGCCCGTAGATTTTGAACCTGCTTGAAGGCAAATCCTGTCTTGTTTCTCCAGGAACGAGGCAACATCTTTCCAATAGATGATGGGAGAGACTGGCGCACCATAGAGACTGGGTTAGGCAGAGAAATGGCAACTTCTTTGCTTTGCTTCGTGATCTGCAGGCTGAAATCTTTAAAGCATAAGTAGTTAACACAAAGCTCTCCGCATTCTAGCTCGCCTTGTTCCGAGAATTTAGGATACTCTGGTATAGAATCACTCTCTGCCTGAAAGTACTGTTTCACCGAGGAGTGCGCGAATCGGGCACAGTTGTCAAACGGATCAACTACAACGAGATTTGCGCACCCAATTAGCACGGAGCTTGCCCGGGGTATCTTTGAAGCATCCCATTCAGTGTCCTGGATATCTATGGCAATGGCCTCCTTAAGCTCTTCAATATGCAGCGGTCTACTTGTAAAGCTGACCCATTTGAGAACCTTCAAAACTCGACGATCCTGCAAATCCATTCTTTGCAAGCATCGACTGTATGTTTCTTCTAGACCTCTAGGTAGATTGCTCAGCGCTGTTCGTATTTCAGCATCTGTGTCGCACGTGTCCCACAGGATTTCTAGCTGGAGATGTACCCAAAGGAACCTGCATTCCACATGTCAGTACAGCCTAATGGGAAGGGGATGTAAATTTAGTTTTCAGATCAGAGTCGAAAGGGGTTTCTACATTTCAGAGGACTTCTCTATCAGATCATGCTTTATCCTTTCCAGTAAAACCGAGTCATTCGTAAGCTCGTGGATATATGCCCTTTTGTCGATTATGGTGGACTCAATGTAGAGCTCAATGTCCGCCCTAACATTCGAATCCGTTGAGATTTGACGAAGGTTTGGTATCGCTTTCGCTATTTGCGTACGCCCGGGAAGGTGCTCCCTGCTGATCAGCAGTAGTCTTGACTGATTCGATAGTGTGGAATCGCTGAACAATGACCGGCATAGTTTCAACACTTCAGTCACACCCTTTGCGCTTAGTGCATCAAGCCCGTCAATGATGTAAACCGTACCAGGGACGCGGTCAAAAAGACGGACAAAGAGATTGCGAAGGTCTTCAAAATCGGGTTTCACTCGTATAGTTCCGTATAATCTTTGAATATCAGCAGCAACATCCTCCGGAAGTAACTGAGAGGTATTGAGTAGCCATTTGCATAGTTGCTTGATAAGACTAGCCACGATGTGGTCTGCCTCAAGAGGTTCAGGTCGATCACTTTCACAGTAGTAAAAGGCAGTCGGAACTCTATCGCCAGATGACCTATACTTGGCGGCTTCAACAACAGATGTTCTGTCGGATTCGTTAGGCGAAATCGCCGGGGAGGAGAAGCTTGGATAATGAGAAACATCATGACTCACCCTATTGTTGTCTTCCCAGACCCGACTGTGTATTTTAACAATTAGTCTCCAGTCAGTGCAAATGCACGGGATCACCCTTACTTCGTCCATGGCACCACAGTGTCTGGAATTGGGACTCCCCAAACCACTCTTTGAAAACGGAGTGATTTGTAAACCATTTTGTGGTACCTTGAAGGCGTTTGGCAGAAAGACGATAGTGAGTCTTTTCATGATCATATGTTGACAACAAGTCGAGTAGTCTTTCATCAACTTGACAGCCCAAGGAAAGTTAGTCATTTGCTTTAATCTGACCCAAGATCCGGTTTTCGGTGTGCTCACTTACAATGTTCGATGGTATTTAATTGATATAAATGAAACTCGTTATCTGGAAGTCTGTATTTTGGACGGTAGGACATCAGTTCGCTTGAGATATAGGTCGGCGTGTCAGCGACTTGCGTTGGAGGAACGATCAAAAGCAATTCTTTCGCATATGCTGCAGCGTTCACGGCTGCGTACTCTTGCCACTGTTTGTTCTTGTGGGAGTCGGCATAATCACAAATTCCTCGGATGACAAGACAGGGCAATATATCCATTAAGCCCGCCGCCTCCATCTCAAAGCAAATGATTCCAAGTTCCTGGGCCCAGTGGTCTCTCATGACGCTATCCTTCATGACTTGATTACCAGACGCGATCAAACCGTAATGAATAACAGGATCTGGAGTGGGTCGCGCCGGTCTTTGCACCATTTTTCTGACGTCGCAAAGGTCACACGTTTTCTCCTCCGGTGCTTCATGTTCATAGGTTGATTCAAACAGCCGATCCTGATCCTTCCCAAGATGGGTGACCTTCTCGCTCATTAGAGGGTACTTGAGGACCATCTCCCGGAGTAAATCCGGGATTCGACTCCCAACCACCAGGTGGTTTGCTTGCAACGTAGACAAAGCTGTCAGAAGCACCGGCGGCGGTTTATTCAAAGAGCCAGTTCTTATAAAGTGCCCTTGGCTGGCTGTTTTCCCCATGTCGAATTGCACCACGCCTCCAAACAACCCCGTCGGCTTGCTAACAACCACATCGCCAAGCCTTATATCAACTGCTTGGCTAGGTGCACCGCCTCCGATTCCCACCATGAGCCCAAATCGCATTGATGGAAACGTACCCCTCATCTGGCTCGCGACAGTCGCCGCTGAAGTCGTACCGTACATCCCTAACGGAAGACATGCAATGACCACGTTGTGCACACCTACACTCCCAAGTATGTAAGTGTTGTGATCGTGTCTGGGTATGGGCAAGTCACTGTGCCGCTCGTCCAACATCGCGGCTGCCGCTGCCATCTCCAATGGGAGCGCACAGGCCCAAGCGACCGTGTAATCATCATGGCGGAAGTCTCTTGTCCGTGTGGTCATTTTGGTTTCCTTTGGACGATCTTTTCATACTTCATGACTAAGTTCGTCCCTAATAGGAATTGACTTTGACAATATCCTGAGTATATGGAGGAGTTCGTTACAGTGGTTGAAGGGTTGCAGGTCAGCAGAAGCGCCCATCAGCTGAACTTACGAAAACCCCGTGTCCAATCCTTGCAAGTCACGAGACTACAGCCTGGCCCCATGTTTTTATTCGGCAGTGCAGACAATCTGTGTATAAATTGGCCCATCATGGCCTGCTTTAACAGCGGAGTATCCCACCCCTTTATTTTATCTCATGTCATGCCTTGCGTGTGCAGCATTTCTCTGCGGTCGCATGCGTTGACTTTTTGTGCCCGAGTTTTGGAAGAAGAAAGTATACCCAGTGATAGTTTTCAAAAAGACGGTCGGTAGACTGATTTATGAAAGAAGCTAGAATTCAATATCATTCTCCGCAGCTGTGTCGTAGAAAAAACTCCGCTTCCGTTTTTGGCAGGGGCGGGAGTCTGTGATTAGATAAGCGACAAATTGCCGAGGCCGGCGGGGCGGAAGTGGGCCGTGCAGATCCCCGCCTCGGCCGGGCCGACTGATTGCAATTGAGACCTACCACATTACCTTTATCTATCAGTCCCTTATCATTGACACACGCTGTATTCGTTGCTATTCTAAATTTGATAAGACCTGCAGAGCTAACAGATATGGCGATGGGTTTTTCAAACGAGGTACATAATCACGTTTTGCTTATGACTGACCCTGGCAATGAACTACTGACTAACCCGACATGAATCCCAGGTTGTTAGCCCCGGAGAGTATGAAGCAGCACGAAGAGAACTGCTGAAGGAAGAAAAAGCAGCGACACAGCTTTTGCAGCGGCTCGCCACTTCACGTCGCCAACTACCTATGGTCGAGGTCAACGAGCCGGCTCGCTTCAAGTTCGACGCAATGGATGGTGAAAAAGGTCTGCCAGACCTTTTTGAAGACCGCAAGCAACTTATCGTATACCATTTCATGCTGGGTCCCGAGGACTCACAGGGCTGCATAGGATGCACACTCTGTATGGATCACATCCCGGATCTTCGACATCTCTGGAGCAGAAATACATCTTTTGCGGCGGTTGCAACGGCGCCAATCAGCCAGATCACTGAGTATGCAAACCGCATGGGATGGCAGTTCCCATTTTATAGTGCTGCAAAAACCCATAAAGCGTGGCACGAGGCCGAAGTCAAGGGTGAAACGATCACTTGGAAGCCTGGGAACGGTTATTTTGGTCTTTCTGTGTTTCTGAAAGATGGAGAAAGAGTCTACCATACGTATGATACTACGAATAGGGGAATGGAGATTATCCTTTCAACCTATCATCTTTTGGACATGACTCCACTCGGACGGCAAGAAGTTGGAAATGGAATGGGCGAATTTCGGCGTCGTGATGAGTATTGAGGCATTCCCCAGTACTACGAAAAGTCAAAGTACCCTTTTCGCTGGTTGAGTATGTATCCTACAGATAGGTCCAACAAGCACTATCTTTGATATATCATATCATGTCGAGGTACCCGATATAAAATCCTCCCAGGTGATTGGCTCTGGAAACTCAAAAGCAGTACCATTACCTGTGCTCCATTCATAAGGGCCGGGCGAAGGATCCAATTCCCTAATCCATGAGAGCGACTCCCATGGGTCCAGTTGGACTGAGCTCATTTGAATGCTAGAAAGGTTTTCCGTGAAAAGCCTTGCACTCGCGGAGTCGCAATGTAAATCTTCCCGCTCAAACGTCCTATGGTGTGGGTTTTCAGAAGGCTTAGGCCTCCGCGACGGCTGATTTCGAATTCTTGGTCGCATACCGCGGCGAAGTTCCATTACAGCGCCCTCGATAGCCACCTGAGCGATCTTCCGAGCAGCAATTTCGTCTTGGCCTTTTTGCTGAAGCTTGCGTGCTGCATTTGCAGTGCCTGCTGCTATTCTGAGCGTTTGCATGAACTCTCCACAGGATTTATCGTTGAGTGTTCGCATGCACTCCACTCCTGAATCAATTCTATCGGCAATTCGGCTGGTGAGGGAAGTCTCAGGGTCGTATATGATAGTTGTAAGGAGAAGGATGAGGCTGGCAGCGATGGGAGATGGTAGTAACCTAATCACGGACGGAGATTAGTTGAAATCCTCGGTCCTCCGCAGTGCCTTGCTTACCAAAAAGGCCAGGGGCCATCGGCCTTTAAGTTCTGCACTGACTCGATGCACGCTAAAGCCGCCTCTGTGCGCCTTTTCTTTGCCAACTCAATGCGATCGGCGATCTCCGAATCAGAACCGGCATGACATGAATAAAGTCCGGCTTTTGGGCAATGAATAGCTGGTAATCGATGTATTGTTATGAGAGAGTTGTTGAACATCAGTGATAAGAGGGTGGCCTCCCGAGAGTTTGCAAATACGCCATACGTATTGCTTATATTAAATGGTAATTTAGTTCTCCACGTTCGAAGCTTGCGTTCCAGGTTGAAACAAGCGTCGAGGAGATCAATGCCAGGTCTATCCTGAGCCGTTGCCGAGTATAGTTCTTCGTATATCCCCTCCTCTATTGCTGCCAGGGAATAGAAATGCTGTAGTACGTCACCAGCTCCTGAGTTCCCGGGCTGTATAGAGTCGGCTATTTGATTGCTGATTCTGATCATCGGCGGTAGGCCCGAATGCAAAGAAAACCTAGTTTTGGTGAGGACTGAGTCATGTCGATATAGATTTGACCAACGTACTCTTTGTCTAGAACGTATAAGACCTGGCGAGTTCGCTGGAGCTCTATGGGGCAAACTCCAATAGAGGAGGGATTTTGTTTCAAGTCAAAAACACTTGCCTGGTGGATTGCATTTCCCAGGATCTTCGGAGCATCATTGAATTGCATTGACCCTTGTAAGAATATTGACTAAACCGAATATAAGCAAGCGATACAGATATTCAACGATTCTGGTAACAAACCATAATACTCAAGGCTTGAATATTTCTGAAATTGCTCTCTGCGTTGTCTCCGATCACTGATATTTCGGGTCGAAGGCGCATTGCTGCGTTGAAATACGTCCAAGCAGCAGCGGCTACCTGATTTGCGTTCGTCGCGTCCCACAACTGTAATTTGTATCCCACTGCAATGGCCGCATAGCCAGAAGCTATTGAGCCTGAATCAAGTACTTCCTGTTGTGTATAGAGACGCGAAACAAGCCTCCTCAATGTAGCTTCTTGAAAGATAGGGAATATTGAATTAAAATGTTGTAGGTACCGGTTGATCAAGTTTCGGGCTTCTTCATATGGCGGTAGACGTACTGATGCTCGCGCCTTCGGTAGCGTTCCCTGAATACCAGACTCAAAGAGAGCACGACTAGGATCTATTTCTCGCAGCATTTCAGATACCTTCTGCAGGATCGTTGGCTGAACGCTTGGATCAGCGGATCCTGGGGCAAGAAGGAGCGGGAAGTCAAAATTTCCATCTTTCCCAAGTTAGACCTTCTGTGAACGCTTTCCTCGCAGAACAACGACCTACCTGCAATATTATGCTCGTCCACTGAATTATGTTAACACATTATCATGAGATTCGCCGCCCGTGGAGTAGGTCACGCACATTCTTCTTCGTCGTCATCCTCCCTATCATTACATACCAGAGCATTGAGTCTGTTGATCCTATCGATGGTTTTTTGGATATCTGAACTATTTTCCCGTTGTCAGGAATGGGCAAACTCTGGGCCGCGATTCAAGGTCAGTGGGAAAGGTTGCTGTATGTACTCCATAGATTTTCCATTAGATACTTCAGACGATTGGTCTCTAAACCATGGAAAGTTTGAGTCCGACTCGGAACGCTGACGCTTGCCAGCACTTGCCAGCTGTCTCGTTCCGCTTCCATGTCAGTATATAACACAGTGAAATTGGCTTTTGACAGAAAATGATTGGGATACGGGGTTTATCATACAGCTTCCATATGTGCCATAGTGAGAGTAGATAGATGAAACTCTCGACGTTCCAGTGACAATTTTACTACTCAACGGGCGGAACTGAAGCCAAATATTATTCACCATCAAGTGGTCATTATGGCAATTATGTCAACGTGTCTTGAAGAAATCCAGAAGTGGCTTGAGATTGAACGGTCGCAGTTGGCGATTGTCTGACTAATCATGATGGCATCAGCGGATTGTATCGAGCTAGTCCAGGCTGAGGATAGTGTCTCGGTACGCTGTCCTATTCCGCCGCATAAAGCTCTGATCATGCATAAAACTTACTGAATAATGAATCATATGGTGATGCTTTATATTGTACAAGTAGAAGAGTATTGCACCAGAGTAGTATAAAAGCTGAGTCTGAGTTACTATACTTTGTGGTTAAAGAACTACAATTTGCCCTGACTTCAACAACTAGTCTGAAGGCTTTGGAAATTGTCTTGGTAGATTTAAACGCTGAGATGTGCTACATATATATAAGGCGGGCCCACTAGCTGTGCCGGACAACAATATCTTCAAGTTTTGCTTCACTCAGAGAGCCAACCCCTAGTAGATCGTTAAACACATTCTCTGCCGGGAATTGAGAACCATATCCGTCACCAAAAATGGTGCGTTTGATCAGGTTAAAAGCAAAAACACCCAAATTCGGACTCGGTTTCTGCAATTCCGCGAAAGCATCCTTTTCCAGCTGGTCGGTACTGACGACCTTCGTAGCCAACTGCTTCTTCGAGAGTTTCAGCAACTGGTTCTGGGTTATTTCGGCTTCACGGATGTAGACTGTGCGGTTCTTGGTAGCATCCAAGTTCCGGACGACTCCCGCGATTCCCTTACTCACGCCCGCAAGCGTCGTGGCGCTGATTTTCCGGTCACCACCGTCATACAACTCCGCCTCTGGGCCTGCCAGATTCAACAAGAAGCCGGTCTTCAGGCCCCAGTCCAAGAATGGACCGTTGATAAAGAATGTGTAAGTGAAAGTGCCACCCGATTTCTCCGACGCTTCCTTGAGGTGTTGCTGCACTGCAACTTTATCGCCGTAAACAGGGAGCTTGGCGGCCTGGGGGTTCGTGGTATCAGAGCCGAACTCGGAGGGGATAAATCGCTGAACTTTGGCGGCCACGGCAGCATCGACGAGCCTGAGATGGACTTCACGAGGGATGGTTCCTACGCCAAGAGTATTCACGACCACATCCTGGCCGGCCAGGGCGGAAGTCAAAGACTCCAAGGAGTTGTAGTCCACCTGAGTGACTTTGGCGCGACTGTCAAATTTGCTGTCCTTCTTCTCTCTGGTCAAAACGTTCACTTCAAACCCTGCGTTGAGAAGCTGCTCGAGGACGGCAGGGCCCAAGTTTCCACTGGCCTATGCTGATGTTAGTCGTTGAGCTCAGTGTATGGGGAATGAATGCACCTACTCCTGCAAGCGTGACTTTTGGAGACATGACGAGGGAGATGACTGAAAATTGAGAGAGGCAGAAATGGTCGAAGATTTTAAAGGGTCCAAGAATCGAGGGACTGGTGAGGATACTAATGATAGTAACCCTAGATCAACGGTGGTTCATTGCATCCTTTATAGTAGTCCTTTCTGGTGGACGAGGCCAAGGAATACAGTGGCATCAGGCAGAATTTGTCAGTAGCAGAGGCAATTGCGAATCTATAGAAGCACTTACAAATAAGCTTAGCAAGCTAATTACGATTGATAAGCACATCATATCTGTCATTGACTTGGTTTTCGCAGTCTGCTGGGGCAAAAGTTACCGCATCTGGCTTAGTTCATCCGGCCCGAGAGACTCAAAATATCCCGAGAAACTCTAATCAGTACTATGTACCTGGTTTTATGAATCGGCCCGCTTTATGAACGCACATCGAAAAGCCGCCCGCGGAATTGGCCCGCAGCTGCATGGAATAGTGACTAGAGCTGACGCAAATACGAAGCACATTTTCGGGATAATTGAGTTGCTTACACCGATGACAATTCAGTTTTGAGAGCTCGAACTTTTGTTGACGAACAACGGTTAGATATTTCCCATTTTGATAATCTTTAACCATATCTCGAACTGCAACAACAGGGCTCGAAGTTGGTCTGCCGGTGAAGCTGCGCAAGCATTAGCAGAAGGTATAAGAAACGCGTCAAGGGGAGATTGATACCTTCAACATTCATACAATATTGGTCATAGGGTCTCTGGGCAATCCTTCGTGGCATGCTTTGCGAAATTCCTATGAAATATTAGCAGCGATGGTAGATTTCCTATGATCACAATCACTAACCGCGATCGAGGAGTAACCAGGGCTCTACAGGAAGGGAAGATTCCACTTTGTAAGGCTACATCAATGATAGAAGCTCCTTAGCATATGCTGAGGCAACGGCCATCGCGCGCTTCCGCCATTGGTCATTTGCGTGCGAGTCTGAGTAATCACTTATCCCTCGGATAGCAATACATTCGAGGCTGTAGGAGAGTCCGGCCGCCTGTGTATCCAAGCAAAGAACGGAATCATCATAGCGCCGGTTGATCTTGTCTCTTTCAACTCCACTCATGATTGTCATGCTTCCAGATGCAATGTTACCATAGTGCACTTTTGGCTTCGATGGAAAATGTCGCGAATTCCTGAACACTAGTGCTTCTTTATCGCATTCGTCACAGAGCTCACCAGAGGAAGCATGCTCATAGTCCGCTCTATACAATAGATCGGTGGCATCGCCCTCAGGAGGATACTGATATGCCGTTCCTAACCCCTTGATAATCGCCAACATGTTGTTGACGGGATTTTTCGGTCGGGAGTGGTACGCCCTCAGGATGTCGATAGCACCCACAAATTTTCGATGTGGTGCACACAACCACTCTTTCCGCTCTATCAGCCCGCCACCTTTCAATTTGCCATAGTCGAATTGAACCACCCCAGGATAGATTCCGTTCGGATAACCGACCACGACGTCACCTGAACGAATGTCCTTCTTCGCACCTGGGACCCCGCCGCCCGTGCTGACGGAAAGAGTTACTTTCAAGTTTGTGAATGTCCGTCGCATATTTTCAGCTGCGATAACAGAAGGAGCCATGTCTATTTGTCCTGCTGGTAGACAAGTCATCGCAATTTTGTGATCACCGATGCTGCCTAAATGATACGAACTCGTGTCTTCTTCGGGGATGGCCTGGGGGGTTCCGTGTTCCTCGTCTAGCATGGCCATAGCGACAACAAGTTCTTCGCTAGAACCGGAAATCCATCCGACAGTATATTCATCGTTGAAATATGGGGAGCGCTGCATAATTGCCGAGATATCGGACTTCTGAAGCTCACCGTCGATATAGCTGAAAGAACTAAGCTTTTCTAGGGCACACCGAGAGAACCCGATCGGGGGAAAAGGTTGATGTATGGATCAAACGAACTTCCTTCTGACATTAGTACCCCGTTCATATAATATGGGTTTTGAGGATACCCTCGGACGGTTCGATGGCATCGCACTAGCTGCTCAAGATTGCTTGAACAACTCAGACAGCCGCACAGACACAGGGCGTTCATGACCAATGGCCGCCGTCGATTACGCGCTGGCTGGGGGTTACATCGCCAATTACATGCTGGAAATGCCCCCTGGATAAGAAGGTGGTGTGCATCTATTCGCCCCACGTAAAGCAAGTGGTAGAATCCAATCTGTGGGTGACAAAAAGGAAGATTACGACCAGTAGCCGTAGCGATTAGCATCCATCTGTGCACTCTTGAACTCGGCCGATTTAACACAGCTCAACAACAAGAGGATGATCCGAAGAATTAGGGTTAGTTTAAAACTATAGACCTAATGTTCTTGAAAAGAGCTCGAATTATTGGTTTGAATATGATCTTCGCATTTCAGCAGTTGGGCCATTAGCCAATGGCTGATTATAGTTTTAGAAGTGTTGCGTAAGTTCCTCTTTTGTTGACATGATTAGTTCAACCGATTCTTCATTTTGCCCAAGTCTATCTAATTAGAGTTATATTTGCAGATCCAGTAATCTCTAGCTTCAAATAAAGACAAGAAAGAAAAAACAAATCTACGCCGCAACCTTGATACAGACCTTGCCAATCTGAGATCCAGATGCAACATACTCATAAGCCTCAATGACAGACTTCTCGTTAAACTCAAACACCCTGTCAATAGGCAATCTCAGCCCCTTGGTCGCCACAAAGTTCGTAACCTCCTGAAGAAGTTGAGTAGACCCAACAACAATACCACGAACCACGGCTCCTTTGGCGAGCGCCATACCAGCAACATCCGGCATCTTGGACTGATCCGCCGCAGAGAGGAAGCCAATGACAGAAACATTCCCGCCCATTTTCACAGCGTTTAAACTCTCCGCGATAGTGCCTGATCCGCCGTTCTCGAGGATATAGTCGACACCGGCCCCATTGGTCAGACGCAGAGCCTCCTTGGACCACTCAGGGTGTTTCTTGTAGTTGATAACATGGTCGACGCCGTATTTCTCCTGCACAAACTTGAGCTTCTCGTCACTCGAGGAGGTGATGATCGTTGTTGCACCGGCCGCCTTAGCAAGGATCAAGCCAGTAATGGAGACACCTCCGGTTCCTACTCGCGATCAGTTAGCGTATTCTCGAGTGCCACAACAAGACCAAAGAGAAACATACCCAAAGCTAAGACTGTCTGACCAGGCTTAAGCGGAACATTTGCATACAGGGCATTCCAAGCCGTCACACCCGTACAAACCAGCGAGGACCATTCACAGAAGCTCTGTGGTGAATCTTTCGGAACATGCACGACAGACGCTGCAGGAATACACACGTATTCACGTAGAACGCCATCAATAGGTCCGCCCTGACCATTCAACCAGTCCATCTGTTGACCAAAGAGATTGGACAAATCGAAAGTGCCAATGACGTGGTCTCCCACGGCCACATTCTTGACACCCTCACCGACCTTGGCGACGACACCAGCTGCATCGGAGCCAGGAATAACATCATCTTTTGCTGGGAAGGGATACTGAGAGGTAGCAATCGCAATGTCACGGAAGTTCAAGGAGGCAGCGTGAACTTTGATGAGGACCTCGTGCTTGGTTGGCTGCGGAATCGCCTCCGTGAGAGCATGGAGGTTGCGAATGGAGGTTCTGGAGCCGTTGAGACGGATGACAGTTTGAGACATTGCGAATAGAAGGGATGAAACCCAGAGGTTGTTTGAGCAGTAAAACTGAGTGATCTTGACTCTTGCATGAAACCTACAATCTTCGTTCTTGATGAGGTATTTATATCTTTCTGGTAGCTCTCATGACATCATTAATCAATCGAAGTATGTCTTCGCCTTCGGGTTGTGTTAGAAAGTCCCCGAGGGAATCGGGCCGATTCATCTCCAAACCATGTAGAATTTAAATTAAAGGTCCCGCGAAAACGGTCCGATATATCTGACAAAGATCAAATATCCCCTGGTACTTTCTCGCAGCTCGATTGTGATGAAAACTAGGGATGGAGAAAGTGGATATTTGAGTTTGGAGAACAAGGTTTGGAGAGAGGCTCCACTTCCTCGCCGGTCACGGTTTTCTTCCGTAGAGCCTCTCCTTGATTCACAACTAACAGCACTACTGCTCGCCTAAACAATTATTGATAAGCTGATGACCGAGCGTGCCGGGATTCTTCTAGCTAAAGCTTTACTCGGTGGAAGTTGACCTGATTTCAATTTTCTGCGAGGCAAACGGATTGGGTAACTTCATATGGCACTAGTATCCTAATCTATGATTGCGACGATATCAAATTACGTGAGAGGCCCTTTTGTACTCGACCAGGGCTTCACCAAGCATAGTAATAAATTCCCAAGGCGAATTACCCCTCATGACATCTGACCATACTTCCACAACTCGATCGGCTAGAACTTTGATCTGAGACTGGTTGCTTGTGTCGCCATTATAGTCCATTGACAGCAGAGCCTCGCTTATAATATCTTGGATCCACTTTAAGAGAATTTGCTCAGGCTCTGTTGGATTCGCTAGAGTTAGTATCTTGGCTCTATGAAAACGGGCGTGAACATCAAGGTATCAATATCAGAACGGGAGCAAGGAGTGAAGAAGAGCCCCAATCTAACCAGAAACGAAGATGAGACTTACCAGAAAGCGATCTACCACCAATGCTGTGCTGAAGCCCCCTCAACCATTTCTCCAGGAAGACAGCGCACTCAAAACCACATAACGCGGCTTCAATATTCCAAACCAGTGCCTGGTTATGTTTCACATATTGAATCCCAAGCTTTGTCAGTATACCCAATATATGACTAGCATGCTGGGCGGCCGGCAATTCGTTCCAATCGTTATTACTAGTTGAACATATTTGCATATTATCCGCAATGCCAGCAGGATTCCAGGATTGAAGGTCCCGTGGGTGTAGATATGTAACGCAGGAGCAATTACGAATATATGCAAGGCTCAACAGAGCGCTCGAGGTAAATGGTAAGGGGCCATTTGGATCTAGTGGCTCCAGGTTGGACTCTGGGGTCCGCTGCCAGAATATCGTCCACCGACGGAGGGCGTTTCTGATATGATGTCAATATAATAGCCCATTGGAAGCTGCCCAGGAAGGTAGAACCTCACTTGAACAATATCACGTCGTCGGAGAATGGTTTCCTGCCCAGGGTTGTGGGGAGGATGTGACTCGATGTAATGGCTTGGATCAACCCATGTAAAAGCACATAGTTCGCAACTGGAGTAGGGATACACTGGTTTGTAGTTCCCTGATCTGTATCGAGCAGTCCAAATAGTGCATCCTGGAAATTGCCCTGTCTACAAGGCATATTGTCCCTGAGTAGATTCCAGGTAGTCGAATCGGGCGCGGTCCACTCAGGACACGTGCATGGGAGCAGTAGTTTGAACTCGTGACTCCAGATTATCGGCGGCAAGTCGAAAGCAACACTCTGAAGGTTCAAGAAGCAGAATGCAAGTAATTTCGTTCGCCTGGCTGATTCATGTTGGGCCCACGTGTCCCAAGACATTTGGAATTGAGGAACTTCCTCCAGGCCACTCAACCTCAGAGTCTGTGCTAATGATCCACGGAGCATGAGAGACTCAGCCCTTAGCTGATCGCCTTTCTGCCATGTCGAAAACCAGCCCAGACAGAGTAAACAACGTAGCTCATCCAGATAGTCTCTCTCGGGAAGAGAATTTCTTCTTTCGGAGCTGGTCAATCTACGTATTGCGGCATATTCCCGTTCACGTTGATAGTCTGTCAATGTAGCCTTCGATAGGTGGAATAACGTTGTTGCTGATGAGAGCTCGTAGCGGTTGGCAGCACCTAGAGCGAATATAGCTAAAGACAATTGAGGTGAGCATAACTCAAGCTTGAATGTTGGCGCATGTGTAAAGGGCATGTGAGGATAGAATCCAGTAAAGAATCCCGCGAGAAATCGAGTTAGGGCATCGCTTGAAGGAAGCACGACACCCTGGGGCAACTTCCCGTCCAGTGATTGAAGCAGCCGTTCTCGTTGGCACTCTGTCACGATGGGATGAGAAACATGGGGAACGATTTGGGCCCCTAAGTGCAATTGTTAACTCACATCTTGGAAATTATTGAATGAAGATAACGAACCTAAAGCTACTGGTGGGGAAGGAAGAATTGTAGGTTGCTGGTGAGAAGCTTCCGTGGCCTCACGGCTTCCAATTTCGGAGACTGGGGTGTTTACCTCAGGTAGGGAACGAGTGAAGGGACCAGTATTATGGGCACCACCAATAGGAACATTATACACATCGCCAGCACTCTCTCTCAAAGGGCCGCCGTCTTGAATAAAGTGTTAACTCAAGTCTCAGGTGCTTTTGGAAAGGCGCCTACCGTCTGCTCCAAGCAACTTATCGAGTTCCGCAAACCGACCATGGAGGGGTGTTGTTTCATGTCTAGGTATGTTAGCGGGCCTCTCTATAACTGATTGACAGACTATTCCGCCATCACGTGGTCGAGATCTATACATACGCGGAACCTTGTTGGTTTCTTCTTTGGGGCCACTCCCCGGTGGGTGACGTTGGGAAGTGCCTAGTGGATCTGAGATTCTGTCCCATGTGGCGACTAGGGTCGCTGTAGGGTAAGATATGCGCATTCTCTGTAGAATAAGATCGTGGCCCCGTTGATGTAGCTCCATTCAGCGACCGATGAGATACATTATTGAAAAGACCATGCGCCATGCGTTCATGACGCCTGAGAAGGTCCCGCCGCGAAAACGCATCTCCACAGGAACAGCTGAACGGCTTTTCGTGAGTGTCTTTGCTATCCTGTTAGCTCTTGTTCTTTACTATGGCTCCAGAATTGAACAGACGTCTTCTCGTGTGCCGTTGCAAATGTTCCAGTCGCCGAAATTCACGGTGGCAAAAAGAACAGGAGAATTCTTTCGCTTCCACCGGCGTTGCTACGGGGCTATTGAGGGGTGACATTGAACGACGTAAGCAGGGCACGATGAAGCAATCATTCAGCGACGATGCGGTCGAGGTATCAATCATCGACCTGAAACGATGAGAAATTGTCCGAGGTGGCGGTGGAGATCGTTCTCCAAAATTGGGGATTTGGTATTGGGGAATGTTGCCTGAGGCAGCAGCTGGGTTCACGAAACGTTGCGCATCTGATCGATGAGCCGGACAGTTCACCATTGAAGACGTATGAGCGAGAGTCACTCTAATACTTTATGTCGCCCTTCTGTCTCCGGTGTCAGTTTGAAATTTTGTCACCGGCTAGGCGTTGTTGGTGCATAAAGACCATGTTGGAGATATTTGGGGAAGTGGGGATGGATAGCTGAGTAAGGTCGTGCATAACTTAAGGCAATTGAGCGAATACCCTGAAGAAGTCCGCTAATGGTTTTCTCCATAGAGTCTGTAAATGCTTTAGCTCCTCAATCAACAGTAAGTGTGACGCATAGTTTCTACCGCGGGCTGTTTCCAATTCGCCAAGTTCGTCAGATCCTACGTTATGCTCGAGAACCATATTGTCTAATTAGGTTACCTTTGAACCTGAACCCTATTGTAGAGGGGAAAAGGCCATTTTCGCTAAAAGATTAATTTGAAGTTGAGGGAATTGTGACTTGAATCGTTCTACTCGCCTAGAAACAAGAGAGCGAAAACGGTAATCCTTAGACGTTCAGATCAATTAATGTTATTGTTCGTACTGAACTAATTTGGATTCGCTAGATGTGTTGAATATTGCGGGGCTGAACTGCCGAATATCGTTTTTCAAGGACAGTAGTCTACCTGGCCGATGTCACCCTTCCAAGGGAAATGGACCACGTCCACAATTTTCCGAAAGGTCGAAGGTTCCAGCAAAAGCCTAACCATATCGGCCAACCACGGAATGTGCGTTTCTGGAGACTGACGGTAAACGCTATAGAGCTTGTCGAGATCCATGCGCTTCATTTCCCAGCGAGGCCGACCGGGGCCCAACGATCCGAATGGCTCTAGAGCCTGGATCAACAAGCCATACTGCTCCTCAATTCCGTCATACTTGCATGTGTGAGGTTCTGTTCTCTCAGTGACACCATGAACGAGCTCGTATATTTTGTGGTGTGAACTCATGACGGCCCAATTACAGAATCCCATGGCCACCATTGCAAGGATTTGCTTTGACTGAATGAGCTCCCTGACGCTGGTCAAGCAATCCAGCGTTTGGTTGCTCAGGTACTGACAAGTGGACCCCCTGACACCGCGGATAACTGGATTCTCCCTTTGCTTGCGCATTATGTCACCTCGCAGGTCGACGAGGTCATTGATCAAGGTGGTTGCGTGTGAGAGCTTTATGTACTCGGCTTCGTCTATTTGCTGCCCTGTCGCAAGGGAAGCAGCCACTATACCGACTGTATTGGCAATGTCAACGTGTCGATGCTTTATCAAACCTGTCATCCGGCTGCCGTATAACCCTGTTGGCAGCTTGGACACGGCGTGGTTGCGATAATATCCCAAGACTCGGAAATGGATGTGAGATGCCACGAGTATCTCCAATTGCCAATTGCTAATTCTCCCTCCGAGATTGCAGGCCTTGAGGAATGCGACGGCAGCCGAGCCAGTCCGTTGCATTAATCGGAGAGTTTCAGAAGTGGCAGCTTCAGAGTAGTCGCCAATCAGGACATCGTTGCCGGCATCTGCAATGGCACGCAATAATCCTTCATCCACCAGGCTTCCGCCACAAGCAATTGCGTAAAAGTGCTTAGCATCGGCGCACAGTTTAACCTTCTCGAAAGTTGGAAACCAGGCTTCATGCATGCTGAGGGGAGTATCGCACGTCGCGCTAGGGCGACGATCGGGGGCCTCGATTGCCGGGAGAGATGTAATACTGGCCCCGGAGCAGATGATCGGGGGCTTCTGGAGATCCATGTTGCAGAATGTGATTTCTTCGATTGCGGCCTGCAGCTTTTCTGCAGTAAACATTCCGTGTCCGTTCCATTCTTGGCACCGCTGCATGACATTGTTATAGGCCAGGAGCATTTCCTGGATGCATCGACAGGCTTTTGCTTGGTCGAAATCTTCATCCTGGACGGAGGACAGGGGTGATATACCGTCGCACGTACAATCAACTCGTGGATCGTAGTTCGCAGAAAGTAGGTTCGTTTCCTGGCATGAAGGAGGGATTGTACCTCCGACAGTGATTTCTCCCTTTGCGAATCTGCCCTGAAACGAACTTATCACATTAACCAAGAGGGAGTGGTCTGATAGCACTTTGATGTTGGAACCTTTGAAAACCCGAGATATGGTGTCAATGTCCAACAATCGTGCCGGCTCAGCATGACTGTGGTTCATGGTGCGTTGCCATACGTGCACCCAGTTGAGATAGACGTCCAATAGCTCACTTGACAGAGAAGAAGGCATTGTCATGGTTTGTGTCTTTTTGATCCAAGCTCGCTATATCAGGAGGCCAGGTGGTACAGGCTTGGAAGGTCTTTTATATAATGACAGATTCTAAATCGCTCTAGGTAGAACCATAAACTTTTCAAACCAACTTATGGATACCACATCACAAATTGACAAAAGGAACACATCTTCAGTTTTTGATTGTTTGACAGTAGGATTGGTAGTTGGGAAACGCGTGCCGATGACCTAAAGCAAGCTCTTCATGGAATTGACGCCAACCAAGGAATGTGTAAAACCTGCGTCGTCCGCATAGATCCGATTGATGGCTTAAACCAACCTCTATTTCCGTCCAATTACGAGTTCAACTCTGAAAGTAACACGCTTCCAGCCAGATCTTCACTCTTGCATTTGACAAGCGCACGCCAAGGGGCGACGAGCCCGAGGTCAGGGAACTCAAGGACGTCATGAACGGCATACTGCAAGGCATCAACCTGGGAGAAGAGGCTTTCCCGATATTGCAGTATCTGCCAGATGTTCTTGCGTCATGGAGGAAAAGAGCGGCCGAGCTACCGAAAAGTCAGACGGGCATATTCAGCCGAAACATGAAACTCGCAGAAACTTCCTCGCACTGGAACTGGAGCAAGGCTGCACAGACGTTGAATAAATCACTGGGTCTTAGCGAACCCGAGCTGTGGTATAATGTCGGGGCCCGCTATGAGGCCGGGACCGACAGCACGGCGATCGTGCTCGAAGTATTCGTCATGGCTTGTGTATTGCACCCAGCTGTTGTGGATCGGGCTCATTAGGAGCTTGACTCTGTGGTCGGAATGCGTCTCCGGACCGCCGACGATTTCCCGAACCTTCTTTATATCGCAGCAATTGTGAGTGAAATTTTCCGATGGCGCCATCCTAGTCCTGGTGGTCTACACCATGCCAGCGGGGAAGACGACGTTTATCGGGGGTTCTGGATCCCCAAGGACACTGCTGTTGTGGCAACCCACTTCGCCTTGGATACGGACGAGACCATCTTCGAGCGTCCCTTTGACTTTGACCCCGATCGGTGGATACGTAATCCGAATCTCCCTGTCAGCACTTTTGGGTTCGGTCGGCGGGCTTGCCCCGGGTCTATACGTTGGTCGGAACTCCGTAACCATGGCAATAACGCGATTGCTTTGGGGCTACGCGTTTGAAGACGGCAAGAGACTAGACTTTCCCCCTTGGGATCTCACTCAGGGCATTGGGGTGCGTCCGAGCCCATTCAAGGCCTCCTTTCGCGTGCGGGATCAAAAACGACAGGATATCATCAAGAAGGCCTGGATCGGCGCGGAAAAGGATACCGACGTGCTTCTTCGGCAAGCTGGTTCCAGTTTTACTGGTTAGGTCTGAGACAGCATTGCCACTGAATAAATGCAAATCGGTCATTTTCGGGTAGACCCCTGAAACATAGACCTATATTGTCTGTACAGATTGGCCGGCTTGGGCTACTCTATGTGACGGTCATGAAGATCCCAGATCCCGATAACTTGGCAGAAATTACTAGCCTGACCTTCCTGGGTCTTTCATTTTTGGCTACTGTTATCTATCATTCAAATTTGAAGTTTGATGGTTATTCTGTTAATAGCAGAAAAAAGCAAGAGGGTCTGAGTGTCCGACAAGGCATCCATTCGGCGTTAGGCAGCAATCCAAGAATAGTCACTTTAGGGTTTAAGACAATGACAACAACTGAATCGGGATGCCACCATCAGCTGTACGGTGGACAGACTGCTGTAAAGACAAGCCATAGCCCACGCTCGTTCTCGCTTCCTTACGCAAAGGTTAGGTCTTGGATCTCCCTGGCCACCATATACGAGTTGCTGAAGCGGAAAACCTCTTTCTGGCTTTCTCTCAACTCACAGGTTGCCTTCAGAAAATCTGCTTTTGCCATGGACAACTTCCTCCTTGAAAATGCCGCACGCCATCAACTTCTGGTCGCAAGGTTCAAGCCCTCTTATGAGGCAAAGACCGTTGACAATGGCAGAAGCAACCCCAACATCGTGGTGGCAACCCGCATCCGGCCCATGTTGGAAGAAGAAGTGTCATCGGGCCAAGTTGTCGCTGCTTTTCCCCGGGATGATAGCAGTGGCGTTGTGGATATACATCAGCTACGACGGGTGGTCAGGGGTCCACCTCTGAATGTAAGTGTTGTTTTCCCCCAAACAGGCACATCCCGATTCCCATTGTCCAAATGGGAGCATACGCGCCTACTGATATCGTCTGACCGTCGATTGGGTAGTCGTTCTCATTTCAAGCTGGCAAGGTCTTTGGCTCCAGTGCCTCGACTGAAAGCGTCTACGAAGACCTGGTGCATCCACTCCTTCCGCACGCCTGGAATGGCAATATCGGAACGTTGTTCGCCTACGGCCAAACAGGAGCAGGCAAGACGTACACCGCCAGTGGCCTCGCGCGGTCTATTGCGAAATCAATTTTCCACGGGTCTTTGCCGGGGGATCGCAACATACATCTTAGCGTGTTCGAGCTTGCGGGCAACTCAGCCTTCGGTAAGTGGATGTGATAGTCCCATAGTGCGTCAGACGTTAATGTAATTTCGCATTCCTTCTAGACCTCCTCAACTCCCGATCACCCTTTTCAGTCCTGGAAGACGTGCTCGGCAATACCCAGCTTGTCGGCGTCGAGGAGAACCCAATCCAGAATTCATCGGAGCTTCTCGAGTTGATCGATCACGCAAACTCGTTCCGACAGACAGCTACGACGGAGAAGAACGACAGCTCCTCGCGTTCCCATGCCATCTGTCGCATCAGAATTGAAAACCCAGCCCCCGAGGCTGTGGAAGATGGGATTTTGTACATCGTTGATCTTGCCGGTTCGGAGGCCGCGCGAGACATTTCCAACCATGGAGCAGAACGCTTGAAGGAAACACGCGAGATCAACATTAGTCTCTCTATTCTTAAAGAGTGCATTCGCGGAGTCTCCGGGATTGATTCTGCAGGGCCAGCTGGGAAGCAGGCCAAGAAGACATATATTCCATTCCGACAGAGCATGTTGACCAAGGTGCTCAAGCATTTGTTTGATCCTGCCAGCAGCCGGGAATGCAGGACTGCTGTTCTAGCGTGTGTCAACCCCAGCTTTCTGGATGCTGGGGCTACCAAGAACACCCTTCGCTATGCCGAGATGCTTCTCCTGTCCCGACCAGTCCGAAAGGCCGCCAGTTACGACCCTGCTGCTCCAAGCACATGGAACAACCGAGATCTTCGAAGATTCATAGAATCAAAGGTAGGTTGGGGATTGGAAAACATGCAGAAAGGTCATGTACGACAGCTGATTCATTCTTAGTCCGGGACTCCTTTTATTTCGCCCTCTGAGCTTGCGCCCCATGAAACTGGATCTCAGCTACTGCAGCTTCCGCTCGACAAGTTCACAGCTCGCTGTCTTCAAACAGCTGGGGTCACTGAGTACCAGGCTAAAAAATTCCATTCTCTGTTATGGGAGATGCATATCGACTCCAGGAGTGGTGCTAAGTAATTTAGTCTGGTAAGATGAGTCTGTATCAGGGCGTACACGAGGTGATTGGACTTTAGGTTGTGCATATCAGTCTGTCGAGTAACATACTCTATTGGTAATTTGCCTTTGCATTAAAGTTGTCTGCTTATACCTCCTTGTTGGAATTCCAGCCCCAATATATATTGAAACAAAAACCGGCACCTCCACGTATAGTCCAGCTTTCGAGGGTGATGAAGAGGTTGGAATCGATGAACACTATAGTAATTGTAATGTATACGAGCAGTTTATGACACTGACCAGGTTGCGGTTGAAGCACATACGATTACAGGGTGAGGAGAACAGGTCTTCCCGTCCGCTTAGCCGTACCCACCTGCGCTTAGGTAGGAAAGACACAGAGTAACGTTCGGTTTCTTGAATCCATTCGAAAATGCAAATTGTTTTGGAGCTACTAATGATGATCTTTCTTTTGCATGGTATAGCCCCAGTGGCGTTAAAAGATGCTACATAATTCCAATAAGACAATTTCAATAGGCAGCTCATCAGCTTCCCAGGGTAACTGGTTACCCTACGCTAGTTTGATGATTGAAACTGATGAACAATAGTAGCAGCAGCGCCGTCAAAAGTGATACCCCCTAAAATCACAAAAAGAGGCAAGTCAACGTTAAATGTCTTGCCAACCCAGTTGCGCACCTCAATGGCAGATAGCGAGTCGAGACCATACGAATGCATGGGCCGATGCACATCCAGTTGGCCCCCTGCCATCCCTAACAGCGACGTAATACGGGCAGCGAGTGCTTCCCTGACGAGCTCAGTGCTCTCGTTGACCGACGTTGCGGCCGCCAATTTAGTAACAACATCCTTGGCTTGCTTGCCGGGCTTTGTACCGTGCGTATTGACCAAATCCCCAGTCTCGTCAGCCGGCAATGGAATATGATGCATGTGCTGCCAGAACGGCTGGCTTAACTCAAACGAGACTTCTTCAAGGTGGGCCCAGTGAGATGGTGGACGGATACCGACAATGGGATGGCAGGTACTTGGGTCCGTGGCCAGTTTGCTGGATGGATCACACAAGATTTCGAGCAGAGCAAAAATATCGCGGATCTAGGTAGGCGTGTATTTAACCGTTTCGTGAATTTGTCGTCGTCCGGTTGCGTACTCGGCATCGGCAACGAGGTAGCCTGCGTCAGGTACAGCACCGAGGTTGAACGAGATGGCTCGCTGGCCTTGGGAGACTCGATAGCGCGCCAGAGCATCTTGATAAGTGTTTCCGGCATTGTATGATGCTAGAGAGCCGGTGCCCAGAGTGCCCATGATGGACGACAGCATGATGAAGAAGTCCATATCTGATGGAAGCGCGGCATGGAGGTTCCATGATCCTTGTAGCTTTGGCTGTAAGATGTCTTTCCAACTGGAGAATGATAGTTCGGAGAATATGCATTCCTATTGCCTCGTTAATGATTCCCCATAACGTACAGTTGTTCATTGAGTTGATCTTACCTTCAGTACTATGGCGGCCTGAATACATCCCTTGACTGGGGCCATGGTTGCTGAATACCTGTCGAGCAGCGCTCGCAATGCACTGAGATTCGTGACGTCACAGGCGGGCATTTCGCATTGGACACCGCGGCCTTGAAATTCCAATGCCAAAGACTGCGCCTCGTTTGCCTTGGGACCGGATCTTGATAAGAGAACAAGATATTTAGCGCCATTATCAGCCAGCCATCTTGCTATGGATCGGCCGACGCCTCCAAGACCTCCTGAGATGATGTACGTCGCATTTGGGTCAATATAGTCCATCCTTTTTTGCGTAACGCGAACCTGAAACAGCTTTTAGTATATGATGTAGATTCCAACATGCGAAGTATGCGTGAAATGAGTGTATACTCACGTTGACCGTCTCCGATTCGCCCAGTTGCACTACAGCGGCATCTGAACCGGCAGACTGCCTCATAAACGCCATTACCTTGTCCAGTTGCGAGATCGGAAACATAGGGACTTGGCCGCGTGCATCTAGAAGCGACTGCAGGCTGGGTGCAGAAACGGCATATTCCAGAGACTCCTGCGACACGTGAGTCTCGTCGCCAGTGACGAAAGAGACGTGAAGAGAAGAAGCGCCAAAGTGGAATGAAGATTGGGAAGGGTCATTGTCATTGGAAACGAGCACCACTCGCCTATTCCTTCGCACCACGCCTCTGAAAGTTCGCTCTCCCAATCTCTTGGCGACTGAGGTGGTCGCGAATACAATATCAAATTTGGGTTGAAGCTCTGACCATGTCGAAGGAAAGACGCTTCCAACAGCAGACGTCGGTAAGATGTGTTGTCCAGGGATATTGAATCTTTCAGACGCCCGTTGACAATCTTCACTGTTGTCTGCTGTCAACCAGACTTCCGCAACACCCTCATTCAAAGCAAGCCCACTGCGGCTTGTCCCAGAATGCTGCATCCATCCATGACCAGAACACAATCGCGGTGTTGAATCCGGGCTATATCCAACAGAGCATGATGAGCTGTCAAGAGAGGGGGAATAGCCAGCACGCGTCCTCAAAAGATAGATTATCTGGTAGCTTAACGGCGGACGATGGCTGAACAGCAGCGAGGGAGCGGAAACAGTTCTTGTGCACAGCAAAATCTCTATCCCCCTGAGCAAAATTGGACCCAGATAGTGTATCTGCTACGATTCCGCTGCAGAAGTTGCTAAGTTGAGTGCCCTTTGGAGCCAACCCTCGGGCGGCTAACTGATCTTGATATTGAAGTGAGATAGCCCTGACGTTAATTGACAACGCATTGTCAGCAACTGGAGCCGGTATCTCAACCAGGTACGGAACGCCATCATTGTCTTCGGGGCAAGCCCCTGATAACTCATACGTGGCATCGATGGCACTGGTAGAGGTTGTTTGCCAGGGCAAGATGTTGGATTCCAAAGCCGGCCCCAGCCTTCGGCGCTCAACAGCGGTGACAGCGGACGATCATTCTCTGGTCCAACCCACCATCCAGGGAAAAGACCAAAAATAAAGCCAAGCGCCCAACCATCAGGCTGGAGAAACTCTATCAGAACCAACTTGCCACCAGTCTTCATTGACCTTCTGACGTTACGGAACGTATTTTCCAGATCGGCTGTAATGTGAAGCACGGCATCTGCCACGACAACATCATACGTACCTTCAGAAACCCCTTGCTCAGAAAAGTCCTTCTCGATGTCAAGAGTTTGGAATGCCATTTGAGATTGGTGAACGGAGAACTCGTCCCGCGCCTTTTCCAGGAATGTTGGCGACACGTCTGTGAAGCAGTACTGGTCGCAGCGAAGGGACCCAGGTGAACTGGACGATTCTATCACGCCAGGAGGGCCATTCATAGACAGTGCTTTGATCAGCTGGGGAGTTGCAGCAGCAGTGCCTCCACCCACTTCCAAGTCTTTCATGCCGTCGTTTTGGTGGGCTAGGAGGTCGACAAATGTTGTTGCTTGCTTCATGCATCTGTACGTCATCAACTCGTCGTAGTACTCCATGAGAAGCCCAGTTTGTATTAAAAGGTCCAGAGGCGTTACACTATCCCTAAAAGACTCAACAAGATGCAAAGCCACTTTGGCATAGAGACGTCCCATTCTGTTCGCAGACTTGACTCGGTCAAGCACCGTGTCGATGCTCTCAGTGAGCGCAGGCAATGCGCCAAGGCGACCCTCCATAACATGGTGGTTTGCCCATTGCCAGTAGCGTCGCTTCCAATCACCCTTGCCAGAGTCTGCCGTAATGACGCTAGGATCAACAGATGCTAGAAGCGCATGTACGGAATGGTTGATAAGCAAGGCCACATCGTCGTAAAATGCAGTCAGATCTCGATCTTCTGGATGAATCTTGTGCAGATAATCCGGAAGCTGGCAGTTGTCAAGCTTGTCTATAGCCAGCCTTTGCTCAACATTCATACAGAACTGCTTCGGGTCTGCTACAAAAGCGAGCGAAGAAGGTGTTGAGGTAATGTTGGCCAGTTCAAAATGTTGAAACCAGACTCGTAGATTATTGCCATTGTCAGCAGACACCGAGCCTCCCGCAACGATAAATCCACGGCCAGTCACTGATGTAACTTCTGACAAACAAGTTAGACGGCTGGCATCTGGAGAGCCAGCCCTGATGCAGACAACCAGAGACAACCAATGCGCGACGGCACGCTGGTTGCCATGGATGAGCAACCACCCGACGTCAGAGCTGTGAAGGCAAGATGGAAGATGGCGTCGAGAGATGCGGGATGAACAACGTGCTCTTGATCAGGCGTATTGTATAGACTAGTTGTGGCCGTAGCATGCTTCAGAGTAGAGTGAATACGCTGTTCATCGCATCGGGCGAAGATGGGACCGTACTCATATCCGGTTTCTTTGAGATATTCGTACATTTGCTTGGATGGAACCTTCCGATTGCATGCGTTAGCGTGGTCGAGAATGGTCTTGACCATGTTGCTCTGCTGTCGCGCTTCGTAATCGGATAGCCATTCCTCTTCCTTGGCTCGATGGTGGATGGTGATGTGTCCTTGACAGTTTTCAGACCAATCGTCCTAGTCAAACGTGCGATAAATGAAAAGTTGGATGCTGAAGAGCGGTCCTTTGTTGGCTCCTCGCGAAGAGAGACTTGAGCGTCCGGTCCATCGTTAGCGGCTGTAAAATTGATGGGAGCCTTGAAATGAACATCTTCAAAGGTGAATCCGTTTACGGTATTCCCTTCTTCCTCACACAATTCCTTCCCTGCTTCTATGGCCATGACAAGCATGCCTGTTGCAGGATACAACGTCATGCCATTGATAATATGATGTTCAACCCAGGGCATCTCCGACAAGTCCATCTTCCAGTTCCAACGAGCATCTGAGCGATTCCAATCAGTTGATCTAGTTCCATGGAGATCAGATGGTCGCTGAGATCTCAGCTTGTAGCTGCGACTTAGGCAGCTATCGTGCCAGTATCGCCGTGAATGGTCAAAAGGATACTCTGGAAGAGTTGTCAACATGTTTCGACTAATCACGCTGCCTGATGGCTCGTTGATGGCTCTGAAGTGGAGGTTCACTCCTACGCAGTACAACTGGCCAAGGGTGCTCAGAAGTGTGTCCACGGCGTTCTTGTTTCTGAAAAGTACGGTATTGTATCCAATCTGTCCCCGAGAGCCAGTCTCCAGGATGTCCCGTAACGAAGACTTTAAAGTAGCATGGGGACCGATTTCAAGAAGTTGGTCTACTGCTGGGACTAACAGATGGCTTTAGTCCAGCTTCTTCGTCACATCTTTGGCGCCGTGGCGGCACATGACCGACACAGCTTGAGAGAACTGCACTGGTGATGCCATGTTGGCAGCCTAGTATGAAGCTTCTGCAACGGAAGTGTCGTTAATGACTTTGCCAGTTACGCTAGATACTAATGGAATGTCAGATGAGAAGGGCACCATGTCGCTGGCATCTGCATAGGCGTTGATCATGGAGGCGTAATCAACTGCAATGCTATCCATGTGTCTCGAATGATAGGCAACCCTGACGCGTAGCTTGCGCGCGACGATCTTCTGTTCCTCCAGAACACCGTGAAGATAGTCAATGGCAGCCTCGTTTCCGGAAAGAGTAATACTATGGGGGCTGTTTATACAAGCAATAGAGACGCTTGAAACGACATCGCCATGAGTAAAGAGTAGCTCTGCTTCAGAAGCCTCAGATGATCCCACAGCCATCATGGCACCGGAGACACACTCCCCGGAATCGTCCAAATGCCCATCGCGATCCAGTTTGGCCGAACAGACCCCTCTAAAGTACGCCAACCTCCAGGCTAACTTCATTGGAAGGTGGCCGCTGGCGTATGCTGCAGCAATCTCACCAGATGAATGTCCAACAACAGCAGCGGGCTTGACTCTAAATCGCCGAAGCAAGTTGACCAAAGCAACTTGCAGAATAGTGCACAGCGACTGGCTAAGCTCTGGATTGTCAATGTGGTTGGATGGGTCTGGGTACAGTATGTGGTTAACAACAGACCAGACGCATCCTAGGCTGCGCAGATATGCGTCAGCCTGACCCAACTCGCTTCTAAAACTCTCGTAACAAGTTAACTCGCGACCCATGCCCTGCCACTGCGCTCCTTGTCCGCTGAAGACAAAGCGGATTCGTGGTGGCGAGTTGAGGAGCGCGGAGACTGGTGTTGACATGAGCGAAGATATATTTGCGAAATCTTCAGTCGTATTCATTAAGGCAAACGATCTCCATTGGAGGCTACTTCGATGTGTGTCCAATGTGTAGGCCACGTTAGCCATTAGTCTTGAAATATCATCTGTAGCCGCGATGGACTGTTTACCACCCTGCTGCCGTACTTGCTGATATTTCTGTAACAGCTGCTTGATAATAAGGTCTCTGGTACTGTATTGCTTAATAATTCTGCGAATACCGTTCTTGTCTGATGCAGACCACACAAAGAGTCTTTTTACGTCTTCTTGTCGTGGCGGTGTCAGTGAAGGACTCAGTGGCCTTGTACCGGACTCTTCCCGTAGCCGAGGTGGACTCTTCGCCGTATCATGTTTGCCGTTGAGACCACGAATTCGCAGATAGTTATAGGCGTCGTCAATGACGACATGCGCATTGGCACCTCCGTATCCAAATGAATTGACAGAGACTCTGCAGAGACCAGTTGCTGGCCAAGGACATGCCTTTTGTGGAAACTGATAGAATAGAACATAGGTGAGTCAACAGTTCTTTTGCAACCACGACAGACTTCAGCAGAACACTTACAGAGATATTCAGATAATCAGCGTCAATCTTGCGATTTACCTTTTCAAAGTTGGCATTGGGAGGAATAATTCCCTTTTCCAAGACGAGAACAGCCTTGATCAAGCCAGCCAGTCCACTGGCGCCCCCCAAATGGCCAATATTTGACTTGATGGCACCGCTAGATAATGTGTCGGTCAATATTGTCACGCTGGTTTCGCAAAGCCTACCTCGGCTGATTGACTGACTGGCTGCTGTTCTTTTTCTGGCGAGACATACTCCGGTATATGCACAGTTAGCGGTTAACTCGGGGGCCAGAATAAACGAGGAGAAGTATTCTTTGGAACGATATACCTGGCCGAGCCTCTCCGAGCCCCACAGGTCATCTCGGGGGCGGACTCGGATCCCTGACGGGATCTTATAGGCCCTCTGCGAGCGCCCAGGTCCCACTTAGCAGCCCTTTATCCCTACCTCGAGCACACCAACCTATTTACAAACCACCTATCATCTTCCTCCAAAGTAGCCGGTTATTAGGAGGTAGCCTTGTTCGAGGAGACTGGGTCAATTGTCGAGGTGCAAACTTGGCCGTGGCGAATAAACTTTTCAATACTTGTGATAGTGTGAAAAAAACAAAATAACAAGCAACTGAGTAGGAATATAACATATTACGAATAGGAGGATCAAGCAGGTACTGTACTTCTCTCTGGCTAATGACTATATTTTCCACTAGTCTGTGCTCGAGACTACGGGGTAGTGTCGATCTGACTCAATCCTTATCATCGACCCGAAGTCCCTACGGAGTACTCTGTGCGGATTCATGCATCCACCCCTGCATACCCGCAGGCCAACTTAATCTAACCGAGCCCGCTGACAGGAGTAACAGGGTTGGCCGGCTTATCGATCCGCCATCAGACCAGCCATGATGCCTCCGGCGAAGGTCCGAGAAGTCTGTATTCCGGAATAGGGGTTGATAGGCTTGACCCCTCAGCAGAACTACTGTCTACACTTGGCGCCGAGACCCCCCTCTTTGTTATTTGGATCCCACCCGGATGATTGAAGCGCTCAGCTACAGGCTGACGTGGCACCTTTCCAGAGCTATCATTGGGACAGCGAACTACTTAATTCGGAAAGCGGTTGTTCCACTCCACTCCGTATTCCGTTACTAATGATATAGAACCCTGCAAACAAACGCCCTTGAACATTGTTGTAGTACGCTTTACCTGCGCTCCCATACACACGGAACTCGGACATCTTTGATAATTGATTTTTCGTAGATCGGAGGCTCCCTGGCGGGACTTACGACCGCCGTGGGACTAAAAGAAAATGATCATAATGTAACAATCATTGAAAAAGAAGACAATAAACGCAATAACCACATAGCTGGCGTTTGTCTAGGACTTGATGCGGTGGAATATCTCGAAAAGTACGATCGTAATCCGGCCAACGTCTCTCGCCACTCGCGTCGCATTCAGGCTCTTGTGGGCGACAACAAGCTAAAAGTCTTTGTCAATAGCCATCGCGAGATTACGAACTGGGATACCTTGTACTACCAGCTTCGTTCCAACTTTGACGGCTATACAAGCGATACTTACCCTACATCCCCTAAAGCCCCCCCAGCAAATGGTCAGGGTGTGTATCATACTCAAACGGAGGTTCTCGATATTCAACGTGAGTTACAAGCTAACGACGACAACGACAACGACAACGACGACACTGGCGAAAAAAAAAAAAAAAAAAAAAAAACGACAATAAGTCTCACATTGCTGGATCACACATCAGAAAACAAGACCACTATACAAACCAACCTGGTGATTGGTGCAGATGGCCCAAATTCCTTTGTGCGAAATAAGTACCAGACCCACGTTGAGCGGAAATAGGTTAGCTATATTGCTTGGAAAAGAACTGTCCCGGAGAATAGGATATCGGAAGAAACCCGTCATATCTTCAAACGCAGCATTACTGTATTCATAATAGACAAGCAGCACTGCATCGTATACACAGTCCCTAACAAGAATGCGTCGCTCCAACCCGGTAAAAGATATCTCAACTTTCTCTGGTACACAAACGAAACGAAGAAATCTTTGAACGAAATCTTAACGGACAACCTCGATGGCCATCGCCATCACAACATTGTCCCGTCCGGTCGTGTGCGACAAGATATCTAGACTAAACGAACGAGACCAGCCAAAACACTACCATTTAGTAAACCAATGTTGGAGATCTTCCTAAATATCCAGCGGCCGTTTATCCAGATAATCACCGATTTCTGCTCCCCCCAGGCAGCCTTTGAAGATAGTAAATTCCTACTAATTGGCGACGGACTGTCGCTGTTCCGTCCGCACACAGCCTTCAGCGGCACCCAGGCGGCGTTTCATGCCCTTCGCACGGCTAATCTCGTCAATGGCAAGATGACCTTGCAACAGTGGGAGAGGAAAGTTCTTAAATACTCGAAGCTACACTACCTGCAGAGCAACTGATATGGTGATTTTTAACAATACCCCATGTCGACGGCCCTCGTGACTGCTGTGCGTTACTAAACCATGTGCGGCGTTAATCGCGTCTTGTCTTAGTACAGTGGCAGTACTCCTCTCTTGCGCACAAACACATTCAAGAACGACGCGTACAGCGACAAATAAAGGAGGCCGAAAATAGTCCCATTTTATATAAATAATATCGTTCAGCCCCAACCTGGACATGTATAGTAACCAGAAAGCCAAGTAGATGGGCTAAGTATTTCATCGAAAAATGCAATATTAACACGGGCATTGGCTACTGGCGAGAAGGACTGACATAATAACCAACGAGCTCATAACTTGCGCATACTATAAATACGTTTTACTCGGCAATGCATTTTCCTATTTATGATTTGGACCTATCTTTAAACCATTTTTTCTTGACGTTTCTCTGCACTGTTAACACATATACAGTCATCAGGCTGTTCAATCCCGGCGGCGGCGCAATACTACCCGATTATGATGTTTAATACCCCTATTCAATGCCCCCTTTCCGTTAGGGGCGTAGTCCCCTATCCTATCTGGGTCCTTTCACCTCGATGGTTTTGGGATCCGAGCGTGCGCCATTAAGGCAAGGATGATCATTATCACCCCACCTGTGCAGCCCATTCTTGATTCGCCAATTGCGGAACGAACCACGGTCAGTACACCGTGTGCACTAACCGCGTGTGCTTGGTGTTATGTGACTACGCGGTGTACAATCGAGGCTGTGGATGCATCTCTTTGACAGTTTTATTAAGGCTACGATGCGGTAGGTATTCTACCCACCGACTAGGATGCACATATTAAGTGCTTTAGGATTCGCCTTTCGGTCCCTGGACGCCCGCAACCCGACTAACGCAGATGGAGTGGGGTGGGTAGGCTGTGATAAACAGCGCTGTCCAGTAACGTGTTAGTTAACCTGTTGGTGTCCATGTCCTGTATGAGAACGTTGAATTCACCGCGCCTTCGTCAGCAGACCGAGGTGGCACAGCGATGCTCTAATGAAGTTTAAGAGAGATGTCCACTAGCTCGTGAATTAGTTACTGTCCTTTACTGTATGTTCTGATGTACTATCATACAGGGGAACTTATAATTTCCCGCGCAAGTCCGTCAGCAGACCGAGTTGGGACAACAAGGATCTAACGAAGATAAAGAGCGCTGTCCACTAACTCGTTAGTTAGTTACTGTCCATTACTCTATGCACTCATCTAATATTACTCAGAAGAACTCTTTGATTCCCTCGCACAAGCCCGTCAGCAGGTCTGCTCAAGTCCAGCCCACTCTCCCTCCCAGAAGCGTACCTGAGTCATGCCACCGACACGGACAGCTGCTTCGTCGACAAGTGACCATGTTGAAAAGGCCGTACCACGTGTCACCGCCAGTGGCCCCTCTGGGTCTGTCGCTGGTGTGGCCGCGCGCAAGATCACCGGTGTTGCGTGGTTCGTGGTCAATGTTGCCCTGCTGTCGGCCACCTTTCTGTACGCCCTCGACAATACCGTGACAGCAACGGTGCGGCCTGCCATTGCTGAGACATTTGGCCACCGCATAGACATGCTACCGTGGGTGTCGGTGGCATATCCCATGGGTGAAGCTGGCGCCAACCCCATCTGGTAAGATAACCAAGCAGCAAAACCCCAATAGCGTACCAACACGTTTGTTCACAGGGCGAAGCTCAACAAGTTCCTCGACGGCAAATTTGTCTTTCTCGCCGCTCTGCTCATCTTCGAAGTAGGATCTGCTGTTATTGGCTCAGCGCCGTCCATTGGCGCTGTCATCGTAGGTCGCGCTCTGGCTGGCTCCGGCGGCTCCGGCATCTATGTCGGCACCATTAGCATGATCACCGGAATGACGACGGCCAAAGAGCAAAATCAGTATCTCAACATTGTCGGCATGGCGTGGAGCTTGGGAACCATCCTGGGCCCCATTATCGGATCTGCATTTGCGGATTCGCCTGCCACATGGAGATGGGCTTTCTACATCAACCTCTGCGTTGCCGCCGTTGCCGCCCCCGCGTGTATCTGGATCATGCCTTCAGCGCCCCCTAGCGTGTCTCCGGGGGCCATAGACGTGATCAAGGCAATTGACCATATGGGTGCCGTGCTGTTTCTTGGCCCTGTCGTGTCGACAGTCATGCTGCTGGGCTTTGGCGGCGTCGTGTACAGCTGGGATAGCGGCCAGATGATTGGACTTTACGTTGCCACTGCTGTGCTATGGATCATGTTCGCTCTGCAGCAGAGATTCCATATTCTCACGTCGGATCGCATATTCCCAGTGCAGTTCTTCAGGGATCCCTTAATGATCGGCCTGTGGGTCTGGACGGTCATCGCAATTTCTGACATCGTCGTCACCATCTACACGCTTCCGCTGTTTTTCCAGTTTGTGCTGCATGATTCTTCCATGCGTTCTGCAGTCTACACTCTGCCATTCGTGGCATCTGTTGTGATCAGTGGCGGCATCAGCGGGGCACTTCTACCCAAGTTCCCGTGGTACAAGTGCTGGTTCTTCTGGGCCAGTGCGCTGCTCCTTATTAGCAACGGCCTGCTGTCCAGCATCCACACGCACACCTCAAGGGCTGCCATTTGTGGCTACACCGTTCTCCAAGGCTTCGGCGTCGGGCCAGTCATTCAGCTGGGCTATACCGTGGGCCAGCTGAAACATCCACAGGCGGCCCGAAAGGACGTTACAGCCTTCTTCTCTTGTGCACAGATGGGTGGTCTAGCCTTGTCACTGGGTATAGCCACGTCTGTTTTGATCAACCATGCTACGGAGAAGATATCGCCCATTCTCCCAAACGTTCCTCTTAGCGAAATTCGAGGCGCCATTGATGGGGTGGGAAGTAGCCTGTTCGCGACGCTGACCGAACATGTTCGTGCTCAGGTCACTGACGCAGTTACGCAGAGTGTGGCCTCTGTGTTTTACCTGAATTTGTTTGGTGCAGCGCTTGGCCTCCTAATTGCCCTTCCCCTCAAATTTGACAAGCTGGATTTCACCGAGCTGCAATAGCGCACTTACTTGTCTGTTAGTATGATACAACTGTAACCTTCTCAGTCCATATTAATTGCTCATAAGCTTTTGTACATATCCTAAACTTGTGGTATAGTAAGTGCATTATAGCAAGATGGGAGGTATAGTCAGTTTTGGAGCAGGTAGCAAATAGCAAGCAAGAGAGGCAATATCTATTAGCGCACGGGTAAATAGGGAACATCTCCCAGGGCGTATAGCGTAATGTAAGCCAAGATGAAGCTAGTCATTAGGCCCCACAAGGCTACGGCCATGTCTGAGACGCCCCCACGTTGCTGACCGCAGTTAGTTGGTAACGTATTTCACTACCGAGCGGCCACCCCCTACCGAGCGGCCACCTCTGTATTCCCATAGAAAATGGCTATTTTATAGACGTGAATAACACAACCACAATATATTATTCAAGGTTTAGGAATTAGTATTATTTATTATAATACTTCGTATAATGTATAAATTTTATCGTTAAGTCTTTATAAAGCCTAATAATTTAGGTAATATAAATTACAGCCGTAATTTTGTATTTTATAACAAAGGTAACTATATAATCTTTGAAAAAATATTTAAAATTCTGAAAAAAAACTCTTTTTATACCAAGGATACCTACCTATATACTATACTATTTATATAGATTCTAGGGTTATATTGTGGTTGTGTTATTCACGTCTATAAAATAGCCATTTTCTATGGGAATACAGAGGTGGCCGCTCGGTAGGGGGTGGCCGCTCGGTAGTGAAATACGTTAACAGCCTTGTCCAACATAATCAAGCGGTTGGCACTAAAAACTGGCAGGGATCCACGCGTCATAAACAGGCTGATGCCAGTTGGGCCACCGACCCGGAGAGTTATTAAGCCTAGTGTCATCCCATCCACTGCGCGCAGTTGGTTCCATCCATCACTATCTCCCGCGCATCATCACATCCAACAATATGGGCATTTACACTCGGCTCCCCGATGGCATCGACGAGGTCGACATCATCGTCGCCGGCGGTTTGTTCATGCCACCTCTTCTACTCATCATAGATTTATACTAACAACCTCCTTCTCTCTCCGTTAGGCGGTACTGCGGCGTGCGTTGTTGCTTCCAGGCTCGCTGATGCCGATCCCTCGCTGTCCGTTCTCGTAGTAGAGGGCGGGCAGAACAATAAGGGAAACCACTTGCTTGAGCTCCCGCTGTTTTTCCCAACAGCACTGCTTCCCACCAGTACCGCAACCCTGTTCTACGAGGGAAAAGCGGAGCCACAGTTGGACAACCGCAAAATGTCCGTCCCAGCCGGTGGTGTGCTAGGTGGAGGTTCGTCAATCAACTTGATGATGTACAGTCGTGCTCAGCGCCAGGATTGGGACTCGTGGGCCACTCCCGGGTGGTCCACGGACGAAATGATACCTTTCTTAAAGAAGGTAGGTTAATGTCGATCCTTGTAGCCGGGCCTTTTCTACTACTGTGTTGACTAACCAGTCATTACTCGTTATAGCTTGAGACGTACCAAGGTCCTGGTCCTGATTCTGTTCATGGAAAGGATGGCCCCATTGTTGTGTCTCAGGGAACGTTCTACTCTGAGCGTGCGGCAGATCAATTCATTGCTGCCGCCAACGAGGTAGGCTACCCGACGGTCAAGGATCTTCAAGACCTCGACACCAGCAACGGCGTTCAACGTGCCCTCCGCTTTGTCGGCACAGATGGCCGCCGCCAGGATGCCGCCAGTAACTACTTGCATCCGAGACTGGAAGATGGAGCGCACCCGAACCTCCACATCCTCGTTGAGACGAAGGTTATCAAAATCATTTTCGAGGGCAACCGAGCTGTCGGGGTTGAGTTCAAGCCAAACCCTGCCTTCCAAAAGGATAACACCGCTGTTCAACGCGTCAAGGCCAGGAAGCTTGTAATTGGGTCATGTGGCGCTCTCGGAACCCCATTGCTTCTCGAGAGGTCTGGTCTCGGCGACGAAGCCATTCTCAACAAG